GCGCACATACACATCTATATTCATTCGTGTACATCCATCGGTATACTTCGTCCATGCATACACACATGCCATCCTCACCAACCAAGCCAACATCCATTGTGGCAATCAGTCCAAGATCTAGAACCTCCTCATTCCATAACCCATCAAACCATATTCCCTCCGCACCAAGCAAACCCAAGAACCACCTCTCGTACCGCATACATAGCATGACACCAAACTCGTCCCCAAAACTTACTTCCAATGCGATAATCACAATTCACAATTCACAATTCACAAATCAACGCCCATCCTACACAGCCTCTGCCAATATTAAACTCTCTTTGATCACATTAACCCTTATGAATGAGCCAAGCATATTTTATCTCCTCTCCATGCTTCGTCTCCAGACAAATACGCAAAGAACAATACAATTTTCTCTCCAAATTTCACATGAGAACTCTACAAGGCCAAGCAAGTGCCAAGCCACGCTGTGGCACATGAGAAGATTTAAGGTTAATTTTACTTGGATGAAGGGGAGGGGCTAGTGAACTCTAATAAACTTTAAATGATTATTATTATATTATTATTATTATTATTATTATTATTATTATTATTATTATTATTATTATTATTATTATTATATTTCAATCCTTTCTTCCTTTGTGAATTACTTTTTGCTTGGGACGGATAGATAGGTTATGCAAACATTGTTTGTATGTATGTATGTATGTAGACATGTACTCCGAATGGATGAATGAATGAATGAATGACCGACTGGCTTTTTCCGTGGTGATCAAACCAAGAACTTGGTAAATTGCTATTCGATAACGGCGAAAACACTTTCTCCGAAGATGCCGCGCACGATCTGAGTTGGGCGCTTTTGTGCATCGAGATCTCCCCTAAAGACGCGGAAAAATATGTCGATATCTGCTATAGGTAGGTAGACTCGGAGGTAGGTAAGTTTAACGCGATGGCAAAGTTTGGGTTGGGGAGAGGGGAATATGTTCTAGATTTGGAGAATGAGACGGCGTCCTAGGAGGACCTAGGTAGCAGGTAGCAACTGTTGGATTCTTGTTCAGGATGTACAGGATGACTGCTAGGTATGTATACAGGTGGACAAATCATTCCATCCAATACGTATAATCAACCCGAACCCGATGTCCGGTTCCCCGGCCGCACGAGCGAGGGTGTCACATCACTTTTATTGATAATGGATGATGGATGGTTGATTGCTATCACGTCGTGTACCTAGTTCGGGTCGTAATGGAAACTAGAATAGGAAAGATCTCGCGATAGCCGGGAACCTTAAGCTTACTCTTAAATTCTTATTTTTATGTACGAGACGTACAGATATGTATGTGTGTAGGTGGTGTTGCGGTACGGGGGCTCGGGTAGTTGCATTCGCGTATACGAAATGGGAGAAACAGTTCCGGTGAGAGGAAGGGAAGGGAATGAATGAGGAGATGGGGTAATAATAAGGAATAAGGCTGGGAGTGAGATGACGAGCTTATTTAGTTCTGGATGGATGTAGAGATCCGTTTGTCGTTGCTTGTTTGTTATGTGATATGAGTGCCAAGGTTACACAGATCAGTGTTGCGTGAAGTGAGGTGACTTGGGTGCTTCTCGTTTGAGTAATGATGGGTGTTCAGCCGCCAATATATACGCAATGGATACGCAATTGAGAAGTTGCTCTGCGACAGCGTGGCATATGGTTCACTATGTTAGCTGTGATTCACATGCGGGATTGGGATATGGGGCCAATGGCTTGACATGTTGGAGTTGCCTGATCATCTCATCACTCTCATCGGTTTATCATCATCATCGCTAACCATAATCCTCACTTCACTTCACATCACTCAGAAACATCATCTCGTCGGTCTCGTATTCCCGGCACGCAAAAAGCGACATGTAAACCCATCTCTAGATTACAATACGAACAAATAGTCGAACGTTAAGGCTCAGTAAGCAATACACTACTCCCCACTCATAATTCCATGGGAGACCCTCACAAACAGAAGCAAGCATCAAAAGACCGTAATCCCCATCTCCTAAAGCCGATTCGGTTATCCGCTCGCTCGTTCAAACTTCATTCGTTCACTCGCCTCCTCGCAAATCCCAAGAATCAGGGTCGCGGTGGAGAATTGTCAGCTACATATCTGCATCTGACGTCCTAGACACGACGCCCACCGTACCGAGCCCACGAATCGCAGTTCTTAGTCTGAAAGGGTACCTATCGTACATGGGCATATATGTATAAGCTCACATAGCGATGCTTGGCGTCAGCGTGATACTTTGGCCCTTGTTTGAGGAACAGCACGAGGCTAGGCTACGAGAGATGGAATATCTTGCGGCTTACAGATTCGTCCGCTCATGGGGATGAGATATGGAGATGGGATATCGAGAAAGGAAATTTACGATCTGACATCTTTGCAGAATCCATCCCATGATTCTTATTTCGCGCCACCGTTTTGAGAGGAAAGAAGGTTAGGTAAATAGACGAGAGATGAAATGAATGCTTGTTTGCTTATTATATTCGTTCAATCCATCCATCCATCCAACCATTCATCCATTTTTTTTTGGTGAGATCTCTGATCTTTTCCTGAAGAGCGGACTGCATGCATAGGTACACACATGTGTACGTTGATCAAACAGATAGATGGATATATTTCTTTCCTTCTTCTTCGCCGTCCTTCAAACATGACTAATGATCATAATACAGAGTCAACGTCAATATACCTACATTCGACTAATCAAATAACCAATCACTACCATTTCAACAATCGACTAGATTCATTCTTATCCTCACACATCACCCTCATAAGACAGACATGACTTGACATGACATATCATCACATCATCCAGCACCCCAAAAAATAACCTTAAACTTAAACCTAAAAATCTTCCCTTCTCCCTGTCATCTTGGCATTTCGTCTGTCTCTCTTTTCCACATTCTCTAGCATTATCAATATGTAGGTATGTATCAACAAGACTCATTGAAGAGTTACTCAAACCTCTAGATAAGAGAATAAAAAATATATATATGGTATGTATAGATAACAATTCAAACTATAAGAAGATTAGGTTCTAAATCAATTTCTATATGCTAGGTAGGTAAGGTATTCTCGTCATTGCTTATTCATCTCTCCATTCTCATCCTCCAACACTCGATACCAATCACCTTCCAATCAACCTCCCGAATCCCCTGCCCCAACCCCAACCCCAACCCCAAACGTCTCAACAAGCTTAATAACTCAAAACCTCCATACCTCCAAAAAATCCACCTGCATTCCTTCCCATCCACATCCATATCCCTCACCAATCCAATCCCATCCCATCCCATCCACCAACAAAGTACATCACCCAAAATCTCCCAGCCCCATAACCCACCCATCTAGTATAAACTGTATAATATACAAACCCTCCGAGCGAGGCCCACCATTCCATACGCACATTCATTGTGCATATTCACTTGTGCAGAGGGCGAAAAAAAAAACAAAAAGAAAGCCAAAGGAAAGAGGGATCCGGGGGTTCGACCCGTTCGACTCGGATCCTGGTAGGGACGCGTCATCTTTATTGTTCATTTTTTTAATTTTTGTTTTTTGTTTGTTGGGGGATAATTGGAGAGGAGGGGATTGGGATGGGAAGGATAGGATAGGATAGGATGGGATAAGATGGGAAATTGTGATTCGTAGGTTGAGGGGCTGGGTGAGTGGGCGAATGGGGGTGAGGTGGTGGGTGGTTGGTATTAGAGGGGATATGGATAATAGGTAGGTTTTGGGGCATGAGAGTCTAGAATCTGGATAGAGAGGGAGGAGGGGGGAAAGGATAAAACGGAATGAGTATATTTTGGAAGAATGGAGATAAGGGAAATAGGTATGGGGAGGCGAAAGAAGGTTGTAGGGTAGGAGATTTGTCGGTCGGGAATGGAATAGATTTCGACGGGATCTCGATTCTCGAGAGGGGAAAAGGAGAGGATGAGAAGAGATTCGTATGTCATTCGTATGTCATTCGTAGATAGGTAGGTGATGTATATTGTGTATATATGCGCGGTCCACTGCACTATATGTAGGTTGCGGGTGTATTCAATGGGTTATATATATTCTCAAAGCCCGAGGGAGGCTTGTCTTTCAGTATACAGGAAAACATCATATCACACAAATCTATTTATCCCATCCCGTCCCATCTTAAAGAGGAATATTGATTGCGGATGTTAATACTCCATAAGGTTCATTCAACCCAGATTCATCTAGTCATCACATTATGTCTCAAGTACGTAACAAAAAGAGATTGATTCAAGTCGGATTTATTCATTTTCTCATCTCCTCATCTTTCTTCCCTATTCCATACCTCAGCCTCTAATGGGCCCTTCCATAGCCTAAGTACTTGCCCATATCGAATCACTACATCTTGTCACTACATTCTATTGTCTTCATATCCCACGGTCTTCCGGAAGATCTCTAACATGGCAAAAGCGACTGCTTCCTGTTGGCCATTGATGTTGGCCGTTACTGGGTGATATGAATCTTGAATATGAGAGCAAAGTTGGTAACGTAAATAAGGTGCGCGAAGGAGTGATGGCTCAAAGTTCGGTGGGTTGTTTCCTGTGGCATGAATCAAGGGCTGGCGACGATTACAAAGGCTGGCCACGAGTTTGTGCGACTGTATTTGATATTCCGGTCTGGTAATGGAGCAGCCGCGAAAGATTTATTATCTGAATAATAGATTGTCAGACGCCCCTCTTTCAACTTGCCCTTTTGCGTTGGGGAGATTGCACCATGATTTGGCATGCCTCTCATTCATGTTTTGCTCTGCTCTTAGAATCGAAATCGAGGAAAGTTCAGTATCTTGATAACACCAAGAGTTTCACTCATGTGGTTGTTCCTGCGGCTTCAGAGTTTTATCCTCTTGACCGCTGGATCTTCCTATGAGGTCGACCCACAGTATTCAATCAATATCTGGGCCCATGATCTTTGACCTTTTGCCGAGGGACCATTGGTCAAGGACCATATCCTTTCGACAATTTAGACAAGTGTTATATTTTCGAATTTGATATCTTTAAACCATTCCCATTCCGTAGGAGCAATTACTCCTACTCGATTGTATTCCTTGCTACTTTGTTCAAATACCTGTAGAACTAGCCCTACATTTGTTCTCCCTAAGCTCATCAGGTAAAGGTCTACCGGTGGTTGAGGTAAATGATCAAATATAATTGGTAATGATTCGACATCTATAGAATAGTCACCAGTTTTAGACCGTTGTAATTGGAGCAATTGTCCGCGAAGATATATTCTCCCTGAGATAAGAGTGCCACGAGGATCTTGCCCTTCAGGAACGATACTAATGTGTAAAATTTCCGGATCGCTAATTCGTGAATCTACTGGTACATGAACAAATTGTCCTCTGTTGACCCTCGATTCGAAGACCCGGTCTTCTCTTAGAAGGCCGTATGTTATCGGGACGTTCATCTTGGCCCAAGACCATGAAGGTCCATAATTATGCGTACTTTGTTGCCTCGCACGATTTGACAACCACTTCCAACATAAGCCTCTGACAAGGTCCTTTTTCCATAGACCGGCTACATATTCATCATTCAAGAGGTAAGCAAATTCGAGAGCAAGACCAGAAAGCGCCGGGAATTTATCGGAACGATGCGTAAGTCTACGGTTGTTATAATCCTGCACCATCTTTCGCCACAGTTCATGATACTTTTCAGTCATCATATCGTGGTGCGGACTACCCTCGTGAATCTTGTCAAGACACCTTACACTCGAGTTCAAGACATAACGTGATAAACTAGATTTTAAAGCCCATTTATTGCTATTCAATCCATGGTTATGATCGGATATTCGAGCCTCTCGGCACTCAAAAAGCAAAGTGTGTTTAGTGAAGTGTAAAATTCTGGGCGAAAGTTCACGCTCCTGTAGGGTCCAGCTTCTTTGAATCAGTGTACTTTTGTTATAAAGATTGTCCCATCCGGGGTAAGGAGTCTTGAAAAGTATTCCAGGTTGATTAGGAGCTTGAGGAAGCAATGGTAGCTCGCTATGTAGTGCAAAGAGGCCCCCTTCACAGTTGGTTGCTGCCGCTGCTGCGATCGTGCAGTATGCATGGGAATAGATTTTCCCCATCTTAGCTGATTCTTGTTGCCAATCCTGCAAAGAGTTTTGAACAATGCACAAAGAATCAATCCATAGATATTGTAGTCCGAGACGTCTGGTAATAGTGATCGCATCGCGAAATGTTCGAGGTAGCGTCCTGAAAGGGATGGAGAGCAAGCGCCGCTCGAGTGTTCTGGTTTTTGTTGTTGCAGCCTCTGGCATTTCCTTTCCCCAACAATGTGTCAACGCAAGGTACTTTGTATAACGATCATTGTTTTGCTGCGTCTCCACTAGTCGAGGTGGTGTGCCATACCTTCCAACATTAATGAGCCGACGAGGCCGAAATCCTGTATCGTAATGTATATTACAGTTTACATGCTCATTAATACAGGTTTTAATCCATGATGATATGATAGAGGTGATGTTCTGATTTCTCGGGAACAAAAGGCTGGAGTTTAAGTCGTCTGAGAGATGTGAGATTTATGTGCGAGGAACCCCTAATAGAGCACGAGATCGACTGACATCAAAGAGAGTTCCTCATACCCGTAGTTTCTACATCAAATAGATACGACTGCCCATCCCTTCCCACTTGGTAGGAAATAGGATTTCTAAGAGGGGTAGAAGCCCCTTGCTTTCGGTCGATCTTCAAATAAGTCTTCTGCCCTTCGTTACGAGATGGAGCGGAAGCAATAGCACTATGGAATAAGGCACATATGTGACAGTTTGTTGCGGATATCTCGAGACCTTTCACTGAAAGATGATGAACATGTGAAAACTCCTCAATACCTCTATTGAGAAACGGCTCTGCAGGAATGGCAAGACACAAATCACAAATACCCATGGTGGTAGGCTTGTACCGAACAAGGTCACTTTAAGCTATTTCGGTTGTAATGTGTTGCATGTGCAAACTAGATTGATCATGGAAACAAGAATGGAAGATTAACAAGTGTGGCATAACCTTGGTAAGTGGGGTAAATTTCACGTGATATCGCAGTGAGCTTCATGTGAGATCAATGCTTTGATGCGAAGGAGTAAGTTTTGTCAGTCGCATGTGAGAATTGATGAAACATGTAGGTAGGTAGTGCCAGACATATGGCAGTGGCAACTATCATCAACGGAAGTGGTGTAGTTGGGACTATAGTTTGCAATACCAGCTCGAAATACAAACTTACCAGTCTGGGATAAGGAAGGTGCATTCGTGCCAACGCTATACGTCCACAGCTCTTTCCATTTCTTAACGATGTTGACGGGTTATTGCTCGGAGTTGCCGAACGGTATGATTCCATATCCGAAATCCCGTTTTCTCAAATTCATAATCCGTATCATCGGATTCAATACCTAGAAATATCATAACCTATGCCCACCTATTGTTTCACGCCCCTTCTTGTATTCTTATAATAACATTAAAATGAGCTGGCAAAATGATTCTCCCTACTCCCGGCATGAGTTTTCCAGCAAGGCCGCCCCACCCTCCAGCTCATCCTTTGCTTCTAATTTCTTTCGACGAGCCCGCCGAGCATCTCTCACAAGAAACCTCAGAAAGTCCGTATCCTTCGCAGATCCTCTTGAGGCAGAAACCCCCCAAGACAAAAGCTCCGAGAATAGTGAGGTACTATATATGGCAGATTCGAAACGACCCCAACGACCAAAACCACAGCGCCGAACCTTGTCAACCATGAGCAATAGCTCTCTTGCAACTCTCGGTCAAAATTGGGATAGCGAGATTGATTCTGATCTCGATAGTGAGGCCGAGGAAGTTTCTTGGGATATCATCAACAAAGAAATACACGAATGGCAATATGTTTGTCGTACTGGTAGGCCTTTCTGGTGGTCACCTGAGTTCAGAAGTACCCGTATGTGTCGTACTTCCACACTATCTCCAAAGAATCATGGGGAGCGCAGCACACGAGCTTGGATGAGAGATATTAGAGACGACTCCAGACCGCCTCTAAAGAAACGTTACGCTACCATGGACGATACCAATCTTGCAGATTCCAGCGACGTACAAGAACTTGCAAAAGTGATTGCTGTTCAACTTCTCGGAGCTTGTTTCACTTTAGCACCAGAGTATCTCGTACCTCTCCCATCGACTCCAACATCATATAACAGGAAAGGAGACTCGAAACTACCAGATTCTAGGATGATGAGTTCTTTGCGTATGCACACCCAATTTCGGTATTCACCTTGCTTTGGACATCAAGCACGAAGCACATCTCCGATCCACCCATGGGATTGCGGAGGTTATGACGGGTCATCGACTTATTCGTCGTCACCGCCATGCAGTGGCGATGTTACGCCGTTGAGTATCACGTCAGAACCTGCAAGAAGACGAAGTAGATTACAGAAAGTCCACAGAGCATTGAATATCTCAAAACAATCGGCATGTGATTGCACTGTTGGGAGCTATAGAAGCAATCATTCTTTAAGCGTCAATTCCACATTCAGTGGCAAAGTTGGAACGCCGATGGGCCAGAAATTGAGAGACGGGCATACAATCGAATGTGGAAAAATGCCGACAACAATGCACGTGTCCGGAGCTGATAACCGAAGACACAATCCTAGGCATTCATTGGTCAAAGATCTACCAGAAGTAATGCCACCAATACTGGCTGATGATGCGGATATCGATACCTCAAAGATATATAGAGGAGTACGGCCAACTCTGCCACATAGGACCAATTATCGTCTACAGCCAGTCCTCAGGTCAGAGCCCCATCCAGTATACGTGCAGCCTGTGAGGGAGCTCGTAGTAAAGAGATGGAAATCGATACGGCGCCAATTTGGGGGTAGCTTGCAAGCTTCCTTACCAAGAAGAGGATCTAGAAATGACGAATCAGAGTCAGAAAGTGATGCAACAAGTTCAGCACTCAGCACGGATGCAAGAGCACGAAGACGTCGAGCTCAAGAAAGAGGAGACATTCATAGTGCCGGTGGTGATGATAGCCCGTACTACAACACTCCAAGAAGTGGTGCGATGACACCCATGACCCCACTGACCCCGATGACTCCAATGACTCCCTTGTCACCTTTTATGATCCCCACCACGCCTCCTGCGACACCTGTGACCCCTTCATTACCAGGTTTAAGACTAATGTCTCCTTTCTTTAAGGGAGCAGATACTATGGCAGCCGTCACATCTTTTCTAGCTGATTCACGTCAACCAGAACATGTCATGATTCCGCCCGATTCGTTCAGGGACACAGGTGGCTATGTTTCACCAAATATGATAAGGACAGAACACGCTGCAGGAGCAATGTTTATTCAATCGAGATCAAGCTCTCAGCCACCTTTAGAGCTAGTAGCCGGTTCATATCAAGGAAGACGAACAAGTCTGTTATCAGAGGTGTGCACTCCACAAGACTTCAATGACGACGGGACCTTGAAATGTGATGAAGAGAAAGAATTTCAAGGAGCTCATTTGGCAAGGGCGAACTCCAGTGGAACTCAGATATTTAGACCCGGTAGTGACGGAATCGAACTTGATGGAAGGCCGGTTGGTCCTGGAAAGGAATTTTGGGATGGCCCAGTCGACAATATGGGAAAACGAAGAGAAAGGACATACTTGTAAGACTCAAAAACAGTTGGCGATTCCTAAATCGTAATCAACGGTCAAATTGAACAAACAAATCGTTGAGCAAAAGGAAGAAAGTACAAAATTGGAATAATAAACCATTGAACCTGCCTTGGGTATCTTTATATTCTTTTGTTACAATGCAGTGCCTATTCTGCCGCTGTGCATCAATAATAGTACATCTTTAGTCCCTAGTTCCAAAACGCCTCCGTATATCTGCTTCCTGTCTATACGCCCAAATCCAGATCCAAACGACAAACCGCTAGCACCCTCTTCTCTATTCTTCAACCAGGGTTGATATTCTCATCTGCCTTTGCTCCCATACCAACCATCTCATAATCTCCAGCCCCATCTCTTCCTCTACCCCTCCCTCTCCCTCTTCCATATCCTTGCTCTATATCCTTTGTAACGTCATCTTCTCCTTCCATGCCGGCACTAATATCTCTCTCCATACCAGTACTATCTGTAACAGTATTTGTGTTGTTTTGAGTAGTATTTGAATTCGTACCAAAATTTATAGGGCGCAGTTCTCGCCATTGACAACTCCATATGCCTAAAAATGTCATGAGAGACGCAGATGCGAATTGTAAAGCCCACCAAAGCCAATTGCGGGGGACGGAGTGCGAATAGAAGGACGTGATTAGGAGATGCAGGAAATGGATGGTTATGGCGAAATCAGGAATAAGCTTGGAGCGCGAAACAAGAAGGAGGAGGGAGATAACTCTGTACTTTATGTCAGTTCCGCGGAGGAAGAATCGATGTAAGACAACAACAAACCCTATAAAACTATTCAACATCCAAACAAATCCTAACATCCAGCCAACGGTTGTATCACCCCTTAAGCTCCTCCAACTCAGTACCATATCGAAGGAAAAGGCTCTTCCAGCAACCAGTGCGGTGAAGAGTATCAGCGCCGTCCCGATAACATACCAGAGCACTTGAAGGATTATAATCTGGCTGAGGATCTTTAAGGGTGGTAACTCGGAAATGGCGCCAGCGCGCGGCGGTTTTCTTCGTCGTGCCATGTGTATGGATAAAGTAGTTGGGTATGCGCACTTGCTACCTTAATGGGGAAAAATGTTTGAGCATTTCTATATTGATATTGTAGCATCTGTTTTCGAGGCTGAGCTCTTGCATGCACTGGACATCATATCTAGTGGCCAGAATGTAGAAGGGGGTTGGCTTAGTAATTTTTGTTATGCGTTTATCAATGATTACTAAGAGTTCTAATTTGGGATCATAATTTTCGGCATTTTTTGATGGGAGGCTGCTCGCCTTGAAAAGTCTTGCCCAGTACTTGATTATTAAGTTATCATAGAACCATCCATCTAACTGTCAATATCTTTCTTGTTAAGAAGACCTATGAAGGACACACTAGGTATACTCAAGTACTACTACTATTGATGTCATACACATACTAGCTTTGGAGCTATTTGCGGTAACTGGGAAGCTCGCCTGACTCAGCACGCGGATCTGCCGGCGCAATCACATCGCGTCCCGTCCCTTGTGCTAACGTTTTTTCATTGTTCTACTAACCTTTGTACATTTTCTTGATAGCAAATTTACCAATTCTAGTATCACTGTAATCTCAAGGGTCTCAGATATCTATATCGCGCCAAGTATCATGGTCTTCAGTAAACTCTTTAACTCTTTACGCCCAAAGGCTTCTCGAAATAGATTGAAGACAGAGTCAGATGAAGGGGAGTCGGCTTACTTGAAAGCCGAGTCAGATGCAGGGAGTACCGTCAATACTTTAAGATTTAAACCATCTCGGAATAAATTGAGGAAAGAGCAGCCCACTCGTCCGAAGACCGCCAATCCGAAAGGAAAAGGGGCTTCACAGGCCACTCAATATCTTCGCCCCAATGGCCGATCGTTCGATGGTGCAGTCGATGAGCAAACTGGAGAGAGGGTCGATCATACCGCATTGCTCCACGGTTTAGCCCACGTGGGATCTTTTGATTCTATGCATGAAGCTTACGGTATGGATAATCCAGATCGGCCCCCCGGAGAGCTCGCGATAGCCAGTTTACCTTCAAGCATTTGGAGGTCTATTGTGGGATATCTTTCACCTAGTGATGCAGCGAGTCTTGCCTTCTCAAGCAAAACACTCCTTCATCGAGTTGGACGTAAACCATGGCATAATTTGGATCTTCCAGAAAACCATCGATACAGGATTGAGTTTTTGGTTCACATGGACCGTGATCTTCCTAATCATCTTCTTTGTTTCCCCTGTGCAATCTATCATGTTCGCATAATACCAGGCGAAGAACGTCTGAAAGCCACACATATTATAAATCATCTTTTCGAATGTCCAAATGCTCTAACACAGGTCGCCCCAAGGACTCGACTAACTGTCGGCCATACTCTTCCGTTTTCGTTTGTGCAGCTTGTATTACGCTCAAATCGCTACTCTCCAAGCCATGGAATTACAGTAGAATCGATATCCAAACGCTGGAAAGATCCTCAACTTGGAGCCCAAGGCACAGGAACCTGGTCACATCAAAGCCGATATTATGTTGAAAAAGGCCATCTTCTCTTACGTGTGATCAGTCAATGTTTTCCAGAACCAGATCTCCCTATAAGTGCGCAGCGGAACCTTTTGTATTCCCGCGAAGATTACTTTCCGTACTTTTCGGTCTGCGCTCATTGGAGAGATGGTGATCTCATGGATGTATGTAAATGTGCGTTGGGGCACATACCTAAACGCAAAGAAACAACGTCCTCAGCATTGAAAAACAGTCCGAATGCTCTTTTTTCACTTGCAAATCAGAGAAGTCAAATGTCTTCGCAATGTTCTGTGTGTCAGCCTCTGCGTCGATGTCCACGATGCCCAACAGAGTACTTGGTTGAACTTAAATTTGCCGAGGATAAAACCGACCAAGTCAACAGATTCAAGCAAGCTATGACTGTGACAAGGTGGAGCGATTTAGGCAATGGAACTTCTCCGTTATCACCAGAATGGGCTGCGATTAACGGCGAATTCGAGGGCTATGATTCATTCGATACCGTTAAAGGGCGTGCGATTTCTGGAGTTTTTGAATCACAATTTGGTATTACGCTTCCTGCGCAGAGGATCTTGTCGCTCAATCCAAAGAACGAAGAGAAAGGAGAAGATGGCCATAATTGGTATTAAGAATTATAGAAATGTTAAAGTAATGTTGATCTTTCTCACATCACGCCCGAGACACAGTGCATTCCGATAAAATTCAAGAATGAAGAACAATGGCACAACTTCCTTACCCGAGAATCCATGCATTTTTTAGATTCAGATATTGGAAAGATTATCTCAAATATATGGACCGGATATTTGACACCAGAGTGCCTAGTCACTTTTGTATGTTATGCTTTCTGTCGTACAGTTCGTGTACAATTCGCACCAGCGTCTAGTCAATTGTATTTGGGGGCTAAACGTTGCAGGAATATAATCCCTGCTGAGATCTCAGCTGTTTTACGCATAACTTGACATAAGCGCCCGCTGTCAGCAGCTGCTATAAGTTGATTTGGATGAACAATTTTTTTGCGCCTGTATGATTTTCTGGAAGAACAATTATCATTATTCTTATCATCATGTCATCGAATCTTTGTGAGACATGTCAAAAGTTCGATCTTCGAAAGCTCTTCCTTGATTCCGCCGCTCAAAATGCGACATCAGCCAAGGGAGCAATAAGTGGATATCAGAGTGTTGATCTGCAGGTACGGCCTGGTCTACCGGAATTTTACAAGCACCATATAAGCACCGCCGCTCTAAAATCTTCTTCGGAAACTGGATGTGAATTTTGTGTTTTGATATGGACGACTCGATCAAAGAAGGAGCAAGAAATAGTTGTAGACAAGTGGCTTGATGAGACTGGTCAGGGTCAGATTTTCATTGGAACAGGAAGTTCTAGTGTCGCAAAACGTGAGAGTCCTTACGTTTTGGTGTCCCAACGACCTGCAAATAGTTCTCCACGGGATCTATGCAATCTTGAAGTGTTTGCAATTCCAGGTAGGCCTGATCTCATTTTATAGCCTTCTTTCCCATGATTTCAAATTTACTGAAATATTAATATCAGATAGTACCGTACATCAGGAGAGTCCTTTTATTGGAAGGCCGATATTCGCACAATCAAATTCTCCAGAGTGCTACAAACTGGCCAAACAATGGTTGAGAGTTTGCTCAAGAGATCATAAGGACTGCGGACCCATCAAAACTCGATGTCCTACACGCCTCATTGATGTAGGTTCTACAGACACTAATCCATTTTTGGATGAAAACCCCGATCGTGGTGACGTTGAATGGGCAGCCCTTAGTTATTTATGGGGTGGCAATGGTTACCTGAAATTGGAACAGTCAACATATCAAAGTCTCAAAAGCGGTATTCCGGTGAATGATTTTCCGGCTACCCTACGAGATGCAGTTTTGACAACAAGGGAACTCGGTTTGAAATATGTGTGGATTGATGCTCTTTGCATCCGTCAAGATAGCACCGATGATTGGAAGGCTGAAGCCGGCCGGATGAGAGATGTCTACGCAGGCGCGACAATCACAATTGTCGCAGCGAATTCCACTTCGACTAGCGCTGGAATACATTTTCCTCGCCCAGAAAATGTACAGGCCGTTGCACGATGTGAATTGCCTTGGGACACCAATACCAGCGTCTCACTTCGCTTAGTATCTCACATATCTCGTCAGGCTGCTAAGTCTAGTTCTTGGTTCACTCGTGGCTGGACGTTCCAGGAAGGGCTATTGTCACCACGAGCATTATCATATGGCAGAGATCAGATGATATGGGAATGTGCCTATCATACGGAGGATGAGAGTGGTCACATCGGTCTTCTGGATCAAAATTACGACAGTAAAGATCTTTTACACAAACTGCGGAAGAAACAAACCAATAGAATGAGTCGCGCCATACAAAGTTTGTCTTTACAGACTTATGCTCTTTTTTCGGAACTTGATAATCGTAGAGCCAAATTAGGCTATCCTTCTAAAAAGCTTGCGGCCACAGGGATTAATATGCAGGAAAATTGGGGCATGGATCCGTATTTAAGATGGTCTGAAATGGTGCAACAGTTCTCAATCAGGAATCTGACATATATGACGGATGTATTACCAGCTCTATCCGGTATTGCTCGGGAGTTCTCGATGATAACCAAAGATACTTACATTTCCGGGATGTGGAAATCTTACCTAATTCCCAGTCTACTCTGGAACAGGAGAGCATTCAGAAAGACTAAAAAAGTATCGGGGTCTGAAATTGACACCCAGTTCTTTACACATATTGATTGGAAGAAGCGTGAATCTTATTTGGCTCCTTCCTGGTCCTGGGCAAGCATCAATGCCGGAAGCGCACAATTAGAACCATATCCATTCGCGGATGCTGCCGTACATCAAATAGCAGCCTTAGTCGATCTTCAACTTCATCATTCAGGGACGGATATATTTGGCCCCCTTGAGCCAGACAGCGCGTTGATCATGAAAGGGGTCCTATTTCCAATCCACAACCTAGAAGATTATTACTGGAGATTTTCTGACCCCCCTGAGCCGCTCCCAAAATTTCAAGAAAGGCTCGGTAATGATGGCATGGAGAAGATCTATTCCGGATCATGGCCTGCACTTCAAGAGTACATTCATGAATGGATAAATGACGCTGATCATGCAAGTTTTGAATTCGAACAGCAACATATACCACATCCAAACCAAAAATTTGGCGCCTTTCTCCTTGTGCACATCGAAGGCGTTTCTGAAGATAACAGTGGTTTCAATTTAGACGGCAGTTTAGCATTTCTTCTCGTCGAATCAACTGGAACTGTTGACAATGAATATCGGAGGGTCGGTGCAATCATGATTCAAAGATCTAAAGGATATCCTGAAGGCAAACCGATCATGACACTTTCCGAGGCGAAAAAGGCAGAAAAAAGGGGTGAGTATTCTTGGACAGTACAGCCTGTTTCTCCAATGGAAAAACTTATCGCAAAGGTATGGCAAGAGAGACCGAAAGAATTCCCAAACCGAAGCACGATCCGTTTAGTGTAAAGGACCATCTTTCCAGAGCATCTTTGCAGATCGTTTAAGGCTAAACGCTTTATGGTTTACTCGAACAGTTTGCTAGGATATTAATTAAGTGTGGCGATACCACGGCACAAGGGTCCAGTAATATCATGGAAACCTCTCCATGTAGAAATATGAATAATATAAACTGCCCTCCAAAAGGATTTTACAAACACATGATTGAGTATCTATTAAATTGAAATGGAATATATAATATATTAGCATACCTATCCAAACCGACTTAGAAGACTAACAATAATTGATTATCAAATTCAGGTTCAGATTTGAACATTGAAAGCATTTGATTATCGAGTAGAACATTGATTATAAGGTTTGTTTAGTGTGCAGCTCATTTCGTCCATCGCCCCCCGAATCGATACAGCCCCAGCCGGATAAAGAGACAATTAAGACCCACGGAACTGAGTTCCTATCATGGTTCCATCATCCAGGGCCTTGGATGTCAAAAAGTCAAATACAGTGATTTTTTTGAGCCTTGTCTATGAAACGCCCCTGTAAAATAAATGAAATTGATTGAAATGCCTTGGTATCCGTGGTATCCTCTATTAGACGAGATTTCTAGGGCCAAGAAGTGGTTACGCCTCTCTCTCAGGATACTAGCTTTTTTATTCTTTCGGAGCCCCGTCTTAAGCCCGTTAGATGTCAGCTTACATCTCATCTTTATCCCATACACGATTTGAATAGCTTAATCGAGCACCAGCATCGATACACCCGTGGATATGTTACCTTTCCCGTTGTAGACATTACCAGACTGGCGGCTCCAGCAGAATTCTCGGATTCAGTTCCGTCTCTAATATCTATCATTGATCCCATTGGCTAGTCGATCCATAATCAGGGGGCCGTGCTTAATTCAAGACACCCCATCGTCTGGTCTAAGGCTGAATATCATCAGACTACTCGAGTAGATCTGGAGACGATTCCTAGAGACAATTGGATACTTACTACAAGTCAAGCAATTCCCAGAAAAATCATTGTATGCAATGGCGCCTAATACTCCCATCGGGTACATCGTCCAATTTCAAGCCTCAGATGGAAGCCCAATTGATGGCAACACAATTATTACTCCGTACAACAATAAAGCTCAGATGAACCCCTCGGCCCAGCTTAATGGTACTTCCGGAAGACAAGCCAAGAAGCGGCCTAACCTCCCCAAGGTTCGGTCCGGATGCGTAACTTGCAAGTAAGTCGATGCTTCGTCGACACTGTGAGGCTCGATGACACTAATACATCTGCATTTAAAGACGAAGGCGAATCAAATGTGACGAGCGAAAACCCGAATGCAATCGATGTCAGGTGTTTGGCGTGGCATGTGAAGGATATGGCGTTCGTATCTCTATAAATCGACGTAAACCCGACCCTAAACCGCTTCTCCCTCGCACTGATGAGGTATCGCCAATATCGTCATCGCCTCAGTCATCTCACTCACAACAACTATCGTCACATTCCTCGCCGTCGATGAGACTGCCCTTCCGAGATGAATCTGAAGAACGATATTTTCGAACATATTTGACTAAGACAAGCATATCCGTGACTTGGAGTCGAAGTCGCGTCTTTCCTTCGTCGTTATGGGATCGCATCATTATGCAAGCTGCACACGATGAATCCTATCTTCGGGAGATGCTAGTCGCAATTGGTTCATTTGCTGAATCCAAAGATGTCCAATCGAGGGGATACGCGGATGAAGCAGTGCAAATGCGAGTTTTTGCTGTCAAGAGATATGGGCTTGCCCTTCGTTCAATGAGTGTTGGATTGTCTAAACTAGAAACCAGTGAAGGTCCAAGGAAGGCCTTGATCGGTTGCCTTTTAGTTTGCTGTTTTGAATGGTTGTTAGGAAATGACTTTACTGCTCTTGAACATGCTAGAAGTGGTGTTAAAATACTGCGCCAGTGGCTAAGAAATTATAGAGGTAAAAATTACAAAGCAGGTCTCTGTTCTCCGGACTCTAGGATGATCGAGGACGAATTAGTTCAAGCCTTCCTTAGGCTTGACAAACAAGTTGCAACATTTGGAGACCCTGGAACGAGTGAAGAGCACAAGGAGACAATATACGAATCAATCGGAACAATACAAGACATGCCCAGCATTTTTCCAGACTTACAGGAAGCCCGCTTATATCTAGAGCTAATCGAGAGACGATCGATACATTTTGGATACCTAGCAGCTGAATGTGCCGCTGCCGCCAGAAACACTGATCCTTCCACTGCAATCATAGTAACGAATGGCTTTAAAGAGGAAAATAGCCTGCCTGAATTAGTGGACATAAAGGCCCTTAAATACGGAATCACACAATCACTTATCAGATGGACATCAGCCTTCGATTTGTTCTGTTCTGATATCCCACCGCTTGAGACTGATCAGATTGCCGGAGCCAATCTATTAAGAGCGCAGAGCATCGCGATGGATATAATTATGAAAATTGCGCCAGGCGGTCCGCCACCAGATCACGACGCAATCATTCCGGAGTATCAAAGTATATTGGCTATTACTGAGGAGATTCTTACCGAGACAAAAGACCAACGACAACTTGGGAATTTTAAATTCGAACAAGGTGTCATAATGCCTCTACACATTGCCGCAAAATGGTGCCATGACCCCACGATCCGGAGTCGGGCAATAGAACTTTTGAGATCGTATAGAGATAGTGATGGGGAACCGATGAGGGAGGGAGTGTGGGATAGCGAAACGTTTGCAGAATGGGATGAATGTGCATCAGAGAAGAAAGAAGGTTCGGTATGGGGAGATGGCTCGGAAAGGATTGGAGATGGCCACATGCGGAATGCGGCGAAGGATAAAAATCAAATTTTCAGATTGATTGGATCGGTGAACTGGGAGAGGAGGTCCAGTAGTGGAAGTTCGAGGAGTGATTTGGGACGGGGAATGAGCGGTAGTCCTAAGAGTGATATGGGACGGGGAACGAGTGGTAGTCCTAGGAGTGAACAAGGGCAAGGAAGGACGGGAAGTTGTGTGGAATTGGGGGATGCGGAGGGCTGGGTCGAGGAACTGCCCGTTAGAGCATCCCCTTGAGAGTGAATATGGATGATATCAATGTATTTCAAAAGCGACACACTGTAGGACTAATATGTATAAGCAGAGCAGCTATACGACAGAATAATAAAAATATTTAAGTATCTTGTCTGGGTACATCCAGAAGCGCACGCTCTGTTGTGCTGCCTGAGAGAGATGCAATAGATATGATTAGCATGAATCCTACGTCATGGAAGAAGTTGCCCCAGGGATCTTAGGGTTATATGTTCTCTAACGGGTGTTTCAGTTGGTTGACTATGTACATAATGCGTAATCAAAAAGAATGATAAGCTATGCATCATCAGAGTTATTCGATCAGTCATCCCTTCATTCCAGAAAGCATCAAAATGGTATCAAAAACACAAGAAGTGTGGATTTTTGTCATGCCAGCTTTTTTCTGGTGGATCTCCGAAGATTGTTGCGCGACGAGAAAGAAGGGTTATGGAATTGGATGTTGAGATGGAGAATAGCAATGGAAAACGTGCCTAGTTACCTTGAGTATGATTTGTGAAGCGTATTCACGACTTGTAGGATATCAAAAGAGTATAAAGTTTCGAGAACACGATACTTTGAGATTTATAAGATAACTTAAGCATTGGGTTTCTGCGACGGTTGAACGTGGCGCAAGATAAATAGAGCTGCTAGTGCTCACTCGCACTCCCAAAACTTCAACGATCAATCGAATAACCCGAGAGGATGAATATAACGTCAATTGTTGCAAGATGATGTTCTCCTTTCTTTACGATAATTCTTGGCTTGCAATACTTCGCTCGCCGTTTGCATCCGCGTTGGAGGAGTAATTTGTAAGAGAGCTTTCTCTCATCGGCTCCCTAGTTCTCATTCAGATGAAACAAACACCACTTTCTCCCAGGTCGGCTTATGAATCGTATGAGAGTTACAACATCTTCCTGATCTTAAAAGGTGTGTAGAAGAAATTGTCGATATGAGTCACGTGGTGACGTGGTTCCTCCTCTCTTGGTGCAAACGCACGGCTTTTACTCGTATTGCTCGCGGTTTTCAGATCGCGACGTCTCATTTGCATCCCTCTATTCAAGTCTCAGAATTTCGATATTTGTCTCTTTCATTCGAGGCAATTAGCCTCTATTTTCAACATGGGGATGTCTACCATGTCAAAGGCCCATTTTAAGAGACGCTTTGTGCTCAGCCAGTCCGGATTGCAGTCAATTACGGATTTTGAAAATATTGTATCAAAAAAAACTCCAAGAACACAACAAATTTCAATTCCTGATCTTTACAGCTGTCACCACAGTTTGAAGAACTAGTTGTTCGTCCTACCAGTAATGAAAATGGATTGGTGATACAAAATGCAAAGCATTTTTGGAGGATTTGGCATCTATCAAACCACCGAGACAATATTAGCAGCTCGTTGAATAATTGGCTGATTGAGGAAATTGATAGGCTCTGGTCATCCAATATGTAGGGAGTGCGCAAGACACTAGGAAGTTGAAGTGTGTCAGAAGCTGACATGTATCTAGGCTTTTTTTCTGTTGAATATATAATGTTGAAATAGCAGCCTCATCAATGGTCGTTGCGCCGACTCATCAACTGTACCGTATATATCATTTAAAGTGGTGTAAAATCCTTGATACTATTTTCTCCGAAATTGAACGTCATTTTTGAATATTCTTTGTGGAGAAATATGGACCCAGTCACAGCCTTGGGAGTCGCGGCAGCTGTGATACAGTTCATTGATTACGGCACGGGACTAGCTTTTAAAGGAAGAGAGATTTATAAGTCTGGAGAGCTTGGGGCCAATGTTGAACTTGGGGAGGCGACAAATCGCTTGCAAGACTTGGTTGAGCCGTTAAGGAGCTCTCTTCATTCAGGAATTCAAAACGCACCTTCACCTTCACCAGCGGATGCTGATCGAGCCCTCAAAAGTATCTGCACTAAATGCATCGACTTGTCCGAGGAACTTAGCGGTCTTCTTGGCTCCCTAAAGCTCAATCTAAGTGTTAAGCATCCCAGGCTAGCAAGCTTCTAACAAGCAGTCAGGGCTATTTTGAATGAGGAAAAGATACAAGGGTTGAAAAGTCGTTTGGGTGATTTGCGTAGCAATCTCGAGACACATGTTCTTGTTGACTTGAGGTAAGCCCATGATCTTCTGAGCTAGTGAGATTAGAAGTGACTCGCGTACTCTTTACCGGCCCCTTCATTCATACAGTCTAATCAAACTTATTCGGTACTAACAGGGCCATTTAGATATCGAATGATTCAAGTCAAGCTCGAACAGGAAAACAATTTCCAAACGCTCGATAAAGCATTGCAAGCAATAATGCAAGACCTCCTATACAATCACCAGAGTAGCTTAACTAATTTTGAGCAAAACTTCGATCATTTGAGGTTGTCGCAGGAGAAAGAGCATTCGCACACTCGCAGTGTGCTTGTCGATCAACAAGCATCGAGGCATCGGCGCCAGGCGGAATTAAGTATTCTTGGAAGTCTCAAATTTTCATCGATGAATCTTCGGCATGAGACGATTGCCGAAGCACATCAGCAAACTTTTGAGTGGATATTTTGCGATCCCAAAATCGAACACAAACCTTGGAGCAATTTCAGCGAATGGTTGAAAACCGAGAATTGCATCTATTGGATTTATGGCAAGCCTGGATCTGGAAAGTCAACCTTGATGAAATTCATAGTTGGAGATCCTCGATCTCGTGGCTACGCAGAAACATGGGCACATAATACTCCCCTGGAGACACCATCCTTTTTCTTCTGGAACAGTGGTGACGAGGTGCAAAGATCGCAATCTGGCTTACTTCGAAGTCTACTTTACGAGATTCTTGAGAAACATTTGCACTCTCATACCCGAAGTATTTCCCAAGGAATGGAAGACTGCATTCGAGAATACCCTGCATAATGTCCCTATTAAGGCAATAGACTGGTCATTACCTGTACTAAAAAAGTCATTCCGTACATTAATCGAGAAAACGTCGGGAATATTATCATTTTGCTTCTTCATCGATGGTTTGGATGAATATGAAGGAGATTATTGGGATATTGCAGAGTACTTTTACGAGCTATCCGAATCATTGCACGCGAAATTTTGCTTATCCAGCCGGCCTGAGACTGGATTTTTGGATATATTCAGAAGCATGCCACAACTAAAGCTCCATGACCTAACGGAGTCTGACATAACAAACTACGTTCGAAATAAATTGGAGAATAACTCACAAATGCGACTTCTGATGAACAATAGTCCGTCGGATGCGTTGGCGCTGATAACCGAAGTCGTGGATGACGGGGATGGGGTATTCTTATGGGTTAGGCTGGTCGTGAATTCTTTACTTGATGGCCTCCAACAAAGGGACGATATTTCGACGCTCAGAGTTCGCCTATGCAAAACCCCAAAGGAGATAGATGACCTCTTTGACCGCATATTATCATCTATTGATCGTATATATATGGGAGAAACATCGAGAATATTTCAATTGGAAAGACTCATGCGTGCGAATGTGTCAGGATCCGGCACTATAGAATTCTACGCTGCCTACAAATTGGGCTTGAAGTCTTTCAATCAAGCTATATTTGAAGATGAAACGCCTTTCTTCTCTCACCAAATGTCGCCCGAGGATTACAGGGGGGAGTTGGCAAATGTGTTACGCACCCGATGCGGAGGACTTTTAGAATTGACCGAGAGCACAGGCGAAGTGAATTACATTCATAGAACCGCTCGGGAATACATCCAAATGCCAAAGAGGTGGGAAGCACTCCTTACTCATACATCAGACCTGGAATTTGAACCATGGTTTACTTTTTCAATTTTGCATTTAAACTCAGTCAAGGCGCGTACGAATATAGGTGGGCTTCCAGCCATGAGGAGGTCAAGACTGAGAAAACATTGGAGACACTTTAAAAAGGGGCTTCACTATATTGCCTCCAGCAGAGCCAAAGACCATATTCTCGAATTGGTTGAGGAGTTTGATAGAGTCGCTCAGCGGTATTCGAACTTCTATCCACAAACTACTGATCAGTTGCAACATTGGTACGAGTCTGAGTATAAATCTACTCCTATATTTCGTACTAATGTTAATTGTAACACCTATGATGAAAGATGTCCTGGTCAAGATGTCTCCAAGGGTGACAGGGCGGATTTATGGATTATGATGAACTTATTTTCGGTATGTGTTAATGATAATGTATCTCCTTATGTTGAGATGAAGATAATATCAGATCCTTCTCTGATGCGACTGAAATATGATCCTCCTCTGATGGTATTCTGCTTTGCTTATCGTAGATCTGAATCAAGCTACCCCAGATTGAGATTACTGGTGTTTCTGTTGGAAAACAACGCCAATTTTAATGAGATGTATCACGGTCACAGTTTGTGGAAAATATTTCTTCACGCTCTTCATACTGAATACTATGCTATTGTGTATCATAGGTCTTTTAATTATATCTTTCGGGCAATAGAAATCATGCTCCAGCGCGGAGCCGACGTTGAAGTGTGTTGTATTGAAGAAAAGATGGCATGGCATAAAGTGTTTCCCAATCAATACCCCACTCGTTATGAAGAATTAGAACAACACTGCAAACACCCGCTGGAACGCAAGGGTGTTTTTTTTTGGCTTCGGTTCGAGGAATCGGAGCGATGACAGCGCAAGCCATATCTGCGAAAACCATAACAAGCCATGGGAAGTACGACATTCCTTGGAACGGATCATTAAGGATACATTCGAAATAGATTCTTCAGACCTTGGAGCGAAGCTACTGAGCCTAGTTGCGGAAAAGAAGGCAGAGGAACTAGCCATTGAGAAGCAGAGTCGAAATCAAACACCTGGCTCATCTGGCGGCAATAAAGGACGGAAACAAAAGCAGAGAAACAGGAAGAAAGGCAAAGGAAAGCGTGACTAGATTGCCTTGAGGGATGATTCTGATTACTGAAAGACTCCAAAGAAAGAGTAATTTTGATGGGTCGGCCTGATGCATTTCGAAGGGATTGGATGAATATGTACTAAGTATATTGTGGAAAATGAGGAATGATCACTACAACAGAGTGTTGTACTTCTCAGTTCCATGGAGATGTTACAAAGCATCTTTCTTGAACTTCGATCCAAAACTTGAGGTACTTCTACTCGTGGACAAAGGGGTATTGGTTTGATATGTTGAAGATTTTATGTTTTAATGTTGTAAAAGCTCAGGTTTTTGTTGCTATTCTGCGGCGTAACAATCGAGGTTATTTTGTTGGCGCGTCAATACAGTAAAAGTTTAAGTCCACCTGTATAAAAAAAATCAATTCATCTTGAAACATCTTGCCTCAATCAAGATGTTGATGATCCAGTGATGCAGCCTAACATTGCTCGAGCATGCTGCGAGAATATTGTTTCACGTGACACACTCTAAAAAAAACACGCTTCTCTGTTCGCAATGTAGCTAAGGAAGACTTGTGTCTAGCTTCTTGAGATAATTGCAGAGTAATAAAGTATCAGGAGAATCAGGTTTCTCAGAATTGTTGGATTGAAATTATGGATGTCATGTGGTTGAAAGTGTCTGGCGGGGTTGGTCGTGATCGGATTCGTCTTCGTCTATGGAATGCAAAAACTGATGATACAAAGTACATCTTTAGCACTAAAAAGGTATTCAACATTTCACGTTCATCGTATTCCTACACATTTTGACTCTGCGAACCAAAGTTGGTTCAAATGTGAACATTCCTTATTGAATTCCTTCGGCTCTTATGTTCCATCTGTATCTTCTAGTCCATCCATTCAGATGATTCAAGCTCTTCATAATTTACATTATTCTCGATCAACAAACGCCAAATCATCCAGCATTCATAATTTACCATCTCTTTCTCCTCATACCACCACCACCACCCCGTCCCACCCTCATAATCTCATCCAACGCAATCCAAAACCAAAATTTCTTCAAATATTCCCACCCCTGTCTCTTCATTCGCTCTGGCGTAACACTCCAACCTACTATCCACAATGCCGCGATAACCACACTGACCACACCCCTCCTGATAAGTTCTACTCCTGCCCATTCAACCGCTATCAACCCTAAGCCTTCAATCAACACATATTCCCAATATTTCGAAGGCTCGTATATCCAGATCACATCCCCAGTTGATTGTACGATATTTCCGTTTGAGATCGTTGTACGATTACCAGTCGGAAGAATTATGGCAATGGGATAAGCTTGTACAGCAACTTGCCATTGAAAAAACATGGCTGCAAAGAGGAGTGCACCGGCGAGAATTCGATCGAGGAATAACGAGCCTTCGATTGAGGAGGTGAGCCATGCTATTGGGCTGAACGGAGTTGCAGTGGTGTAAAGAAGAACAATCATAGCCACAGCAGAAAACTTTCGAAAGCCGGTCGATTTCAGGATTTGGCTGGAGGCACCTGTAGGCATGCTAGGCATGGGGCTACTTTGAGGTTCTGCTTGTTTGACCATGGTGTCTTCGATTGAACAGTTGTCGTTCTGCCTGTCTGTTTCTCGAAGCTATTGCTACTCATATTGCACACCAGCGTGCGCAGCCTTTCTTTTTAAACTCATGATTTTGGATATTCATCGTGGTGTGGGTCGCATTGCTGCCTTGAAGATATTCCGTATTGGTCGAAATTGCGGCACAGCTGCCTACAGGAACTTTTTTTTTTACGGCGTAGTCACCGAATTCACCAATAAATGATATTGGACTATCGTAAACATCATAATTTTCTGGCAAATGCCCTGCTTACTGCAAGGCAGAAATGGCACTTATGGAGCAAATACTGTAAGGCAATTGGAAGTTCCTTCGTATCCGTGAAATTAGACGACTACCTCATATATAATCGACGATTCACAGTGCTCCTCGTGTATTATGGTCGTAATCACTTACAATTCCAGTTAGTTTTGCAATGCTTTCGGATCCATTACCTTTAGATGTCAGTATGGTGGTATACAGGTCAGATTGTGCCTAATATGGTGGTGCCAAAATTTATGCTTATTACCTACTTAGGTAGGTACATAAGGCCATCGGTCGCCCATGGATACCGAACCAAACATAAGATTCAAGCTTCAAGTAGTGGTATTGACTCCTTTTGTATAGGCTGAGCTTGTCAGACATTGGATTATTACGATGGCGTTAATTATTTCAGATATTCAGACTTTATCGAAAGAATTTGTACTTACTTTTTTCTACATCTATATCCACAATCAATCTCAGACACATCTCATCATTTTTCATTCCGTACCACGTCGACTGACGAAGCACTGAATGCTCAGTTTTTGGTACATTAGTATTTCTCAAATTGAATACCTGATATGGTGCTCAATTTTGCGTTGGCAAATGCGGAGACTCACAAATTGCTGCGTCCAATAACTTACAGAACGATGAAATAAAGAGCTTGGTGTAGTAGGTAGTTGGTCATTCCAGACGAATGATAGAGAAATCAAATGATGATATCTCATTCATGTTATATGTTTCCTTTGTCTAGACCCTATAAGTTCAATCTTTGTATTGGAGACTTCTCCAGGTCCCTGAGACTCCTCTAAATTCCCAGTAGATTTGAATATCTTGCGTTCACACCAAACAATTTAAATCGCATCAACATAACTCGGAAAGAATCTCGTGTGTCTATCAATAATTCAATTTCAATTACTTTCTATTTTTCACAAGACTCCGATGCCATCTACCATGTACGACTTACCTGTGAATTACTTTACCTTCTGGGGGAGGGGACTTACCTATATAACAATATCTTACCTTTCCTTTTCCTCCATCGGAGATCCTGTCTTATTATCCTTTAAACTTACTGATTTTCCTCCTCTCCTTCCTTACCTACCAATATAATTTTAAACTCTGGTTCATCCTTCTTTCCCTCCCACCTAACCAACATGTCTCCCATGCAAAAGCACATCCTCCCACCCATCCTTCCTACTCCTCTCCCTCATCCTCCCCGCCATCTCAATCGCCTCCCTCTCCCTCATCTGTCTCACCCTCTCGCGTTCCAAATCCCCCCTCTCCCTCTCCAACTCCTTCCTCTCCTTCCTCTTCCGCATACTCTTACAAACACAACACCTAATCACACAATACGCCACAAAAATCGCTACAATAATCATCGTGATAATCGCAGTAAGGCTCCCAGAGGGACGAGTGAATACTCCTTTATCGGCAGTAGATGTTGCTGATGCAGTGGCGGTTCCGGATATGGTGGAACTGGTTTTGGATATGATGGAGGTGGAGAATGTGGAGGTGGATGTGGGGATGCTTTTGGGGGCGGAAGTGGATTTCGGAGGGAGGATCTCGATAGAGGGGATTTTGGAGGCGGAGCCGGTTTCGATGGCTTTGGCGACGGTGATTGGGAGGTGGGTCGTGATGGATGGGTTGAGGAGGCTTGAGACGCTTGTTTGTGGGGGTGGTGCGGGCGCCATGTTGTTGTTGGTCTTTATTTTTTGTGTGTTTTGTATCTATATTCTTGTACTTTTGTTTCTTCTTTGAGCTGGAGAAGTATATATATAGTAGCGTGTATATAAGTAAAATGATTGACGTTCTATTTTAATTTGTTTATCTGTTTATCTTTTCATTTGTGTTGTTAAGTGGTATAACAAAATCAAGAATGGAGACATAAAACCGCGAGGACAGGAAGGTATATATAATATAAGTCAAGACGATGATTGAGAATCACACAATAGAAATAAAGACTCTCTTTGTGCATATCTTTGGAGCAAAGGTACTAGGTGCAATGGAGAAAGAAAAGATGTTTTCCATTATGAGAGCTCTTTGATAGAGGTGATTTAGATAGCAGTGATGAAGATCTTTGTAGGCTGACAATGGAGAAATTATATATGTCGCGGAGGGCTTTGTGAGAGGACGGGAGACAAGAAGAAATATAAAAGATTGCTATATTGAGAAATAAATCTCAAGGACAAGAAAGGTATTCTTAGAAATGATTGTAAGGGGTGAAAGAAAATGATATGTGTTTTGGATAGGATAAGGACATCATCTACTTAGGTATTCTATATTTGATCTCACCAGCACATCTTTTTCGATTCCTCGAGACTATCGTCTATAAATACTTATTAGGTATGGAAAAAGATGTAAAGACTAACCACTACGTAGGGTACCTTATTCCATACCAGGAATAACTTGAAGATATACACACACACATACAAAGAAATTTTCTTCCCGAAGCATTCTCCTCTCACCGTCCGGTGGCTCACATCTTAGTACTTCGAACTTCACCTGAACTCATTCTAAGATGTTATATAATATGATGTCATATGATTAGAAATTAATATATGTATGTAAAGATGTAAAGACAGAAGTAAGGATGTATGCATCACACCATCACTCTTGCTTCAAAAATTAAGCACTATCAAGCTAGTTATGCAAATTCCGCTATCAAATTCCAAACGTATCCTATGGTATCATTTCCTGCGTTCCCATTCCCATTCCCATTCTATCCCTTCCCTTTCCTTCCGCACCCAACCATCAAACTCTCCATCAAAAATTCAAAAATTCCATCAGAAGTGAGGGGTAGCTCAATTCAGTGCACATGACATCTCGTCAGTATATGTATGAATCATCCAGTGAATTCCAATCTGACTCAAAGTGCCCTGTAATGAATAACACCACTCATTCCTACACAAATTTGATCTCTTTATTTTCCAAATATGCTGAATCACCTCTCTCTCGCCCCATATACACCGTTCCATTAACCTCAATCCTATGCCATGCATTTGCGTTTCCATTCACATTCGTGGAACTTGCATTTCCACTTCCGATGGTATCACCCCCTCTCAAACTCTCCGTCCTCCACTCGCTTTTCTCCTCATCCCCATTCCTCTCCCTCGAATGATACGACGGAACCGGACTCTCCGTCCCCACCGTCTCTTCTTTCCATGCCGCCCTCTCAGACCAGTGATTATCCCTCTCACTCTGCCTCTCATACTCCATCTCCAATTCCTTCTTCTCATCCATCGAATCCACACTCCCCGAACTCTCTGATCTCGCTGGGAATGGTCTGCTAATCTCACTCTTCCTCACCGTCCCATTTCTTCCCACACCCAATCTACTTCCATTTCTCGCAACTCCATTTGCGCTGCCTCCTAGAACCTTTCCCATCATTTCATTCTTGGCTCTCTCTTCCTCTTCACGTTCTTTTTCCTTGGCTTTGGCGAGTCTCTTCTGTATCCGCTTGCCGCGACATACTAAACACCATGTTAAAAGTCCGGTGATGATAGCGATGGCGACGATGAACGCGAGGATGGTTCCCCAGAAATTAAACTGCACTTCCCAGAATCCTTCACTGGCGATGGAAGTAGGGGGGGATTCCGCGCGGGTGGTGAGAGTTGGGGCGTTGAGAGTGGAGGAAAGGCGTGGAATATACATTGCGGCTCGATGTGATGTTTATGAAGTTCCCGATGTAACGAGTGGGTAGGATATGTATATTGTTCCCCGGAAGTAAATTTGTACAAAGTCGATCGGTCCGATTGATCAACCTGAAAGGTAAATGATATGCTATCCAGCGATGCGAAAGTAATCTCTTGTAAGCTCGAAAATAAAATGTTGATCCAGCAGTACGTAATAGGTAAAATGTAAAGTATCCAAAATGATATAGAATGAAGTTCCAATCAGTTGCAAAGTTCAAACTAAGTTCCAAGCCCCGGGGTGGTATCAATAACTTTATGATTTGGTTCCCAGGCTGAGTCAAAGAAATCTATTTCGCAGTGGGCGAAGATTCACACAAAGACTTTGTGTTGTGATCTTGCGATATCGATGTTCGTGATAGGTCTAGTTGAGATGATATATTCTTAACCCCCTCTCCTAAAGGAAATGTTCTTTTCAAAGAGACTGAAACCGGCGTTGAAAGAATGTGGGTTCGTCGTAGTGATGGTCGAAAGAATGGACAAAGAGATATCTATCAGATAATCTCCCCTCGTGTAGTGTTATGCTATAATGTCTTGAGCTCGAGCCTGTCGAGTCGATAAAGAAGTTGCGTTGTAAGAGTTATACAAAGAATATCTCAAGGAAGAAATTCCCTTTCCAATTCCCAGAAGACTAATCTCGTCAAGAGATACAGTAATAATATCTGCAATGAATGAATCCCCTCTCCAAATCTTTTTCTAAAATTTCCCACTCATAAAATAATCTCTCCTTGGAATAAAAAGAAAATGTTCCACAAAACCAGTAATATCAAAATTATAGGACAAGAAGATCAGACGAACAGCCCAAGGGGAAATTGAAACGAAACAGGAATTCACCCATCTTCATATATCGTCAATCACCCTCTCAAAATTCAATTATCGCATATCCACCTAACGCATTGTCTCATTCAACTGCACTTAGTACGGCTTGCCACTTGCTAAGCCTACCAATCAAAATCTTCCTTCCTCATCCAGAATAGAAAAAAAGAGTAGAAAAGTTAATCAATATGCCACGACGCCGTTAAGCTTAATCGCCATTCTCGGGCTGGTTCCGTCGTGTTTACGGAGTCTTCGTTCGCGATGTACAGTATCCATCCTGGCAGTCTTTCAAGAAGGGAGAATACCAAGACCGGCGTTCGATATCTGAATGGATGTACGCCGAGACGTGCAGACTTTGTGAGACTGAGGTATGTAAGTACTCCGTACTTAGTTCTGTATATCTCCACCAATATCCAAGTTCTCCTGGGTCCTCCATAACCCTGTTTTGTTTTATGCACCCATTCTTGCTCCAACCTTTTTCCATAAGTAGGCACCACCTCCATTTATCCCTCCGACAATCCCCTAATGCAGTAACACATCTCCATAATCCAATGATCTCCCATACTCGGATGCAAGCTCACAGTACTTCAACTCTCCACAACTTCTTCAAATATATGATCATCACCCCCTGACGACGTTTCCCCTTCAAGCCACTATTGTCTCCCGTCCCATCTCATTTTAAAATCATCCACCCATACTTACGATTTCGAAACCTCGATGGAGACTTGGCTTCGCGCTTGGCTTCCCCAATTGGCTCCCATCCAATCTTACACCGAGACCATCCTGGCACATCTTCACTTGCGCATTCTACCGATGCCAAGATCCATGTGCTTGGACTTCAAACTCCACCCCGAGATATGAAACGGTGATTCGGAACAACTGATCTTGATATTCACGAGAAAGAACGATACCCGAAAAAGTATGCTCAAAAGAAACCTGAACGAAATCAGACGAGTAAAAAGAGCAAGAAATCCGAAAATCTAACCATGTACGCAATACATGAACTCTGCATTGCACACCCTCAAATGACAAAAAGTCAAATAAAATATCTCCCATTGGCACCCCACCCATCCCAGGATCGATAAATGATATTGACCAGAACGACAACCAATTTCCAAAGAATCATTTAAGCTTCTTTTTCGAATCAATATATATAATTAAAACCCTAGAAGCGATCGAGAGGAAAGTGGCTGTAGAATCATTTGGTGTAGAATTGTAGAATCTCACCTATCTACCTACACAAAGGGGAGAAGATTCAATTGGCTCAAGGTTACAGGGTCCTGTTCAAACTTCATTCATGCCATTCAATAGGTAGCTTATCAACCCTCCATTTATATCATCTTCCTCAGTACAAACTACTTCGTACAAAGTATCCAACTTCTCATCTCATCACGTGTAATGATCTGATCTCAATGATTCCTCATAGAGCGAAAAAGTATACTCAGTACATCTCTACTGCTGCAAAAACCAAACTCATCATCCGTCCCCTTGTAGTTTACCATCTCGCTTCTTGCAATACGAGTATCCAGCTTCGAACTTGCTTGAATACTTTCCATACAAGTACCGCGAGTCCCTTTAGATACAGTAAGACATTGAATTCAACATACTACCCAGGCCAAGTATGTAGATACGTAATTGTACCTTTAGAAACCTAGAAATTCACACCCAATCTTCCCAACATTCAGATCACCATCTACAATCAACCACATATAACTACGTAACCAACAAACCACAAATTCCCCTCCTCAAAATCTGAAATCTCAAAATCTGAAATCTCAAATCTCAAATTTCAAAATCTCAAATTCCAATTCCCAATTCTTCATCTCTATAAAAAAGCAATCATAATTTTTAACTATTAATACAAATAAATCTTTTGCAATCTCGAATACCTAGTACTATGCATAAAAACCACAACCACAATAATAATAATAATCAAAATATACGATAATATATTTCTCATATACTGATTGGTATCTTGCGCCCTGCGCACTCATCGTCCATCCATCCATCCATGTTTCTCATGAACCAACTAATCTAATAGACATCTCTTGTCCCTCTCTCTCCCCCTCTCTTTTTCTCCATCTCCACTGCAAATCAAAACCCAAACCCATCACATACAACCCATAAAGGAAACAATATAGTTCAAAAAGGAGGGTATTTCAGAAATGAATGAAAAATGGAATATGTATGCATCTATGGATATAAGATGGATGTCAAATAAATGAAGCCAAGCTGCTTCGTAACGCATGCAGCTGCCCTTTGAATCGTACCCAGTGGCACGTGAAGTTGTCGTAACGATTAGAAATTTTCTTTGCCCCAGCAGAAATTGAATCCTATTCCAGTATTAGTACATTGTATCAATGTGAAAAGGAGATTAATGGAAAGTACTAACCAGGCTCACTATACATATTACACTTGATATGCAACTGACTACCCAACACCTTTGGACCACAGAAGAACACACCCGCTTCACTAGGACTATGAATCTTCCTCACACTCTTGAAAATCATATCCCAATTAGGTCTTCCAAAATTGGTTGGTGCTCTCAAACCGGTAATCGCATCACGATCTGCATTTGCATCATTGATCATGATATTCGTCGCATCATCCACCTTAATCTTAGCCGTCAAATACGTATGAATCTCAATCCTGTTATCCATATCCTGAGCTTCGATTGCCAATAAAAGCGAACGGAACCATTCGAAAGAACCGAAATCACGACAAATCCAGAAGAAATAGACTTTTCCGAGACGCGTCTTCTTTTGAGGATAGTTCATGCGGTACCAAATAGATTTGAGAATCGAGGCGAAAGGGGTAACACCAATACCGGCACCACAGAGCATAGCGACTTCGAATTTGAAAACATCCTCAGAGGCGGAACCGAATGGGCCATCGACGTAGACACGGGGTAGGATGCGACGAATAGCCGAATCAGCTCCATCGGATCCTGGTGAGCCTTGATTGACACCAACAACTTGGGATCCTCCCTTTCCATCCTTTGGCTTATCAAATTCACATCCAAGGGCTTTTCCAACAGCTCTAGTAAAATCTCCCACCATTCTGATATGAATGGAAATATAATCTTCTTCGGGGGCCGATGTGAGAGTGAAAGGATGGTATTGATAAATCGAGACCTCGGGACAACAGAAAAAGATATATTGACCAGCTCTTGTCTTTGTATTCTCTTTCTTGATTTGAATTTCGCAAACGTTGGAAGGATGCTGAACAACTTTCGAAACGTAGGTCTTATGCTTCCCGCGGATTTCACGTGCAATACGTTCAGCGAGGTAAATGTAACCACCATACATCCAGTATTGCCAGAAGACACCAATAGCCGATGTACCAACACTAACACAGTAAGGTGCGGTATCTGGTTGAATCATACAGAAAGCTCCGTGGACGGACCAGAATACAAAGAAGATGACGAAAAAGTGATGAGTGTACCAGAAACGTTCGAAGTTTGCCCGACGATATTTTTCGTATGAAGTAATAGCCATAGCCATAAGAGCAACCAACATAACATATCCAGTCCATCCAGGTCCACTGACAAAGTTGGCGAGGAGGAAACCACCAATACCGAGATTATTCTTTGCTGAAATTTGAGCAAAGTTGTTCCAATGCGCAATAGTATGTACCCAAGAGAAGAATACAATAGACCACGCTGTGAGCATATGGAAAGTGATATTCTTATCGAATTGTACAATGCCGTTCAAAGGGGTTTGACGTGCCAAAGAGATCAAAGTACGACAAACCGGGAACAAAATCATAGCAACATCGAAATGCAGCGTCAAGGCAGCGGATCTAGCAATCGCATAGGTGACGGTAAATGTACTTCGTGCAATACCAAAACTATCCTTGAGCTGATAATTCAAGAAACCGAATGTGAAAACCATGACATGGAGTAAAGCGAAGACGAAGACGAAACTGAAATGATGTTAGTGACTCGATGCTTCCTGTGATTCTAGTAATAACCCACAATCGTCGATATCCCTCGTTAACCATCCATCTGTCGAATTTCTCCCTCATCGTCAATTCCCTCGGCATTTCCGCCGTCATCTCACCAGACATTAACATTCTCGTCAATGGTGGCCATCTTGATCTCTCCGAAACCCTCACCGACCCCGTACTCATTCTGTCATAAGCCTTTTCAGACATCTTAAACTTTGCGACCTGGAATCGTGATTTTTGAAGGTCGTTCTAAAATAAAAAAAATCCCTCCGTCTTCTTTCTCGTCCAAATTATACGTGGGTATCGTTGTAGTATTAAAGGGTAATATGATTCAGGACCTGCTGAATAGACAGAAGTTCCCAAAAGAAGGTAGTCGTAAAAACGAAAGAAAATTATTTGAATGAACGTAAAAACGATAAAAGCCTATTGGAAACCCCCCCAAAATTGTCAGTAAAGAATTTCATTCTAGCTTGCGACGTGGTTGCAAGAGAAGTAATACAACAATCAACAAGACACTCGGCGTCCAAATTCAAAACGTACCTGTAATCAATGCCTGCACCGATGGCTGTCCCAAAATCAGCGAATTAATATCGAAAGTTGTATGACTTCACTTTGCAGAGATCCCAAAAAGAAAAGACAAGAGAAATCCAAGAGAAGAGGTGTTCAGAGCAGAGGAGAAGAAACGAGGAAACTCTCTGCCAAGGAGAAGGAGGGAGGAAGGTAATGTCACAAAACATTCAGAACATCACGTTTATGCATGGGGAACAGGATGTGATGGCCTGACAATTAGATTCGTATGGAAGTGTCTGAGCATAATGTATAGAACAAATTCAGTCTCATGGGTTCGAGAGTCGAGAAACCAGCGTCTCTGAGTTGCAATGGGTGGTCAGAGAGAGGGGCTTCGAAACAGTGATAGTGGTGGCCATAGTTGACTAGGGGGTTTAAGGTTTAGTCTCATCAGCTTTTTGGACGTGTGAGAGATGAAAAATTCTTCGAGCAGGATTGCCGAAAGGTACGTGGGAGAGAAAATGGTCGAGGGGAGGATTGGGGATTGATGTTACATGGGTTGAGAGGGGCCGTGGTTGGTCTGTTTGATATGGGGTTCTAAATTTGTTACGGATAACCTTAATAAGCGCGAATCTGAACAACAGTTATTGTCCTATACATCAAGGATACGAAGTTCACCCGTTCACGCGTTCAATCGGTTATTGCTTGGGTTGACCAATTGACTGATTGCGTTAAGGATTACGAGAATGTTGCTGTTCTGGTGTTGAATTAATCGAATGATAAGTCATATGCTATCTCATCCATCCTAACCAGAACAAACCACCTACAAATTACCAATATCCCACTCGCCACACCTCTCACCATCACACACACAACCCCGTTTTCGAAACCTCCCAGATGTAACCCCAAGCCTCCGTATCCTATCTTCGTTCCAGAAATCCCCGCCCGAAACCTGCCCAGAGCGCTGCGCGAGCGTGCGAGCCTAGCATGCATTGCGAAAAACTGAAACCAGAATCATCTAAGCCATAATCAGCAGCCAATCAGAATACACACGCATCTGACATTATCGTACAACAACTACCCCAAAAATATCCAAGATGTTTGATGCACTTCTGAGGCTCAGAGATTTAATAGAAATGAAAATCCGCGGCGGTAAGCCTTGTCCTATTGAATTCGTGATTTTAGATATGGGAGTGTGGCTGGCGAGTGTAGCTGATGATGAAGGGGTACCATTCGTGTCTCCTCAAAGCTTATTTGCGCCCTGTGGATAACTCAATATCAAAGTATTCAACATTGGCAACGGCGCGCATGATGATGATGCCAACTAATCAGATACAAATACCTATATCAGCGTACGATATCCCAACACCAATTGTATGATCTCCCAAGCCTTGCTACACTATTTCTTCTCTCATCAGCCCATTAATCCATTCCCATTACGCCATTCCTTACCTCCAAGAAAAATCCCTTGTATAGATCGGTTAATAGGTATCTTCGATGATCACCTGCCATTAGAATATTCTCAGGAATCGCTCAACTAGGCCTCTACACGATCTATAGATAGATAGATAGATAGATAAATACAACTCAGCAATCCGTACCGAGAACTCCCCGTCCCCCCTCATCTTCCATCCTTCCCGTCGATCCCCCTACCTACGCAACACAAAGAACACAAACAGGTACAACTCCAACTATAATTCCAGCCCTACCTTGCCATACATAATCCTTCAATTCCAAGCATCTCGACTAATCTTTTCCTACAACCGCTCCGCTCCACACATATCTCCACGCATACCGACACGTAGTACATACATAGTACGTCAAAATCAGCCCACATCACCATCTCAAACTCATCCTCACACCTCCGTAAACCCCAAGAATCAAAACGCGAAGACTCGGTAAAATTCCCGTTTGATATTGATGAACAACAAGGAACCCCATAGACACATGCAGTATCCGGTATTCAGTGCCGGGCTTAGGTTAAGCTAGCTAGCTAGGTGTGAATTTTATACTGACTTCGTGCATGTATGACTACATATCCATGAAGAGTACGGGTACCTACTTTCTAGATTTTACAAGAGAAAGCGCCGACTCATAGATACATACCGGGGTACAGTGTTCGCACCGTGAGAGAAGAGGTTACAAGAGTTTCAAGACATATCTTTGCTACCTAGTACCTATGCATCTTCCAATTACATTCTTTCCTCTACCCTCTCCTCCATTCCATCCCTCTCTCACATCTGCATCCCTTCCCTCCCCCTTCAAAATCCCTACAAAACCTCATCATCTTCACACCCACCATAACACAACCTCTCCAACCCCTCCCCCTCGGTCCCGAATCCTAACAAACAAGGTACGTACCCTCCCTCCCCACGAACCTCAAACCTCAAACCCCAAACACACCATCTCTCCTTCCTCTTCCCTCCATCCACCTCCGAAACATTCTCACATTACCAAATTCCCACACCATCAAACCCAAATCTAAAATCTAAAATCTCAAACATCAAACATCAAACATCCTCACGACAGTCAGTCAATCAGACCCACTCACCATCTCAGAACTCAGAACTCAGAACTCAGAACCCAGAATCGACCCAAGCGCTTACACAGACACACTTCTACCTCACTTTCTCCGTCTGTGCCTCAACACACAAACAACAAGAAGAACAAGAAGAAGAAGAAGAAGAGAAGATCATCACCATCTCCCTCCTCAATCATTCTCCTCAATCACCATCTCCCCCACCATCCCAGCAACTCTCCAGCAACACTCATCACCCCAATCCTAATCCTCCTTTCTACCTAAATCCAGATCCCACCCCGTATACTCTAGCTACAAATTCTCCTCCCTCACACCCAAACCAAACAAAAAACACATACATACTAAACTTAGCCCCCATGACAAGAACATCGCCCAAAAACAAACAAACCAAGCCAAATAACCACATAAATAACCCCTGAAGTGAAACAATGAAAGAAACTAGTTTGTATTATCCTTACCATAAATGCCATAAACAGACGGATCACACAATTACCTTTCATACCCAATCTTGTGTTACGGAAGGACGGATGGATATCACTAAATACCCATCACATTTCCCACTATTTCACCAATATCACATTTTACACCCGATACTGTATCTCAAAACTCACATCTTCACACTCACTCACAACTACCCCCTTTCAAAAGGTATCGTCACGAAATCAGGAAGAAGAAAAGCAAACCACAAAGTAAGAAAAGCTCCGAGTAATGCTATGGACCTGAATATCAAAGAATAGGAGGAATAGTAAGAAAAAGGCGGTGACGACGACAACCCGTTCATCATGCAACATGATCATCTAATTCCCCAAGCACATCCCTTATTTATCATCCATCACCACCCATCCATTCATCCATCATATTGCATTCTCCCGATATCTATCCACGACAAATCTTTCTCGCCTCTCCCACAATTTCTGCCCCAATCCATCGCAAAATCTTCCCCCCAGCAGTAGCGCTTACAAGTCTGCCATGTAATGTATTCCGTGTGTAAAAGAGTAAAGTACCTAAGTAAACCCAGACCAAAAAGTTGTCCATTCATCGAGTTTCGTTGACGCCAGCAAATCCTTTACGCAATAGGATAGAATAGAAGAGATAGAGAGAACACAGAGGAAATTCATCAACCCATCCATTATTCCGATCCGTCATGCTTTGTCATATGTAATTTGAAGGTTATAGTAGGTAATTTAGATGGCGTATTTTCGGGTCCATTCTCTGGCTGTGGCCTCATATCTAGATCGGTCGGTCTTGTAAACGTGTGCGATCTCTGGAACAAGTGGGTCATCGGGGTTGGGGTCGGTGAGCATGGAGCAGATAGACAAAAGGACTAAAACAAATGATTAGTTGTGATTCATCAAAGAGTATTGAAAGTGACAATTTACCTTTAGAGATAGTCAAAGCTGGGGACCATTGATCTCTCAAAATGTCTAAACAGATGCTTCCGTTCGAGTTGATGTTTGGGTGATAGATTCTAGTTGTGAAGCTGACCTTGGGAGGCTTGAATGGGTAGTCGGTAGGGAAATGAATGGCGAGGAAGAAGACACCTCCGGTATATGGTGAGTCAGACTATTAGAGATGTTAGTAAATTGATAGATGATCGTGATAACTCATGAAATTCGAAATTTCAAAGATCGTTGGCAGAAGGGCCTCGGATTAAAGAGACTTGGAGATAAGATCAAACTTACAGGACCCATGATAGTAGCTTGCCAGTGGAACTAAATGAAACAAATAATGTTAGTATCCATTCTTCGATATATCTTACTCGTCATGATGTGATATCTATCTTGAGCGCATTCCAAGGTATTCTGTGCCTCGAAGGGGCATCAAATCCTGAAGGAGGAACAACATACCAAATCGTCTCCTATAGGACCAGCAGAGCATGATGAGGGAGGATCACTATTCAAACATCATATTAGCATACTATTCCCAATACCATCCATATGAAATATCATCGCCGTCATGAAGTTTTGGATAATCCTGCACCAGACCCCGCTCACGAAGTAGCCCCACCAAGATCTTTCAAACGTCGTGGCGGTGACAAAAATGACAAGAGAAATAACATACCGGCCCAAGTCTGTGAGTTCCTTGTTGATTCTCTTCAAAGCCATTTTGAAGTATGTATTATTGTGTGGAGGATGTTGTGTAGTGTGAAGGGTTGTCGAGTATGTTGATGAATTTCTCGAGGTTGCAGTAGTTTAATGGACTGGTGAGTAAGTGGGCTGGGATTTCTGGTAGACACGATTTTGTTGTTAGCGACCACCCATAAAAAAAAACACGCGAGCGGCTATGCCGAAGATGACGGAAGGGGATAGAGATTGTGGGTACAAGATGGTACAGAAGAGAGAAGCGGTAAATCTTTATATCAATGTATTTTGGAGAGTCGTATAGATGGTATAGACAAATACATGGAGAAGTAAAGAGTGCTGGAGATTTTAAATGGAATAACAAGAAAGATCTTGGAGTACATACCAAATGGTCGTTGACTTTTTGTTGTCCTTGAGAGAGAGTAGAGAGTCGAAGGTATTCTTTCTTTTGACTACTAGGTAGGTAGGCACTTGGGGAAAGGAGGAAGAGTTCTATTACAGGTGGAATATCTTTTCTCAAATTCAGTTGTAAAATCAAGTCGGCAAGTTAACTTATTTATCAAGAAGTCGCAAGTCTGAGTCTGAGTCTGAGTCTGTGTCTGTGTCTGTGTCTGTGTTAGCTAATAACTGTACGATGAATGTTCTTGGGCAGCCAGCCGTCGTTTTGCCTTTGCTTTTGGTTTGCCTTGTGCCTTGGCCTATCTTGTTCGCTTTGGGGCTGCAAAGGAGCGGCGAAAGTGCAGTATGAAAGCGCAGTATTCAATTATCATTCCAACCTATGATATACTTCCATACAATTACTCAGCTGTACATTTATTCACTCTTCTTCTTTTGCTAACACATCACATCACTTACCGGTACCATAGAAGTTAAAGGATTCACTTCGAACTTACTTGAAGATTACTAATTTCTTGTCAACTCTTCACAATTCATGAGCAATCACGGAAGGGATGGTGGCTATGACAGCTATGACAATTCACATGTGGATGGAAGAGAAGGCCATCAACAATATTTGCCTGAGTCGGCAATGTATCCTCAAATCCATTCACGAAACATAATAAGCTTTACCAATCCATTCAAATATCTACTGTTCATTCAATATACATGAATTCTCTTCTTATTCTTCCACTGTCCCCGAAAATATCCGAATGGTGGCAAATTTCAAAGCCTTTTCTCCTCGAGAAGTCAGGTATATTCGACCATTTCAAATTCTCACGTTTTTCATGTTAGACAAGGTATAATGAGTAAGATAGATAGATATACAAGGTCCATTCCACCAAAGCTCAAGACATTGCTGATATTGATTTTCGACTTTACATTTCTTTGTTCAATCAAGGCATGTTGTAATAATTCCTACACATCTATTCCTCCTATTCACCCCTTTTCAAAAAGAAGCCTCCTTTTCAGGAGTCAAGAACCGAAACCTTGATGGTCCACGGGTCATTCTACTCCAATTTTTATATGGCCCAATCAATATCTCATACATACATTTCTCATTCCCATTTGCTAACTCGTTTAACTCGACTCATCAACCCATTTCAATCAACAAAATGCTTGAATACCAGTAATTGCTCTTCCCAGTATCAAACCTAATGCATTTGTTAGCATTAATTCGAATCACATCATCAACTAATAAGAAAAGATCAAGGCAAAACTTACAATGAATATCACTTTGTCCTTCGTAAGTTTGGGTGACAAACAAATTCGAAACATGCCTTCCAATACCATACTCATCACTCGCAGCATTGCCACCAAAGATCTCCTGTAATGTTCTCGCATTTCGAAGTGCAGCATCGCAATTCTGTCTCTTAATCATACTGATCATCTCCGGTGCTGCTTCTCCCTTGTCCTTAAGTCTTCCAACCTGAACACAAGCCAGTGTACCAAAAGCCGCGTCTGAGACGGCATCTGCTAGCTTCTTCTGGACGAGTTGATATTTGGCTAATGGATTGCCTTTGAATTGTTTTCGTTCAAGGGCATATGTCCTAGCTCGATCAATACAATCTTCCAGTGCACCTGTCATTCCCCAAGCAATACCATATCTTGCACTATTCAAACAAGTAAATGGTCCTCGAAGACCCTCGACTGTTTGGAACATATTTGCTTCAGGTACTGGACATTCATCGAGTTGAATCATACCAGTTAAAGAAGCTCGAAGTCCATTTTTATCTTTCAAAGCAGGTGTTTCCAAGGTCCCCGGTGGACAATCTGCTCGATCGATGATGAAACCTCTAATCTTGCCAGTCTCTTGTAACTTGGCCCATACCAAGAATACATCTGCGATTGGAGAATTTGTGATCCATGTCTTCGCTCCTGATATTGAATAATAGCCCTTCTTTGTTGGATGAGGTTTCGCTGTTGTCTCCATGGAACCGGGATCACTACCATGATTCGGCTCTGTCAAACCAAAACAACCCAACAATTTCCCCTTTGCCAGTTTTGGCAAGTACTTCTCCTTTTGTTCTTGTGTGCCGAACTCGTCGATACCTCCCATTACCAGCGAAGACTGTACTGACATTCCAGATCGATATCCACTATCTACTCGTTCAACCGCCTTGGTAATAAGTCCCGAAGCAACATTTGATACACCAGCGCAGTCGTAACCATTAATCGTAGCTCCTAATAGGCCTAGTTCCCCCATTTCTTCGAGTATCTTTCGGTCATAATGTTCGTCTCGATATGCCTCTATTTAACCCCTCCTTTAGCTTGCGCTCCCGACATACAATTAACACACTTACGCAAAACTCGAGGTAGCATCCGTTCCTGACAATATTGCTCCGCAGTTTCTGAAATAGCTATTTCTTCCTCTGTAAAAAGATTTTGTGCGTTTAAAGGATCTTTCCAATCAAATGGTTGCGGGGTAGCATGAGCAGCAAGACCTCTAGTAGTAATAGCTACCGGTCTCGCATTTGCCAATTGCCTACCGGCACTTCGTAATATCGGTCTATACATCTTTAAATTCGACAAGTAAATTGTATTATCACTTGAAGATAAAGAAAACGTGAGAGGGGCTGTTGGGTATAAACACTTCCCCAGGTGTACTAAAGTTATAAACTAATCCGGGCCACCATTTAGTTGGATTTGGAGCTCCGAGGCATGTTCGGATACAAACGGTTGTCGATCCGTGTGTACATGTTGCATTGTGAGTAGATAGGCATGTAAGGATTCAACCATGCGGTAAATCCATAATTCCGTATGAAGATGGAGACAATTAGCCACAGAGGTGTAAAGTAAAGTAAAGTAAAGTATGAGCTAAATAGGTTGACAAATCTTTACATCCACCGGTGATCACATATCGTTAGTTGACTTTGTAGTAAAGGTCTTACAAGCGGCCCCTAGATATGATGAATACCTAGTAGTCTCGTAGTTCCCCCGCAACCCGATCGGATGCCTGAAATCATAGCGGCTTCTGTTGCCTAAGGCTTGAACCACTTAACGCGAGAAGATCGCGCGTCATGCACTTCATTCGCGTCAACTCCAAACTCTATCCAAAATCAAAAGTCTTCCCTCTTCCTCAACTTTTTGCAATTTAAACCATACATCAACTTCACTCTTTTGATAAAGCACCACCACAATCATGGGTATCAAACAGTTGATGTCAATCATCAAGGATGAAGCTCCTGATGCAGTCAAGGAAGGAGAAATCAAAAATCAATTTGGTAGAAAAGTTGCTATTGTAAGTATCTTACTGCTATTCATTTCATACTCACATTTGCGCAATTGACTGACTTTTCTCTAGGATGCGTGTGTACTTCCTACAGTAATATCCACACCTCTTAGAAACTAACATCTTTCAGATCCATGTCCATCTATAGTTTCCTCATCGCCGTCCGCTCTGGAGGTGAGATGCTCACAAACGAAGATGGCGAAACTACCTCTCATTTAATGGGCATGTTTTACCGCACCCTTCGTATTGTCGATAATGGTATCAAACCAGTCTACGTATTCGATGGTGCACCACCGAAACTCAAGTCCGGCGAATTGGCAAAACGTTTCCAGCGCAAAGCAACTGCAACAGAAGGACTTGAAGAAGCAAAGGAGACTGGTACTGCAGAAGATATTGAGAAGTTTTCAAGGAGAACCGTTCGTGTTACTAGGGAGCATAATGCAGAGTGTCAGAAACTGTTAAAGTTGATGGGTATTCCATATATTATTGCGCCAACGGAGGCAGAGGCACAATGTGCTGCGTTGGCTCGAGCAGGAAAGGTTTATGCTGCGGCAAGTGAGGATATGGATACTTTGTGTTTCGATTCTCCCATTCTTCTTCGACATCTCACATTTAGTGAACAGCGTAAAGAACCCATTCAAGAAGTTAGTTTGGAGAAAGTTCTTACAGGATTAAACATGGATCGCAAACAAGTAAGAAACCTTTACGCTTATCCTAGACTACGGCGCAATACTAACAAGGTTCAAAGTTCGTGGATCTTTGCATCCTTCTCGGCTGCGATTACCTCGACCCTATACCCAAAATCGGTCCCCATTCCGCCCTCAAACTCATTCGCGAACACGGCGATCTCGAAACCCTAGTCGCATGGATCACTGCCGACAAGAAAGAACGCTATGCCATTCCCGAAGATTGGCCATACCAAGACGCCCGCGAACTATTCTTCAAACCCGATGTTCGTCCCGCCGACCACGAGGATTGTGACTTCAAATGGGAAGCCCCCGACATTGAAGGACTCATCAAATTTCTCGTTGTCGAAAAAGGTTTCTCGGAAGATCGTGTTCGCAGCGCTGCTCAAAAACTCACCAAGAATTTAAAATCATCGCAACAAGCTAGACTAGAGGGATTCTTCAAACCAATCCCAAAGACAGATGAAGAGAGAGCAAATCTGAAACGTAAAAATGATGAGAAGAACGAGGCGAAGAAGAAGAAGGTCAAGGACGAGAAGAAGGAAAAGGCAAAGGCGAAAGCAAAGCCTAGAGGAACTGCTTGAGTTTTTAAAACTTATTCATGCCTTTCGGATGGGAGAAACGTGTATTATTTGCTAGATCAGGGTTTGCTTTACTTGCACAGGCGCACATGCATTAGATGAATAAATGTTAGGAAGACAGGGAATGGAGTTCAAGGCGGTAGGTAGGTAGGTAACGTAATATATTCCTGCTTGGGGTAGAAATAACTACGATTACGACTACAATTACAAGTACAACTATCTACTCATACTAGGTAGGGTAGCTGGAAAGGAGAGGGTGGTATATTGACATAGAGAATAACATAGTAAATCGATGCGCTACCAATAAATACACTGCAATACAATGTAGTACAATACATCAAATTCATCATTAACCTCATCACAGATACTTTATATCCCCACTACATCACAGCATATATGCATACATCTATCTATCTATCCATTTAATTGCTGTCCTCTATCTATTCATCCATCCAAACTCGGTCACCGCTGATTAGATTTTCTTGTCTTTATCCTATCTTATACTATCCTATACTATCTCATCTCATCCCGTCCCATTTCAAACCACCTCACCTCTCATCCACTATTGCACCCGCTCATCCCTTCTTCTTTCTCCTCCTCCTCCCCTTACCTCTCTCGCTTATGAGGACCTTTACCCCCCTCTCTCTCTGTATATATATATACTCTCTTCACTTAACAATCCAATTTGCTCAAAAATTCAATTCACCTTACCCCCAGAGCTCTTTTTAATTAAAACTTAATACTAACATTTCAATTCGCAATTTCATCATCTTTATCGTTCATTCATTATTATCTATTATTCTATTCTATTCTGATCCATCTACTCTATTCTAATCTCTACTTTCCTCTTCTTTCCTTTTCAACTCTCTTCTAATCAGTAGTAATAACAGTCGCAATACCAATAACAATACCAATAATAAACAATTCCCTTCCCCTCTTTACCCAGTCTCGCATACTATTCAACACCATCTCATCTTATGCTTTATTCATCCTCTCTCCATCCATCCATCCATCATATTGTATCAAATATTGAACAAACACACACACACGTTCCCCCAAAAGCAATTTCTACTTGATCACCCCATACTGTTCATTCCAGTACCAATGCCAATAACATCCCAACCCTGGAAACCCACCAAAACAACAATAAACCCCCAACCACCAATCCATACATATCTTCCTCCCCTCCTACCCCTCTTTTCCACATCTTCCCCATCAATCCATCTATCCCTCAATCCTGTCTCCATAAAATCCCTCCACCAACCCAATCCCAAAAGCCTTTCCCATTCCCATTTCCCACTCCCCTTTCTTCAGAATCCCAATCTCCATCTTCATCTTCATCCTGATCACCATAAACATCCCGCGCCCTCATGTTTGCCACATTACCCGCGCCACACTCATGTTTCTTCCCATCTTTCCTCCCACCCTTTCTCCCACTTCCACTTCCACTCGGTTGACACCAACAACACCGTTTATCACAATCGTGCATTTCATCCTTATCTTCATATCCATCCTCTTCCAAACTCCCCCTCTCACCACCACAAACTCTTCCCCCCTCCTTATCTTTTCCCTTCTCCATCCCTTTCAAAACTAACTCCCTTAATTCCTCTACCACACCCCCAAGTCTCCGAATCTCCATCTTATCCCCTTCCCGTTCCCTCTCCCACCATTCCTCCCTCTTCATTCTCTCTCCTTCCTGTTTTGCCAATAAATCTTCAATCAAATATTCCACCATCTTTTCTTCCGCATCTACCTCCCTTTCTACTCCTACCCCCTTTCCATTTCCTTTCATCGATACATCAAAATCACTCTTCTCCATTTCTGCACCCTTTCCCCCCAAAACTCCAGCATCAAGCAACCCCTCCATTTCCATATCATCCAATCTCCGACCCCCAATAATCATACACCCGTGTTCACATGCCACCATTCCAACTCCCTCTTCCACAATTCGAGTCGACCTCTCACCCTCCTTCCTCTTTCCTTTCTCTCTTCTCTTATCACCTCCCAGACCTTCAAACTGGCTCGATAAATATCTAAAAGCCTCTCGCTGATCCATAAAATTCCCCTCGCTATCAACATATCTCACCTCCACCTTTCCATTAGCTTTACACTCCTTTTCAAAACCCTCATCAAGTCGTTCCAACTCCGATTCATTTTCACCACCTCGCTTTCCGCACTTTTTATTCCGAGTCACTCCTCCAAAACCCGTCTCGTTCTTCCTGCTCTCCTCCATTTTTCTCTTCCCCTCTTTTTCCATATCCCCTCTACTTTCGAGACTCGACAAGTCTGGAAGCTTTTGTATACTTAAAGGACACTGAGTCCAACTTTCAGATTGACCCCCAGTCCAATCCGCATACAAAGGCACCTCAGACGCCAACTCACAATTCCTCACGTCCGACTCTGATACCTTTGAGTCCCTTCTAATCATCCAATCTCGCGCTCTCATATCACCAAGCATCCCCACGTCACAATCCTCACTCTTCTCATCCTTCAAATCCCATCTTTCTCCCTTCGACCTCGCAATCTCCCCCTCCAGCCCCACCTCATCCGCGGACAAGTCTCTAATCACTCGCTGCGGTACTGTAGTACGAGATTCATTAATTCTCAACTCACCACTAACCGCCGACTCCCTACTCCCGAGTTTTTCCATCGAGATTTGCGGAGCAGAAATATCCTCATCCTCAAGCTCAGGATTTTTTAAATTCGGTATCATCAAATCTTTCTCAAATGATTTATTTTGTTTTCCCTTCAAGAATCCATCCACCACACGCGCAACTTCCTCTGTATCACTTTTCTTCTTCATCCTTCCCACGATCTTCAATAATCCCACATCCCTAACCTCTCTCATCCACTCTATCTCCTCCAAATTTATCCAAACCCCTCCTTCCTCCCAATCTTTCCCATAAACCACACTCCAAACATCCTTCACTTTATCTCCTAACCGTCCTCCCACCTTCCCAACATCCTCTACCCCAAACTCAACAGCCCCTCCAAATTCCCTCTCTAACCTCCCCACCATATTTTTCAACTCCTCGACTTCCCTCCTCAAATCCCTCATCCCCCCCTCCATCCCCTCCACCCTCGAATTCTGGAAAATCTTCCCCAGCGAAGAACTAGATGTCTTCATCAAACTCGGCGATTTTGACCGATTAACTTTTTGCAATTTCTTACGAGGAGATGGAGAGCGAGTACTTCCAGCCGGAGATTCCACCGCTAGTAATGGTGGCGAAGTAGGACCATCCAACTGAGGCAACGAACGTCGTATAATCGTAGGAACTACAATCTTCATCAACATCATTCAACCCAACACCCAAACATAACAATCAGAGAACTCACCATCACGATACTTAACCTGTGAGCTACCCATCGAAACCCGTCCATTCTCATCCGTCGTGAATTTCCACGATCCCAAATCCACCATCTTCCTCTTCATCTCTCGATCCATCGCCGGAAGTTTCTTTCTCTCAATCTCAGTCTCCGTATCCATCTTTTCCATCGCCTTCCCAAACTGAGCCATCGGTCCCTCCGAATTGGCTCTCCAGAATTTTTCCATCTCCTCTTCAATCTCACTACGTCCTTCTTTCCCCAGCAACCATTCCTCCGACCCATCTCCACTCGAATCCTTAGACTCGTCAGCTCTAAACGAACCAGACGAATACTGATGAACCCAATGCAAATCATTCGACCAACAAGGCTGCGAGAATGCTCTCTCTTTCGCTGGATATTGCGAAGCCTTTCTCTCCATCGCAATACCCCCCAATTCCTGCGATGCAGTCTTCTCGTGTGCCTGCGATTCAAACATCCGGTAACTCGCGGGCGTTTTACCACCTTTTGCTTTGACAGTGTGATAACGACCATGCTTAGGTGTCATCAACTGTATAACCCTTTGATGCACAGGCGAGAAGCGCTCCGAATTCGCAATATCGCGCTCATTCTCACGTTCAACAGAATCTTCACGAGTTCCCTTGTGATCTGAAAAGTCTCCATCAATCTCTTCCCCAGGAACACGTAATTTAACTTGTCGACATGGAGAGTCCGACGATGCACAGTTTTCACCATCCACACCAACACCTACACATAACTCACCCACATCTTTCTCCAACCCAGCCTCAGCATAATCTCTTCCCCCCCTCCCCATCACAGACAACGAGATCGGACTCCCAAGGTTACTCGAAACCCCCTCTAGACTCGCGATTGCACGATCATCCTTCCTGTGCATCCGAGCCGAACAATCCCCGCCTAATCCCTCAATATTCGTCACCAGATTACCTTCCCCCACACCACGATCCTTAAGTCCACTCGCACAAAACTCTATCTCTTTCAACGAACTCACTTCCCCCACCATCTCATTGCTTGCGCTAGAACGAGTAGGAGAAGGCGAGCGATAAAGACCCTGCTTAGCTTCTTGTACCAAATGAGGTACTTTGAGAGAAAATCCTCGGATACTCTCTTTCCGTCTATTCTCTTGCGATGCATCAAGAGCTTTGTCAACAGATTTCGATATCTCATCCCAGAGTTGCTCATGTGGGCTTTTGACAATTTTCTCTGGCTCTTTCTCCTCTTTGAGATTTAAATCAATATCGATTGCATGGGTAAACTTTATATCAAGATATCTATCCTTCTTTTCACTTTCCGAAGTGTGCACCGAGTCCACCCTGAAAAGTCTTTCCAGCTCATTTTCGCCCTCAGAGCTATTCTTCCTGATGCAGCTAGCAGCTGATGTGATATGAGAATCTGGCTCATTTTTGCTTCCGGCAAACGCATATTCATGCCAAACAGCTTGTGTATCTTCGGCAGGTATGCCGACAATCTCTGATGGCAGGGGTAAGCTCGTTGGAATACCATATTTAGTATCCACTGATTCCTTCTGAGCAAATACATTATTGTCCGAATCTTTGATTCGATCTTCCTCCTCCCTGCTTGCTCGAAACATCCTATAATTACTCGCCATAATACGACTGAGACCTCGCAATGACGAAGAAAAGTCATCTGCATCCTCTCCATTTGAATCATCCATATCCATTGGCGCAATGCCATTCCCATTTACCTTACTCGGAGTCGATGAATGCTCTGACCCCTCTTGCAGATTTTTATCCATCTTCTCTTCCCGCAACATCTGCAAACCACTTCCAATCTCCCCAATCGCAATCAGATTTCCCTCGCCATCTAGCGAACCAACATTCAAAGGCTTAACCATAGCTTCCTCAACATCATAAGTTGCAATACTAACAACAGTAACGATCGACTCATCCGAATCAGTTTCAGATGCCATAATAGAGTCTATTACCGAGTCTCTTCTAGGACCTGGACCTGGACTCGATTTCCCACTATCTTCAGTGGAACTCGAACCATCCATTCCCGATCCAATCTTCGCGCTACTCTTTCTCTTCTTGAGAACCGTGCCAGTCTTGATAGGTGTTCTCTCTCTTCGTCTAACCGTCTCCTTCCCACTGGCCGAACCCGAGCCAGCCCAAATATGCATTTTGAGTATTTCATCAATCAATCAATCAACGAATAATGAATGAGGAATGCTGTGCGTGGTAACTAATCTACCACGAGATACCCCACCTAACTGATTTAGTACCGGCTTCGTCCACAGGGAAAACTATGTCTAAGAGTCAATCAGTGTGTGAATATAAAGATCGATTCAACAGTCAGCAGGTCCACTTCGAGGGCCCAGGAAAATCAGCACCATGCACTTACCCAGATCCTTATACTTCGCTTCTGGATTCTCCAAAGGTACAGTCTCTGGACTCAACGGAGGATCAAAACAGTACAAGTACGATACTAACTCGCCCACACGAGCGAAGCTCTGCACCGCAATGCGCACCCCTTCTTTGGTAACCGGCAACAAGCTATCAGGAATGTGAAGGATATCAGAAGTGTACGCTACTGCGGTACAAGCTTTATGCAATTGGAACTCTTGTCGTTCGTGCACCGATTCAATGTCAATGCTGCGTACGTATTCCTGTGTCGGGATTTTGCAGACACTCAAACTACTTTCGAGGATCGTATAGGCTTTGACCAGAATCCTAATTTCAATCTTGAATAGTTTCGGTACCCTGTGCGGAGATAGGACCGCCGGGTGGAAAGGGGGTAGAGGACGTTCCCCACAGAGTATTGCTTCCCAATTACGCTCCAAATACTTTTGTTTCAGTTGTGGGAACACGCAAGTCAATTGTGCTGCAGCCAACTTTTCGAATTGATCTTCGATATCTGCGCCTAACAAGTCTTTGATTTGGAGTTCTTGACTCCGCTGGCGTGCGTCAGAAAGAGTCTGTTCAAGTTCAGCAACGTACGCTTTGGAATTATCGCGGTTGGCTTTTCCGCTGTGTCGTATTGAGCGGCGATGGCAGATACTTTGTACTCTTGTTCGATCTGTTTCTCAAGTTCGAGAATTTGTTTATCTATATCCTCAACTGGCTCAGGTCTTTCTTCTGCCATCGGAGGTCCAACAGTAAGTGGCAAGTCGTTACAGTTTCTCGCAAGAAATGTAGAAGAGGGGGTATCCCAACGGTTGTCCTAGCTGTGCCTTATTGTTGGATGTTTGGCTTTGATTATAGTTTTCCTGCAAGACAACCTGTGCTAGACTTGATGGCGGTGGGTGCCTAGAATTTAATGATCGATGTTGTACCTAATTGATATGCAAAGCCCCTGGTGATTGCAAGTTACCAAATGCTGGCGAGCTTCTCTATACGCCCGCGTCTCTTGATTCTCGAAGATTCTGTGCTTCGGTCGAATCCGTATTGAAGATGCTCTGATCTTGATTGTGATGACCGTCACTGTATGCCTGTTGTGTTTGACCCCACTATTGTGTTTGAACTTGCTGTGCCAAACCTAACTGTTGTATCTGAGCTCCTTGCAGCAACTGATCCCACAGCAGCATCAATCCACCCTATTCCATCCCCGTCTCTCCTTCCAAACCCCACCGTTGTAATCGACTTAACAACAGATTCTCCTCGCTCTCTGCACTCTCTTTACTCAGTATCCGACCTTGTACTAGCTCAAAAGACCTAGCGTTTGGATCAATACACACACACATACACATACACAATCATTTCCACATGGCCCAAAGTGTGGCGAGAGATGAAGAAGTAAAGACAAAGTGAAGTGCAGAAGATAAACAAATCTCGTCTCCTCTCTCCTCTCTCCTCTCCTCTTACCCCAAAAATGAAATCGAGCAAAGTGACCAATGGAAAAGGAAACCACAGTCTCACCATCTCACCATCTCACCATCTCGCCACAACAAAGTAAAGCAAAGTAAAACAAAACAAAGCAAGAACGACCACATTCTCAACTCAAGAAATCACCAGGTAGTCCCCCTACCCTCTCCCTCATGCCCTCCCTCCAGCTATACAATGTCAAACATCACCACGAAGGAAAAAGTATAGGCACAGGCAAATACACCTTTTATAAGCATTGAGAACTACTTAGTACCCATGCACCTACAATTGTAATACATACTCTCACAACACAACACAAAACAAAACGTAAAAATATAATTCTTTTACATTTCTCATTCAACACCCTATCCTATCGTATCCTATCTACACTCTCCCTCCTCCCCTGCCCCCAAACCCCTTATATACATACATCCACACATCCTACCATCCATCCATCCAATTTACACAATTTACACCACAACCACAACCACAATCAATCTCATCAACATCAACATCAACATCAACACCAACATTCAACTATTGCTTTAATTCCCTATCCACTCTCCCAACGATCGATCCTTCATTCCCTTACTCTCTATGCTTTCCATGCTTTCTATGCTTTCCATCCAACAAAAAGACCAACAGCACCAACAACAACGTAACCAAATCTATCTACAAAACTTTTTCTCCTCTCTTCTCATCTCCTCTCCTCCCCTCCTCCCAACTCTCACCCACCAAACTCAAACTCAAACTCAAAGAAACAAACAATAGTAGAGATTGTGTCATTCATCCTTCCTACTCCATCTTCTCATCTTCCCCTCTTTCACCTTCCTCATTCATCCCATCTCCTTCCACCAACCTCCACAATAAACAAACACAAAAGAAAAGCAACTACGAATACGATGACGACCCTCCAAATCAACCAAGCCAGTCAATGGCAGTCCCAGAAAAAATCAAAGCAAGCAGAGGGAAAAGAAAAAAAAAAGTGATTAAGATTCAATGAAAGTTTCCCATCCCACAAAAACCTCCCAGAGAGAAAGAAAGTAAAAGGAAAGTAAAGTAAAAAAGGCGATTCGCTAGATGGTATCATGGTATCTTATCTTATCCTCCACTTACTGCACTGCGCCTACTGACTATTGCTCCAACTCTACTCCTTATCAACTCGCTATGTATTATTTCACTCCTCTTGTATCCATTCCTAAACAATCCCTGCCTATGCAAATCATCTCCCTATCCCAATCCCAGAATCTTTCTCTTCCACCCCTCTTCCATTTGGCGGCAAAGGCGGTAATTGCTTTTCCAAGCTACTTCTACTAATCATCCTCCTTAAACTTTGCGGTCTTCCTTGATTGTCATTCAAACTGGGAGGGTAATCTTTGGCAGGCGTAGCTGGCCTTCTCTCATCATCATCATGTGTACTTCTGATACTCCTTCCACTTCGTCCTCCCGTACTACTCGCTTCTCCCATTTCCTCAACAACTGGAAGTATCTGTCCCTGTAGTCCATTCGTCCTTTCCGCACTTGGGCTTCTAACTGTTGAGACGGTTCTGGGTTCGATATGCTCTCGTCTTCCATCATGCTCAGTTCTCAAGGCTTCATTTTCAGCACGTTGAATGGTGGTGTTGTTTGTGACGGTACGGTGCATATGTGCACTATTTGAACGACGACGTGTAGAACCCATGGTAAGGTTGGAGTCTGTGTGGGGTACGGGTGGGAGAGGGCATTCTTCTTCTCGGGCAGCTTCTTCTTGAGATTTTGTGATTCCCTCAATAAATTCGATGAAACGGTCGCCATAAGGTTGGGGATTGATTGGAGAAATCATTTTCTTGTCATGCTTGAGACCCTCTGTTTTTGTATTAGCATATATTACCCCGCGAAAATTAAGTCTACTTACTGAAAAGATGTTCGAGTTTCTTGAGAGTACCATAGTGAGTGAGACAATCAATAATCGACAAGAAGAAGATTTCCTCTCCAGGACTATTATCTTCATGTGTAGCTCGGAATCCGCCATCATCACTGTAGAATGTGAAGTCTTTCTTGTTTTCTTCTTCAATTTCATCCGGCATTCGTGAACTGCTTTGACCCATTGGAATTGGCTTTTCCTGCTTGATGATCTGGCGTAATTCTCTGGCTTTCCTGGCACTCTCTAATTTACTCGGTGTTCTCATCAAGGGTCCAGGTGGTCCAGAGTCATCTACAGGGCTATCTCCCCCAGGCTGGAAGACTTGTAAAGTTTTGTCTCGTAGATTTTCTTCGTTCCCCTTGGTCAAATCATGTATTCCGACTAACATACTGTAATCCATAATCTTCAGTTTCTGCAATAATGCTACATCTTTCTCCATTTGTTCAAAGAAGACTCGTCTCTTTTCTGGCCCAAATTCCAGGTGAAGGTTTCGTCGAAGCCAATTCAAGTCCTTGAGCGTAGCACGGGGGTTTTGCTCTAGGTTCTCCTCTTTAAAATCTCTACCAATGGTTGACCCTTTCAAATCGAAGGTTTGATGGACATCGCGGTGTGGTGGAAACAGGTTGTTCATGACCACAAAATGAATCTTCCTTCCATAAGGAATCTTCACTCGATGAAGTCCATAGAATTGGGATAGAAGTGTATTAGGATTATCCTCCACATGGTGATAGTAATCCTTCAAAATCTTTCTCAAGAACTTATGCTCGGAATGATGGATCGTTTTGATGATGTATTTATAATCTCTCGAGAAGTAAAAGAAACTTCCACTCTTTCCGGGTGATCCTAATTCAGAAAGAATGTATTTACTTGTCAAGGACATGAGATAATCCGCAGGATCCAACTTGAACCTTGCCCGAAGACTTCGAAATACCCATGGCGCATAGTCCTTGAATTTGAAATCGTACTTTGCAGATGGGGTCAACTCATTCCCGGTACTGTATATAATATTAGTGAAGTCATTTCGCACATGTTGATTGTAACCTACATATCAAACGAGAATTTGTGCTTGGCCTCGAAATCTGCATCAGTTAATGGTCTGTCAAGCTTCGCGTTCGTTCTCGAAACGGTAAAACGAATGCCCGTCAACATATTATATGCCGTAACCCAGTTAACATGGTTTTGATCAACTTTCGTTCCAACCACCACTCTATCATCATCTTCCTCATCCTTCTTTCTTCTCTTACTCGCACGCTTCTGTCGTACCGCTTCTGCCCACCTTAGTGCATCCTCATCCGGAGGGACCTCCTCGTGAGGCATATTAGAATGTATCGATTGTGTATTTCGTCTATTGATACTTGAGGATCCACGTCTAGCACCTGCTGTCGCTACCGAAGTTGGAGAAAATCTTCCACTCGTAAAGACCGCGTCATTACCATCCCTTGAATTTCTACCCGAACTAACTTTAGGTACTTCTAATGTGTGTCGGTGCTTCAACTGGGTAGAACCAGGGTGCTGAAGAGAGTTTTGTGAAGGTGACGAGGGCGGTGGATATGTTGGAGGTGAAGAAAGCGAAGAAAATCTTTGTGGTTGTTGTGGTTGTTGTGGTTGTAGTGGTGGCTGTGGTGAGGTACTTGTAGAACGACCTGGCGTTTCGGGTATAGGTAATGAATTATTAGTAGGTACTGGAGTCGAAGGTAATAAAGGTGATTGATAAGTTAGTGGACCTGTGCTGTGAGGATGTGGCTGTGATTGAGGACTCGAAATTCGATTCTGGTGTTCACTATCACTCGTAGTGATTGGTCGTGGTGAGTCGACGGTAGCGTTGGATATGGTTCCATTTGTTGATGCAAAAGAGTTTCTATCTCCAGCACCATTCGATAACCTATTAAAGCCATTTGCAGGACCTGGACTCCTCCTTCCATTCTGGGATGAACCATTGGGTTGTTCATTTACCGAATATGTACTGCCATTCATCGAAGAACGAGATCTGTAATCCCAACTACCTGCGCTGGATCGACCATTTGGTAAGGAGTTTAAGGTTGGCTCATGATGAGAATCTCCATTCATTTGGTGCCTGCCAGTCGTCCCATGACCATTTGAGTGAGTATGAGTATTTGAGTGACCATTTGAAGCAGCACCACCATCGATATATAGATCCGATCCGTTCTCCAAACCATTCCTTATTGAATTGTGTGTTGAGGTTCTGCCATTTATGCCATTTATGCCATTCGCACCATTGAGGGATAGCTTTTCGTGTGAATTTCGAAGATGGCTGGGAAGATCCAATGGGGGTCGGGATGACGAAGAATACATAGAGCCTCCTGTGTCGTCATTTAAGAACGATGGCATCTCTTCGAAGTGTGGCATTCGTGAAGCTGTTTAATGGGTATCGAGACTAAGTCGCGTTTGTTGTTGATGTGAATCGAGAGGGTTTGGTGGTAGTACGGTACGGGTAGTGGATGTTTAAAAAGGAGATTACGGGTTTTGCGGATGCGGGTGCCAATTGATAGTGCGTGGGTTATTGAGTGAGTAAGTAAGTCAGTAATTGACTAGTTGTAACGAGGGTTAGAACAAGATGGAATTTGAAGTGAAGACGAATAATTGGATAGAATATATGAGCATATGAACATTATCAGCATATCATCATTTCTTAGGTGGGTGAAAGAGAAGATTGAATTGAGGTTAGGCCAGTTGAAGGATTTAGCACGCGAAGTTAGAGTGAGTGAGTGAACGAGTGAACGAGTGAGTGAAGACTAAAAGTAGTGAGGGAGAGAGAAGTTAAAGAATTGCAAGGTTGTGTAGCAGGTAGGTCGGTATCGGGATTATTACTTTGCAATCAGGGATCCAAGCAAGTGTGCAGCAAAAGCACTAGGTAGAGGTAGGAATTAAGACTTTAAGAGGTTCTTTTATTTTTTCCTTGAGTGGATGAGGTTTTTATTATGTGTCTGATGTGTATATGTATGATCTGTATATGTATGATATGTTGATATTCCAGCCACTTGATATTTTCCTCTTCGCTCTACTATACCCAATAACCTGCCTACCTACCTACATCTCACCACGAGGGCAATTCCACCCAAGGGAAATTCCACCCAAGAGCCAAGTCGACCAAAAAGAAGAACAAAGAAAGTCCATCACAACCAAGACGAACTATTAACAAGACCGACAAGATGAAGCATATCACCATGACAATTAATTTACCTGGTCCCCGTACGTTCTCTCTTCGTGCAAGATGAAAAGCTTCAATTTGCTTACAAAGTATTTGGGTACTTTACGTCGGATTCAATATTGATACATTTTTATGGTTATTGTTATTGTTATTGTGATTATTATTGTTATTATTATTATTATTATCATTATATCACGTTCAATACATCTTCAGCATACATCTGCTTCCCATCCACCATCCATCAGCCACAGCCACAATCATCAACATCACTCACTCTCCCCTCAATCTCAATTTCCATACCCCAAAACAAAAGAAAGAAAAGAAAAGAAAGAAAAAATCTATTTTCAGAAGCATCCAGCTGTTAGATTCTGTACCTATTGCATACACCTATGCATGTCCCTCCCACCTGTGGACCTACCTGTGGACCTACCTGTGCATAGAAATAGAACCCTCTCATATTCCGTAGACAGGAAAGAAAAAACAGATTACGGTATTCTCATTAAGACTAATCTTCATGGAGATCCATTTTTCAATTTATTATGGGGATAATTTTCAAGGGTCTTCCTTTTTGTTTCTCATAAATGAGTGAGTAGGTGTGTAATAAGCTTGTGAAAAGATTATTCATTTTTTATAGGGAGATAGATAGGGATTGAATCGAGTATACAGAGAGGAAGATGATTCATTCTCAAGTACTTCACACATACATCCTCCAAAGTTACAAGACGAGAGGAGAGATGGGATGTCTCATCAATAGGGGAATGAGATCATGATTGACTATACCTACTCTGCTTGAAAGTTATACGGGCACATATATACATATATACATACATACATACATACATATACACATATATACATACATACATACATACATACATACATACATACATACATACATACATACATACATACATACATACATACATACATACACACCCAAGTACAATTAATCAACGACCCCAAAATATCAGACGACTCCAAAGAATTCAAGGCATGAGATACCTGTACCTGTGTCCACGAGTATTCATGATGCAATCAATGATGACTTTCCAACCAATCATTACTCACTCAACCTCATTGGTCTGATGTATTCCATCTGGTATATTTATATACATTTATATTTTCATAACCCGTCGATCTCTCTGATCATCTGCAACCCAGATAGAGACCGCTGAAACAACGGTTTCTCATTCATTCATTCATTCATTCATAGCCTTGAACAAGAAAAGAAGAGCAAGAGAACAAATCTCCCGCACATGAAAAATCTCATCTCGTCGTATTCTGTATACCATATCTACATTCATCCAGATCCATTCAATCACAATCACACTCACAATCACAATCCCCCAAACTTCACTTCAATTCCAATTCCACCTCCCTCCTCATCTATCCTAGAATAGCTACCAGTACGGAAATTTAACCCCCACCACGTCCACATCCACACCCATACCATTTACCCTGTCTCGCCGGTCCAGGTACTCGTACTTTGGACGTGATACCTAGTACTACCTAGTACCATCCAAGGGACTCCACACCACCCAAATAAATCCTTCCACATGGCATCAGCACTTTATTCAGCCCTTTCCTTCTCTTCCGTGCCTCTTTTCCGTGTTGGAAGATGGAAATCGAAATGGGAATTGGACAACAACAATAACAATAATTATAATCATCATCATAACAAGAACAACACATCGCAATCACTTCCAGAAGTCTCATCCTTCTACAACTCATCTCTCTTCCCTCTCTCTCTCTCTCACTCGCGAGATCGTTAAATACTATACATATATACATACCCCTCTCCCCTCGTATCATCATCTCCTTCAATTTTGGGATTTTATACATGCATACATATTAACTTCACCATCTCCATCTCCATCACATCCACTCTCCCTATACAAACATGCAAGTCTTTCATACGCCATCTCCATCTCCATCTCCATCCGGTTCAAGAACCACCCGGATAAATCATGTACATCCGACACTCCGAAATTCACGTGTGCGGCACCAGCTGGCTTATTATCCTAGGTATCCATCTAGCTCAGCCTCAGTGCTCGTTCATTAAGCTAGCTGGCTCGGCTGGGTAGGTAGCTACCGTGCGCTATGTGTTATGTTATGTTGTGTTATGTCTGTGTATGTAACGCTGTATCAGTGTTGTGTTATTAAAAGATACAAAGGAAGATACGAAGGAAGAGGAGAGGAAGCTGGAGGTGCGTGTATCACCAATATCTCATACGCATACGAGTAGATCTATTCTCATCCTAGATATTTTATACTATACCATACCATACCATACCATACCATCCCATACCATCCCATACCATCCCATACCATCCCATCCCATCCCATCATTCATCCATCATCTTCAGGAACCACTATGGTATTTACCAAGGTCGTGATAATAATAATAAATGTCTCATCCCTCTCCTCTGCTCTCTTCTCCTGTTCTCTCCTTCAACCTCACTCACTCATTCATCGCTCAAGCTTCACTTACTTACTTCCCTACACAAACCGATATATGTTCTCTCCCATCTTTCATCTCTCATCTCTCATCTTATATATACCAAATCGACAGAATTCTATTTCTCTCTCTGCACACCCTTGAAATCCGAAACCTGAAGCTCAAGATGCATCAAAACAACTTGTTTATTTGTATATACATATTTTTTCATAAATAGTATTATATCTACTTTATGTTTTAGGGAGTAAAGATTATTTTAATACTGTTAGATTATATGTAGGTAGGTAGGAGGTATATTCAATTGAGTTGATAGAATAGATGTTTACAACAATCAGAATAGACCTAGATAAATATCACAGAACTGGGTGGTAAAAGTATATATATCCCTCTATATCCTATCCATCTCATTTATGTCCTGCCTACTACATCTAATGATTTTCCATTCACCTACTTGGTATGTATCGATCTAATATCTATCTATCTAATACCGATCCAAATATCTCTACACGTAATACATCCATCCCGAGCTAGAAACATCATCTCCCCAAACCAAAACCAAAACCATCTAGATACTAGATATCCAAATCCCGTCTCCAAACATGTAATTCTCTCTACCCCTCATCCTCACAAATCTCACTCATTACCATTACATTATATTACATTACATTACATTACATGTCTCCAAATACAACACCTAGTAAACCTCTCATTGTATCTCCTACCTACCAACCAACCGACCAACCGACCAAGAAAAACAAAATACCTCACCTCTTCCCATCTCCTCCTTCTCCTTCTCTCCCATCTACTCCTCACATGTATATGCAGTTCTCCAACAACCCCTTCACATATATACTTCTACTCACGACTTCCTCCCTCATTCTCATTCTCATTCTCATTCTCTCCCTCGTAGAACATCCAATCCTTCCCTTCCCCCCAAATCTCCCTCTCTCTCCTATCCCTCCTTTCTTCCCTTCCCTTCCCTTCCCTTACCACAAACCACAAACCACAAACCACAAAAAAGCAAACCAAAACATACCCACAAAACCCCCCCCTCTAACCTCCGATCTCCCACCAGGATCCTCGGAGAGAAAATAACTTTCCATTTTCCATTTTCCATTTTCCATTTTCCATTTTCCACACCCTATCCATTCCCCTCCCTCCCTCCCTCCCTCCCTCATCAATCGGACCCGAATCAAATCCCGAATCAAATTCCAATCCCAAATCCCAAACCCAAACCCAAATCAAAGTAAACAAAACATAACAAATCAAAGTAAACAAAACAAAACATAACAAAACAAAACAAAACAACCGACGCGTCGCGCGTACTCTTTCTTCTTCAACCTTTCACCATCTGTTTCCTCTCTCCCATCTCTGCCATTGACGTGCGAATATCTGGAGGTAAATGTAAATGTCTATCTATTTATTTATACTCGAGGGAGTGAAAAATGTATATATTTGCTATTCATAGTAAAAAGAAGAGAAAAAAAGAGATGTTGTCTCACAACCCTCAATTCACAAATCTTCGAGTAAGAATCAACCAACCAACCAACCAATTCACCACATGGAATTGATTCATCGAGAATAAAATAGAACACAATGCAGACGTGAGCAAGGCAAGGAGAACTTGAAGATATCACAGCAACAAAATCGTAAATGAACTTGAAAAATCTTTATATTCCGCTACCATCGGCTGTCGTTGATCTTTTGTACAAGTACAACATAATCTGATATCCATCACTAATCGCTATCACAAAATCCCAAGTATCTAGCAACCCCTACCCTCCCAACGCCCATCCATTCCATTCCAGTCGAATACACAGTTTCCTAGTACCTGTAATTGTCAAAAATGTAATCTTGAAGAACTACGCTTTTAACATATTCCCAGAACCATAGCAGAGCAGAGCACAAAAAATATGGAATCCACAAATAATAAACAAACGCGGTCCAGTCACGCGTGATATCCCGCTCCTTCCCAAACGCCTTATGAACAGTTCATTAGAAAGAAAGATGCTTGCAAATATCTCTCGTAAGAGAATGTTTATGCAGCAACAGCGGCCTTCTTAGGGCAGCCTTCTTGGTGGCGGTCTTCTTAATAGCGGTCTTCTTGGGTGCGTCGGTCTTGGTCTTGGTGACGCGTCCAGAAGCGGTCTTCTTGAGGACGGTGTCTTTCTCAACTACTGCTGGCGCCTGTAGTCCATTGTTAGTCATGTTTATGTCTGCGTATAGAATATAGTCGACCTACGTCTTTAGGGGTGACGGCCTTCTTTGCCTTGGTGACTGTAGCTTTCTTCTCCTTTGGCTTGGCAGCAGTCTTTGGCTTAGCGACGGCCTTCTTTGGTGCAGCCTTCTTCTCCTTGGTGGCGGCGACGTCAACGGGCTTCTTCTCCTTGGTGGCAGTTGCCTTCTTGACGGCAGTCTTCTTTGGTGCAGCCTTCTTCTCGGTAGCCTTCTTTGGGGCCTTCTCAGCTGGGGTCTTCTTGGCTTTTGGTGCGAGCTTGACTGTGCCAGAGGAACCTGGAGAAGAGGGATTAGATATTGACAGGTTTGATATGAGGCGATGCAAGGAAAGGCTTACCCTTTGGCATAATGAAGACCTCCTTAGCGACACCGTTCTTCAAGGCGCGGTTGAAGAGAGAGTCGAACATGCTGTCGCCGGCATTGATCTTGTTGTTGGCCTTGAGGTACTTCTTGAGTTGGATACGGCTGTGTTGATATTAGTATGAGATCCGAGTACGAGGAGTTGTTATGAGACGCGTCGAGTATTGATTGTAGGAGATTGTGCGAAATATAAATAGGGAATCATACCTAGATCCATTGCGCTACGAAAGAATGTTAGCATATGTGTGAAACGTAGAAGTGGATGGGGAAATCAAAACATACCTCTTTCAAGTTGATGATAGCATCAATGATCATGTCTATCATGACGCGTCAGTAATTGATATATGGGAAAATGAAGCTCCACGTCCGATGCATGAGAAGCATGCGATCATAACCATGTATACATAATGTGTATGCGACGTGGTGTTGTGGATGCGGAAGCTATTCCTTACCTTGGTAGCTGGCATGGTCGGATGGAGCAGCCTTTGCCTTTGGGGCAGCAGCGGTAGTGGTGGCGGCCTTTGGTGGCATTTTGATTGATATTTGGTAGGAAGGATTTAAAAGTAGTTAATCTGATTTAAAAGTTGAGATAGTGAACAAGAAAGTCCAAAAGATTATGATTTGAATTGATCGTACGTGGAAAGTTGTTGGTATGTTGAAAGGCAAAAGAGGTTCCGAAAGTTCGTGTTTGGGAAGCGGGGGGGGTTTGTTTATGTAGATGCGAGAAAAGGTCTTGGTGATCTTTCCACAGTTCTAATGGAATTGTTATCACTAGTCCGAATTAAGCAATTAATTATAAAAAATGCAAACGAAAGGCATTTTGAATTCCAATTTCACGGAAGCTAATTGGTTTAAAGGAGGGAAATGGATGCTTAGTTCAACCGTCTAATACCCCCTCAAAGCTTTCGCCTTGATCATGCGACCCCAACTCGACTTACTCGGTTTTTTTCGCACTTTTCCACATCCCCCTCTCAACTTTTGGGAATCTGCCACACTTTTCTTTCTCTTTTATCTGGGGAGAGGGGATGTTTTGTATCTCCTCTTGATATTTGTGAATCTTTGTTTTTCATCAAAACTATTTTGATCTTTCAATTCAGCGAATTGATGACCGTAGTACGCGATGCTTTTGATAGATGATTGATATAAAATTCAAATCGTCGAGTCTGATGAAGTTGACATATCTTACTGTTTTTGCTATTAGACACAAGGAACGCGCTTTATATTACAATGTTCAATGTTATTAGTGATTTCATCAATTAAATAGTTACATCAATGACACTTTTGTTCCAAAAATTTGAGTTGTGGTTGCGAGTGCATCAGATTGAATTTGGTGTCGAGATATTTGTTGTTTTTTGAAGCATCACGATCTTTTCTACGTATCTTCAACATACGCCCAACAATCAACGAAACTACGTTCAATTGTTATAAATTATATATGAGGGGATGCCTATTTGACATATCATCAAGTGTATATGAGAAGAATATTATTTTGGCTTGTTGCTGCTTCAATTATGAGTATCAACGAAAGTTGGCCAATTTTTGACTCGCGATTATTTCAGATTGCGACCGAGACCCCAACTACCTTTTTGAATAATTCCCTCAAATTTTCATCAATGCCGATGAAAAAACACGCAAATCATCGATCATTTCTTTATATTGTGAGCCATACAAAATTATCTTCATCTATTTGTTGGGCTTGCTATGCTAGGTTACGGAGTTTGGCAGGCATACGCAAGGCGACAGCCATAGCATAGGGCATAAGACGAAGAACACTCTCAACATCATTTCGAGATCTCAAGAATTTTCGAAGAGACTATCATCTTCACGACATTCCTCTCCAAAGAATCTCCATAGCATTTAGAGATAGCGAGTACTCTGGTGCAACTTTGTCCGGGTGTTCCGAAAGAGTGCGACCGAAAAATGACTCAACTTGGCAAAATCAAAATAGGATTGTGCCACAAAAGTTGAAGAGAAGTCTAATACAACACAGCCTCAACTAATTTGAAATAAATTTCTATCTACAAAAATATTCATTATTTCTCTATCGATCCGAACAATTTCAATAATTTTCATCGCAATGTGCGGTTGATTGAACTGGTGTGGTTTTCACCATGCCACATACCATTCAGCCAACTCATCGCTCAATTCCGACGCTACTCCGATCATACCACTCCCGACAACAATTTCTAACCCGAATCTCTCGACTTTGTTCACTGTCATCTATACTCGCATATGCATTTCCGGAAACTATCGTGTCGATGCCACGTGTATTGTTTCAACTTTTGCCAGCCCCAGATATATTCTCCTACAGTAACAACATATTTCGGCAATTGGACGAGTGAGGCTGATTATGCCGACCTCTAATATTTCTATCAATGTCGGCGGTAGGTGATAATATGACTGACTTTATTCAAAATGCCGTCTACTTTCACTGACATCGTCCTTTCGCACAATCTGGCCAGGGTGCCAATCGACATACAAATAACTACGGCTGCTACCTAATTCCTTGGAGTTCGAGCTCTGATTATCTTTGATATCAAAAAAAGGCAACCAATTCTTTACTTCGATCTTTACTTCGATTTGGGAGATCATTTACAAGTTTGCCACACGAGGATGGATGAGCTTCTGGAAGTTGAGATTGGCAATGCCTATTTACTTTTGGGGGGAATGCATCTTAAACTGGCTTTCAAGGAACGTTACTGTGGGATGCATCTTTCATATTCACTCTCTTTGACGCACTGCACCTGCGTTCCTGTTGTTAACCAACTGTGAATGAGATGTCAATTCTTATATCATGCTCTTATTGGCAGACACAAACTAAAGCGGCAGGGGTCAAAGCGCCATACCATGTGATTCGCTCCCTCCTTCTTGGCTTATGCCTCGTCATCAATGCAGGGGTCATTGGCAGAAATTAGAGCCTAACAACGTTATTGCAGCAATCCGAAACGATTCAATGCACGAGATTTTTGAGCATGTTATACATCTTAGGGCAAGGGATCATTATCATATGGAAACAAATACGATTGTCAATAAATACAACAGATACTCTTCTCCCGTCGATGCTTCTGTCTTTCCGTTCACGAATATTCTGCTTCGCCATCCATCAAGCACACATGAACCATTCCTTCTTTACTCGGTATAATCATGGAGAGAAGGAACGATAGCATCAATATAGGACCGGCATTTCTTCATAAACAAATGTTAAGAGCAATAGCATCAATTTAGACCACCAACACAATGAAAGACAATGTCATCTCTTGAGAATGCAACTTTAACCATGCATACCTCACATTTTGAGATTGGTTTCCTCGGAATAGAATACATAGACAACATGGGGTTCTTTTTGACTGAGGGATTCCTGAGCGTGAACACCGTGCTGCCCCAATGCACCCTACGATTAGAAAGTTGGAAGTTAATTTGAAAATTAGTAAGTTGCATGTGAAACTTAAACTTCAGGTCTGTTTACTGTTTCCCCTTCATTTCTCTTCGCTATGCTTCTATCGTCTATAATATCAATTCAGCAACACAATTATCAGTCTACAGCTGTAACTTCTAGTAGCAACGCTCTCGAGATGGATCCTTCTCCTGCCCCGCAAAACCCGGATTTCATCTTAAACATCAATTCAGGCTTTCGCAACTTTGATCCCACACGGAATAGAGACCGCCGTTATCTACCTTTTGAAATTTCCTGCGATATGTCCGATCATAATGGTAACATCGGCATCATGGAGGGCCACCTAGTTAATCGCGAACTTGCAGTACAAGCGGGGTTTGGAAGAACGATGGAAGAAGTAGATACTGAATGCAGCTTAACAATGGCGAGCATGATATTTGATGAATATGGTCAACTGCAACAAAAGTGGTTCTTAGGGACTCGTAAGGGATCGGGCACTTGGGATGCTCGTATAAACATTGGCAACTTTTTTATGATTGATTCAGTGGAAGTTAGAGAACGATATCGTCGCAGAGGCTTTGCAAGATATTTGGTTTCTGAATTGCTATACCAGATGAGAGCCTTCAGACTCAACGTCTCATACGTTTTCACATACGTAGGAGAACTCCAAGGAGCAGCGAGAATAGATGCGATTGCATTTTGGAGAGCAATGGGTTTCAAAAGAATTGGATTGTCCCACGCATTCTGTTTTGCAATGTCAATGGACGACAAATCGAAGATGCCCGACGCGGAAATAGAGGACGCAGAAAGAGATATATATGATTCCGAAGCTTCATATTCCACAGAACCTGAGTTTCCTTCAGCAGAGGAAAGTCTTGAAGATGAATCATCGCCCCAGTCGCTTACATCTGGAGAATTGAACGAGCCGGACGAGCCCCAACTGCCACCCTCTGATGACGACAATGCATCGGAAAATTCCAACAGCCCAAGTCCACCCGTCGATGAGGAGGCTCCATTGGCGGAGTTCTTCAGCCCAAGTGATTAAAGTTTACACACTAGTATCGAAGAGCCAAATATGAGCATGGAAGATTTATTGAAAAATTGTTGTCGGGGAGATGATGATGAAGATAGTGAGGATATATTCCGTTTCTCGCCGTAAGAAGACTTGGGTTTGTTTCAAAGTTTACTGTGGATTATAGGTATGGTTTAATGAACAATAGCGTGGCAGGACTTGGATCCAGGAGTCAGCGTTAATCATCAACCTGTAAGGTTGGGACAGCGATTAAATTGTATATTCTTTTTACAAGTTTTGAGGCATGGCTTGACAGGAATTGTGATACATGCAATTAGCCCACCACTGGATGGGAAGAATCAAACAGATTGTAACATAGGAACTCAAAACAGTACCATGAATAATATTCGGAAAACAATATATACTCTCTGTAACCCTCCCTCTCCTCACCACATACTTTGTGGCCAGATCTAGATGACCATCCTACGATGCTGGAAGGAAGTCAGACTCGCTAGAGTCACATCTCACGATGAGCAAACATCTAATGCAAATCCAGAGCTTAGCAATATTATTATCGCTGGCTGTTCCGCGAAAAGTATATTTTTAGAAAGTTTTGATAGGGGTTTCGATTTAGTCTTTGAGTGTACTGGCGCAGCCACAACGAGGGGTAGGTGTGGCTTACTTCGCTGCCTGAGCCGTATTGATCCCTGGGAGTTAAGGTTACACGCGTATAAGGGGTGGCATCAATCAATATCTATTTCGCAGTGGTCTGTGCGCGACACTCGAAAGAGTCACGTGTAAACCTCTACAGTTTTTTAAATATCAATACACTTCTTATAGAAGGTTCTGAAATAGATTCTAAGATTTGAATAATAGAAATAACTGTGAAGACTATCTAATGATGTAATCTATTTTTCTATCAAGTTGTATTGAAAAATTGTACCTGATTGAAAGTTAGATAGAGTGTTATATTTCTGGCATTGGGGGGTTGGAGATGAAGCTTGTCTTTTATAATTACAATCCGTGTTCTGTCTCAATAGGTATTATTATGGATTTCGGTCGAATTTTCGTGTATAGAAATGATAGATGCGATCGCTCGGAATTCGGATAATCTACTTATTTAGCAGAGTTACCGCAAGCACTGATCTGATCACCGAAGAAGATTGGAAGTCTCACAGTGGTGGGTTGATTGATATGAGACATAGATTCAACACGCGATGGAAAAACGCGTAAACATCACATTTGCATCTTAGTCTTGGTTGATGGTATCATTTTTTCTCTCAAGACTATGCCTACCTATCTACCTAGTCATCTTTCTTCTGAATCACAGTGTATGGATGCCGGACTTGTCCGATGACACTTTTAGATAGCAGTTTGGAGAAGGGTGCATGTCTATCTTGAAAATTCGCTGAATAGGGAGATGTGGAAGATTCTAGATCTCACACACTGTGCCTTCTCTGTTGCGTGTACTTTGATTTTGATAAGATATACAATTGTTTGAAAGGATAGTATCTTGAACTACTATCTCCAGTCGTAGAGTCGATGATTTTGATGCTGATTTTTCAATATAGTGAGCTGGATCAAGTTGCATTGTTGAGAGATACTCTTCGAAATAATTGACGCAGGGGGAGATGAATGTCCTGGATTGTCTGGAATTACCCGAAAACTCATAAAGCAACCGGCGATCACCACTCCGCTAGTATTTGGTAGAAGAACATCGGAAGACATCTCTGCCGGTCTCGTATTAAAGCGCCCACGAACCCCATAATACGCTGTCGAAACACAACACGCTTGCTTGAACGTGGACTGTGAATTGTGGACGCGACATATATCGACCTAAGTATCCGATTCATCTGGGAGACGGTGTTACATATTCATGACGTACAAGCGGTTTCAGATGATATGGGCCCTTTAAAAAGCGTTTGTCGTGGGGGTTTGACAATAAGCTCTAAGCTTGTTTTATGTAATAATATGTAAATTTGAATAATGTGATACTCAGTTTGCGGACTATAAGCAAGATTTGAAAGAGATGGAGAGTTGGTACGCAGGAGATACATTGTGTGGAACTTAAACTTACTCTGTATGGATTTGAAATAAACATTAGAGAAAATAGAGTTATGTCAACTTCGAACTCAAAGAACATTCGAAACCTCTCGAACATCTATGCAAATTTGGGCAAGTCATTAAATTCTATCATAAGTTCACGCGTTGGAGTTTCCAATTCACTCACAACCCATGAATGATGTGCAATACACATCATGTTATTCATTTCGCTCCAAATCCCATATCGTCGCCGCATGCGATTGTATGGACTTCCGCATGCCTATCTTTATCATACTATTCTTTGAACTTCCTCATCATTTCGTGGTGTTGTGCACCCAATTCTATGCTCTTGGTGTTAACTGGATCTAATATTGTATACCTACCATCTGCAAGATTGCCTCTCTAGATTGTTGATGAATGTAGATATAATCTTCTTTTCAATGCTACTTCAATGTCTCTTGCAGCATTTCATAGGCTCCAAACGTTCTCCCATCACTTGAGGTATAAGTAATATGAGATACATGAACTAAAGTTCAAACTCACTGAACAGCAGTATTATCTACTAATGTGATACTAAGGTGGTACAAACAGGTACTAAATCAACTGAGATGAAATCATAACACTCGCCCCGTTTGATTGCTTGAATAAATTTAATCCAGAGAAAGACTTCTTTCTGTTATGTTACTTGACATACTGCTATCACTAAAATCAAGCTAAATCATCGCACCTTTTTCATATATATGACTTCCTCGATGAAAATTGAAAGATTCTCATTTTTAATTTCACAAGTTCTAATAAATCACTATATCGCAGCAGCGTAGCTAATTGGTTTTTTCTATTTTGTTATTATTCGTTTTGTTCGCGACTCCAGTAGAATCTTTAAAGTAAGTTTTTTTGGTGAGCGCCAGCGCTCTTGAGGTTATAGTAAAGAAATGAGAAATAGTCGCTAAGAACTCACCTCTCAGCCTTGAAACTTCTTCATCAAGTTTTGTACCTTGGTACTGATTCTTCTACCAAGCTTCTTGGGAGTAGGAGCAGGAGTAGGGACAGGAGTAGGAGCATGAGCGAGAGGATCATCGCGCGCTAATTCAAAAATCAACATTGGACACTCGAACTCGGGCATGGATAACCAAGCATAAATTTTTACAACTCGTTTCGCACCTAAGCTCTCGACATGATCAGTAAGCATTCTAGCGACCGGTCTTGCGTTGGTAGTTCCCATCAACATCGTAAACTCAGCACTCGCTATGGAAATGTCGTTGCATGAGAAAGTAACCATATTGTATTTGTTATCCTCGATTGAAAGTCCTTTGATTTTGAGTGCATCACAAATTGTTGCGTAGGTTCCGTTATTGGAGATCGGGGCAATGATGACATACTTGAGTTTTTGCATCTGTAAAGGTTGCAAAATTTGCATATCCCCCCCAATCGGGGAAACATATGCAGCACATGTATCGCGCCACGCTTGAAACAAGAGCTCGCTATTCCAGAGACGGGGCGTATGTACATCTGGATTGTCAAAATCTGCATCTGCCCACTGGTTCAGAGTGAAAATAGTCCCAAACTTCGCGGATGCATAGATTGCAGCTACATTAACAGAACGGAGATCTTGATACTTTTCCTTGTTCGCCGGGTTTACAACTTCTTTAGAAGAAAGATTGTATCTAGACCAGCAATAACCTTCATGCTCGATTCCAAGCTCCGTGAGAACTGTTGCTATGCCAAATCTAGAGAAAAACTCAGAGGTTCCCCGGTCGTGACCTCCGTCGACGTTCGCATACCGAATGTTCCAGTCGGGATATGCAACATCTTGGTGAGAAGTATTAATGATAGCAGTTCTGTTAGCTTCAAGAACGGCGTGGCCGCGTTCGAGATATTCTATGGGTGTTAAAACTTCTGACTCTCCGGTAGTATAATTGTCGGGATCTTCATATGGATCGTATCTCTGTCTAAGTCGTTCGGGGTCATTCAAAACTTTGGCGAGATTCGCATCGTAATCGAAGGCTGCGGACATATTTGCGGGAAGTTATACTTACCGTTAATTAAGACTTGTAGTTTTCTTGACAAAGAAGTATGCTGGATTTCTCTTTGTCGAATGTAAAGAACTCGTGAGTAGATGAAGAATATGGTACCAATTGACAAGGGAATTTCAGGTGCCTTTATATAACCAAGATTGTACCGTTGTTCAATCCATATTTGGGGATCGTTTTGTAGTTGTAACAAAGACATTGTACCTGCATCGTGAGAGACGACAAAGAAGCTTTGTATTCTTGAAGATGTGTGCATAGCATAGTGTAGAAAATGAAAGTAAAAGTGGTTGGGAACAGTACAGTCTGGGGTAGCAGAATCAATGGAAACTTTCAACCATCTGACAATAATTGAATATGTTATGAGAAATTTCACACCATGTGAGTTTTCCAATTGGAGCTAATACGATGGATGCAAGTAGCTTCTTTCGAAGCCTCGTTCGAATGTTATATGATTGAGGGAGTGATGAAGGGCACCATTTTTGGCGAGGAAGAGATTCATGTCGAGATGATTGGATAAGAAGGAGTATTTGTCGATCAATATAAAGTAAAATTGGGTACTGGCAGCATCCGCCACCATTCACATCCACCATTCAGATATCATGCCATGATCTTTGTAGAGTTTGGTGCCTGGCTAGAAGGTCACCTCCTATTTTTGAGTTTTTTCGCACACTGGTGTAGAATTTTCTAGGCAAATCGAGATCAGAGACATTTTCGTCAATTCAAGCCTTTCGTAAGATTCTTGTGTTTCCGTTTGACACGTGTGGCCGAGGAAACTCAAGAATCTCTTTTCCACTGGGAGGCGTCGATAAGATACCGGAAGCTCGATAACTTAGATAAGACTGTAACTTAGCTAGTATATTGAAATATTTCGTACCTGTGAAAGTTATTAGTCTGTTGGTGGCTGTCGGGCCAGAACTCCAATATTGGGTTAGCGCACCCAAGGCGTTTTTAGTTCTGATCTCCGCTGAATCTTCGAGCACGTTGTTATTTCCCCAACTTTCATTGGATATCCACAACATCAGCCAAGAACATGTCAATTATTGCCAACAACTTTTGTTGAATCTTCGCATTGTAAGCAAAAAAGCTTCACTGAAACAAGATCTTTAGCCATTCGGTATTGGCTAAATGAAAGGCACGTACCTGTTATCTTTGAGCCATGTCGCGTGCAATATTGCAGTAAAGGGATATTGATGTACAGGAAAGGGTTGTTTCGTGCCACGAGGATAGCAATACTCCCCGCTGGTGATCCATCATACGAAGCTATAGACTGCAGCTTGCAGACTGCAGACCCCAGGAAAGCAATATGTTCTGGAGGATTTCTAATTCTGGTTGATTCGTCGCTCCACGTGTTTGCACCTTCCGAATTTGGAGCCCTTTGGATGTGAATTTGAAATGATTTTGGAGAGCATATCATCTTAAAGCATGCAGGCATCAAAGTTTGGACTTTTGGAAACGACACTCGACCAATGAATTCAGCACATTCAGAAGCTGCGTGGTACATCTGGGGAAGTTGATTGGTTTCAACGAATGAACGGGCTTGGCGTCAACATAAGGTTACAAATGGATCCTGCACTAAATTCGGACATCACCTAAAGGGTCCCGGGTCTCTTTGACTTCCTCGTCTGCCCGTCTAGAATTACCAAAAGATCATCGACCATTTACAGCCTTCAGAGGCTGAACTCTATTGCTTGAATAGATCGTCAACGGCGCCAAAAATCTCAAAAGTCAGACATCTACATGCTACACAATGGCAAAATCTAAAGCCACAAGGTTGATTCTGCGCCTTGCCCGGCGTCGTCCGCTCGATAACTCCAAATGAGTGGTCTAGATATTTATTCACTGCTGAAAATGCAATCTTGGCGACCCGGGAACTGGGACTTTTACTAGAATCAGTCAATGTCATTCTGGGATGCCCAGACTTTGGACTCGGAGCTCCTTGCCTAATAGAATCCACCATGGATTTCACGTTAAAATTCAATTTTCGGAAGTAAGCAACAATTGGAATCCCACCTTGCAAGAAGGAATATAAGGATACATCGTTTCCTTTTTGCCAAAGTCTTTTTCTCCTCAGTCAAGCACTCGCACCAAACCCTCACCACAAACTTCGTTGCAAAGGTACTATTCCTTCAATTCGTCGCAATGGTTGCCCCTGCCCCTGCCCTACATACCACCGTAGGTGGAAATTCCGCCTTCCACAACTTCAACAATGATTTCGCCCATATTACAGACGCCAATGAGCGAAGACGTCTTGCTCTTGCCGAAATCGATAAAGCTCCATTCGGATGGTATCACGTCCGTGCCTGTGTTGTCGCAGGTATTGGTTTCTTTACCGATTCCTACGATGTAAGTACATGCGATCACAACACTGGAGAAGGATATCGCTGATCATTGCCATAGATCTTCGCCATCAATTTGGTCACCTCTATGTTGGGTATAGCATTTTTCCAAAACAGTGTCTCAAAGGGTACGATTCCAACAACCAGTGATACTGCTATTAAGGTGGCCACTTCCGGTGGAACTGTTATTGGTCAACTTGGTTTCGGATGGCTTGCAGATGTTGTCGGTCGTAAGAAGATGTATGGTCTTGAGTTGATGATTATCATTTTTGCTACTCTCGCCCAAGCCCTTTCTTCTCCGTCACACGCTGTCTCTATTGTCGGTCTATTCATCTTCTGGCGTGTATTGATGGTAAGCTAGCACCTGCTTGAATTGTTTTTGCCTCACATGCTTACATATCTTAGGGTATCGGTATTGGCGGAGACTATCCTTTGTCAAGTGTTATCACTTCCGAATTCGCAACCACTAAATGGAGAGGAGCTATGATGAACGCGGTATTCGCCATGCAAGGTATTGGCCAATTTACTGCTGCCATCATTGCTTTGATTGTCACCGCAGGTTTCAAAGAGTCCCTCGTGACTGGATCAAAGGCCTCAACTTGCACTGGCGTTTGTCAACTTGCTGTTGACAAGATGTGGCGTGTTATCATGTAAGTTTATCTGCTCTTTCTGGCATAATACATTGCTAATGAATACTAGCGGTTTCGGTGCCGTCCCAGGTTGCATTGCTCTCTACTATCGTTTGACCATTCCCGAAACTCCTCGATACACCTTTGATGTCGCCCGTGATGTTGAACAAGCTACCGAGGATGTACAAGCCTACAAGCAAGGAAAGAGCCATGGTGAACCAGATGAGATCACTCGCGCTACCACCAACAATCAAGCTGCTCAAGAGCTCGAGATCCCCAAGGCCAGCTGGGCAGACTTTGTCGCTCATTACAAACAATGGAGATTCGGCAAAATTCTCCTCGGTACAGCAGGTTCATGGTTTTTCCTTGATGTCGCCTACTATGGTCTCAGTCTCAACAACTCCGTCATTCTCTCCGCTATTGGATGGTCCGGTGGCCACAACATGTATGAAGTTTTCTACAAAACTGCCGTTGGTAATCTTATTCTCGTCTGTGCTGGTGCTATTCCTGGATACTGGGTCTCTGTCGCTACAATTGATACTCTCGGCCGTAAGCCGATCCAATTTATGGGCTTCACAATTCTTACCATTCTCTTTATCATCATCGGATTCGCTTATAACAAACTTTCCGGCCATGCCCTTCTAGCCCTTTACGTCATCGCCCAATTCTTCTTCAACTTCGGTCCTAACTCCACCACTTTCATCGTGCCAGGTGAATGTTTTCCTACACGCTACAGATCTACATCTCACGGTATCTCTGCTGCTTCCGGAAAGGTAGGAGCTATTATTGCACAAGTTGTTTTCGGACCACTCCGAACAAGAGGTGCTGCTCCAGGCGCTACTGGCGCTGCAGCCAGCCCATGGTTAAATCATGTTATGCAAATTTTCGCTTTGTTCATGTTGTTGGGATTGTTTACCACTTTCCTCATTCCCGAGACCAAGAGAAAGACACTCGAAGAGTTGGCGGGTGAAGTTCCAGGAACTCCTAATTATGACCCTGCTTTGACTAGATATACTGCTGGAGCCCAAAAGAGTGGCCACTCGAGTCATGAGGGCATTGCGCATGAGACTCAACCTGAAAAGATTGTTTAAGTTTGTTTGGATATGGACTAAGGATATAATACGATGTGATACCTGGTGTTTTTGATTGATTGTTAAGTTTTAGGGGATTACATAGATAATATAAAAAGCATGATGGGTTGTTCTTCTAGTATTGCTTTCCTATGCATAAGGTTGTCAAAAATAGTGAGCTTTGATGAGAAATTCAAACTTCGCACGGTGTACTAGGTAGTTTGTACAGCTTTCCCGCATTGCTTCACTAATAATATTAACCGATCCCTTCATACTCTACAACTCTTGACAAAAGTAGCAAGTGAACCAAACCTTTGTTCTGGCTTTTTGCTGCCATGCGAAAATCGACGGCATTACATTCACGCCCTTAAGCTTCTATTAAAATCACGTGCGCTGCAGACCGCGTACCCCGCTTCGATTTTGGACAACTTCAAAAGGTCATCTATATCCATCTTGACATTATATTGACATTCATAATTTTCGTGAAACAGATTGGAAATCAGAACGCGTAAGGTGTACAGTACTGACTTTATCCGAGAACGAACTCGGATTCGAGCATCTTACAAGGGGGAGATATATGAGTCAGAATTGATATTTCAAGTGGGAACACTCATAACGTGCTTCTACATCCAGCTTACTACAAGTACCTGCAATCTTTCAATAAGGTCTTGTAATACAACCAATTTATTATTTACTTGTTGAAACTTTTCATCTTGCCGAAGATTCTTCTGGCTTTCACAAAGTGTCGGAGCATAGCGACGCTACATTTGATTCAGCCCAATCGTTACGGCCTCTATCTCGAAGCAAAATCCCAATCACTTCAAAATGCATATTCCATTCACTAACCTCGATGTGTTCACTCATACTCGTTATCTGGGTAACGCTCTTGCCGTCATCCGTCCCCAGTCCCCAAGCACCCTTTCACAAATCCAAAAATTGCAAATCGCCAAGGAATTCAATCTTTCCGAAGTCGTTTTTCTCCATCTTCCCGAGTCGAAAGATTCAAATCCAAAGGAATTGGTAGTCGATATTTTCACAACTTCTGCCGAGATTCCTTTTGCTGGTCATCCTACTATTGGAACCACATTCTTCGTACTCAATTATTTGGGATTGAAGAGTGTAGAGGCTTTAATCACCAAAGCTGGGAGAATCCCAATCTCGCTTGATGGGGATGGAAAAGTGGCGAGGGCGGAAATCCCACATGATGTACATGTCCATGAGAAAACATATCCGTTTAAAGACTTTGAAACAGGGGAAGAAACGCAATATCCTATCATTTCGATAGTTAACGGAATGGCGTTCGTGCTCGTTAATCTTCCTTCTCTGGAACATTTAGCACGAGCGGTAGAAACCAAAAATCTAAATCCGAGTTCGTATAACACGGAAAGTTTAGATGATGGGTGGAGAAATGGTTTGTGTGCGACTATGTATTATGTACATGTTGGGGATGATCAGGGGAGAAAAAGATATCGAACGAGAATGTTTGAGTCGGAAGAAGATTCTGGGACGGGAAGTGCTAGCTGTGCGTTGGCTTGTTATTTGACAAGGAAGGAGGAGGGGAAGGGAGTGAAGGAAATAAAGTTTAGGTTTGAGCAGGGAGTGGAGATGGGGAAGAGGAATGATATTTTTGTAGATGTGAAGACGAAGGAAGATGGACAGGAAATTGAAAAGGTGGTTTTGAGTGGAGAGGCGGTTAAGGTTATGGAGGGGACTTTGGAGATTTGAGGGAGGGATTGTATGTTTCTAAGTCTGAGGATATGGGGAGGATGAATATCGATGTTCAACTTATCACTTCATCCTCGCAGGCTACCCCACTTTGACGATTTGATTGGCCTGGTTTTATTTTTGAGAGTTTTGTTGCACATCGTATTCCGAAAGTGAGATTATCTCAAACACTCAAGCGATCAGATCAATATAATCTTTGCCTAGCTCCCTATTAGTGCTTGGCTCCTATTGGCTACAAAGAGTGAATAAAACATACTTTTCAAACACTCCCCGCTCCTCTTATCTATGCGAAGAAGAGCAACAGTTCTCTCGTGAAGTATAAAAGTTATCTCTTTTACAAAACTCTATTTAATCAGCAAATCCCAAAAGTGTTGTACAATGGGGATTCAGAGTGGAGTTGCATTCCGCCTTCGAGGTTTATCTCAATTCAGTTCAATCACAGCTACACAGAACTTCACTTGAGCATGAATTTTCATTCGCACGCATACAAATACGAGTTATCTTCTGTTATCAAAAGTATATTTGTGTTGTGGATCTTATTTATTATCTATTAATATCACTGATCACCGCCAGATTGATTGTAATAAGCAGGTTCTCGACAACGAAACCAGGAAGCATGATTCAATAACATGCACAAGCATGGTATAATACCCGTTCATAATGCGTCCACAATACAAGAGGAGGTTTGAGGTAACCTACAAGTTTCCCCAAAACACCGACAACCTTGCATTCGCTACATACTAGGACGCGTTGCGTATTTGTTCTAGAATATACAATACGCATAGAGGGTTTTATACTCCTGATATTGGAAAACGTCCTAGGCATGGGTAAGACCAAGTGGGTTGATTCTGATTGATAAACCCACTGATATCGAGATCTCATGTAGAAGATCTGCATTGATCACAATACCCCCATTTCAATGAATGGAATGAGGTACCTATATAAACATCCTCCTCATGCCCAATTCCATACTCTCCACAGATATCTAGAGATCAACAGCGATGATCAACCATGGGAACTGCCCATTCGACGTTTACATAAGAGAAACACAGTCATCTAGCTAGAGAATTCGGTCTACAATTCTACGGTATGAATCGTCAGTCCAAGTGACATATGTTAATGACGAGATTGTGAATTCCTGATGATGAAAATGTACTTTGGCTGTCAATCATCTGTCGCATCGTCATCTGTCAAACTTTATTACCAGAATGCGAAATCCAAGATTCTAGGGATCTATATCCCCCTCTTTATCATATCTATAATCTCATCAACCCCGCACTGGTATCTCCGGGGTTTAGTGCTTCTTTTGCTGTACCCTCTACCCCATGTATTGAATTTTATTGGTCGTCGAGTGTCGAGTGTTTATGGTAATTGGGATGTCGAAGCTCACTCTTATATACCCCTTTATTTCTTATTTTAGTTTGTTCTGTTTGGGGCTAGGGGAATGTTCGAGTGTGGAATTGAGAGATTATAATTTTCAGTTGCATTCAGATAGCCTGGTATGGAATATCTCCACGTACCTAGACAGAGCTCTTTTCTTGAAATGTAAATGTATATAAATCCTCACCAGATTTTCATTCTCAGCTAGGGCATATAGACGAGAGAAAGCCTCACGAGAGATAGGGAGTAGAGAATTTAAGATCAAAGATTTGGTGCGGAATGTATAAGCTTGAAGATACATAGATTGCTGCACATAAGATGCATTGTGATAAAAATGGAAATAGAGACGAACGATAGGTATTGTTTTCATTGTCATGGCCTGGATTGCCGATAGTAGACTTGTCGTTTCATCATCGAACAACCTTTCGTGCTAGCAACATCTATCACTTGATCATTTAGCTACTCACTATACTTTATTTTTGTAGTATAAACTCAACTTGCACGAGCATTGAGTACAAGCAACTGCCATTTAAGATTGAACTAAATCATACCGGAATTTACACCATTTTACTTCCCCTCCTCTTGATTTTGTCTCTCTCCCCGTCTTCAGCATCGCCCAACTCTTCATTTCCCACATCACCTTCAAGCACACCAACCTTCTCGACCCTCTCCCCAGTCTTCCTCTTCTTCCCAGCTGAACTCTTCCTCTTTCCTAAAAGTACTTTCAAAGGCTGCTCCTTATACACCGGCTTCTTATTCCTCGTCTCTCTCGTACTCCTCCTCGTCCCCGTCGCCCCCTCACTTCCAGCTTCAGATACCACAGCATCTTGAACCTTCTTATTCCCAGCCTTGCCCTTCTTCCCCTTTGGACCATGGTATTCATCATCGTCCTTCATCAAAATATCCGGACTTTCCAATGGACTTTCGAGCGGTGTGATCGGAGGACTTTCAAGCTCTTCCTCTTCTGGCACTTTGGTTTTAGGTTTCAGTGCTCCGGGCGCAGCTTTTCTTCCTTTCCCTGTTAGATTCCCCTCCCCCACCAGCGCGCCCAACAGCCCCTCCCTCCCCAACCTACGGACCTCAGCTTCAAGTCCTCTCTGTAACCTCTCTTCCGCAATCCTCAATTTCTCCTCAATTCTCTCCTTTTCCGTAACTTCTTCTTTCGCATTATTCTCAACTGTATTGATTTTTCTCTCAAATTCCTCTTTCATATCCCTATATGCACGATCTGCAAATCCGAGCTTAAGTTTGAGTTCTTCTACTTCTTCAAGCGTGTTGTAAAGATCTGTCTTTGCGATTTTGAGCTCCTCTAATGCAGATTCTTCTTCATCTGAGAGAGTATGACTTGAGGTTGAGAGAGTGCGATGTGAGGATGGGCTTTGAGGGCCTTCGGATGGCGCGGTAACAGCTATACTTGGACCTGAGCCGCTACCGACTGCGTTTCTTTCAGTGAGTTGACTTCGCAAATTTGCCACTTCATTTTCTAATTGAGCGATGACACCATGCGCTCCATTTAATCTTCCCTGTAATGTCTCCGCTTCCTCGACCAAGCCAGCTGCATGCCTATCTGCGCCCACAACTTCCTTATCAAACTTCTGCTTCCAGACCTCCTCGTGTTCATCTGAAAGTATCTTTCCTCTCTCGTACAGCTGTACAAAATGATTCCCCCTTTCATATGCCATTTTGAGATCTCTTTGCAAGTTTTTTATTTCATCATTTTCCTCCCAAGCCTTCTTCTCTTTTTCGTATAAGCTTTTAAAAAGATTTTTCTGCTCATACGAGTTCTTGAGATTCCTAGTCAATTGTTCTATTTCATCTTCAAACTGACCCGTTATTCCGTCTATCTCCTGCTCTTTTTCCGCGATTTTCTTGTTGGCTCTTTCAAGTGCCTGTTCGAGTAGCAGGTTGTTAGCATTCAGAAATTGAGTATGACCGACTGCTTCGTCTCTACCCGCTTCGCGTCTTTCGAGCTCTTCGATTCGGGCTCTAGCTTCTTTGATTTCGACGCTAAGCTGATACTCTTTAAAAGTACGTGGAAGCTCCGAGTGGGAAGGTAATTGGGTAGCATATGCAATAAGTTGACGAATCCATTCTGCGCCTGCTGATTGTTGTCCTTCTTCGGCCAACTGATACAATGCAGATATCTCATGAGGTACATTCAAAACAAAATCATTTACTTCATTTGCCCATTCTCTCCAAGTGCTTTCTTCAACGAATGAAGCAACTGGTCGATTACAAACCAATTCAATCATTTCTTTGACCCAAGTTACAGCTAGGAATTGTTGACTCTCTGGCCCCGGGTTTACATCTGGTAGTGCACCCCTGGTCGATACAAATTTGCTGCAGCTAGACGAAAGAGACCTTCTACTGCTTGGGGCTTGGCTTGGATGTGATTCCATAGCCTCTCCGACCATTGTCTCCAGACAGCATCTCCGAGGATCTCCGGTCCTGATGAGCGTACCGATTCATTATCGCCTACATCAGACATTTCTACATCAGACGAATGCCGAGCCTCTGAAGCAGCCAACATATCCTCCAGGGTTCTTATTGTTAGCGATAATTCCGCATTGCAATCCTCCAACTTCATTTGGTCTTCTTCCCACGCAATCTTCTCTTTTTGTAGTCGTAAAACTTCTCGCTTTGACGCCTCCACGCGGTAAGAATCCTCTATCTCCTTTACTCCCCGTAATCGTTCAATCTCCTTGTTGGCTTCCTGCAAAGCAACCGAATTATCTTGTGGGTTTTTCCACTCTTCATTTTGCTTCCTTAATCTTTCAACATCGTCCATTGAAGCATTCCAATTAAGTTTTAGCTCCTCGGCCCATACTCCCAACCTACGCGCCTCGTGATCGAACTCATCCCTCTCTTTCTTTGCATGCGCTAATTGTCTGATAAGTTCCACAACATCGGGAGGTTGAGGATCATTCGCCAGTTCGAGCGCAACATGCGCACTTTCCAATCGGTCCCTGTATCCATTTTGTCCAAATGTTTTTTGATACAACTCATCGTATTGATGCTGTAGCTCGGTCTTCTCTCGCTGCGATCTGTGGATTTCATAAGACTGCGCAGCTTCGGCTTCAGCGATAGCGCCTTCGAGAGATATCACTCGCTCAAGATATTTATTTTTTTGTGTAACAAATACTTCAGCTAGATTTGTGCCATCCACGTCGAAGCGAGGTAGTATTTGTTCCTCAAGCTCACTGACATATTGTCTTAGGTCATCCCTCTCTTGAACAACTGTCTTGTAGGATTGACGGACTTCCTCATCGGAATCATGATGATCTGATTGTTCGGAATGTCTATTTTCAAATCTTGTTGTGCTTTCTGGCTCCATGATTCCGGCATTGCAATTGTATGAATGTTGAAAAGAAATCAAATACCTCGAAGCTGTAGACTTCACTATTGGAGAACAAAGACGTGTTTGGGTTTGAAAATATACACTAGTCGCCAATTGTTGCCATCCTATTGCTCCTGAACAAAGAGGAAAGGAAACACAAAGTTACGCTTTTGCACGTTTTTGGCATAGGGTCATTGTAATGATGCATAGTGGCATTCAAATGAGAGAAATAGTCACCTGGCCACAGCAATTCTGGGATAAGAATGCCCGTCGTTGATGTATCAGCACGATAGAACTATGGACTAGTTCAATATTCGGATTCATATGAATGATACCTGTTTCTTCTGCTGCTCATCATCTATACCCTATACCTGTAGCCTTTTAATCTTTTATGAGATATAAATTTTCGAAAAGAATCCCCGAATCCAAGATCACAATCCCACGTCTCTGTCTAGTTTTGAGTCAGGATTTTTAATGTCATGGATTTCCAGAATTCAGCTTAAATCGTGGTCCTGCAATTGATCCGGGCGTTTTTAAAATCGTATTAAAAACTAGCGCTAGGTGAGTAACTTTAATTTTGATAGAACTCAAGATTGATGCATCTCATTGAGGGGATGTCAATTTATTACTTTGATATTGAACGAGGTTTCATTCATGTGATCTTTTGCCAGGCGCCGTCTTGTAAAACTTACTTGACTTGCTGGCCTTGAAGAATGTGGTATCAATCTGTGACATCAAGCGATTCCACAAGGTTTTGATTTCTGTGTGCTCATTGGCGCCATGAGATAATTGATCCGACTTTACACCCATCAAGGGAAATTCCGGGGACTGAGTGACGGTTGTGCGAACTTTGCTATAACTGAAAATCGTATGAACTAAAACACACCGCGTGATCATACCTAGGTCAATCCCGTCCGGATGTGCTATGTTGATTGAATCCACAACTTCTCGTGCTTGAGTTCGACTGAGACCTCGAGCGAGTACGGCTCTCGCTTCCCAAAGAGCGTCGGGGGCAAAGTTATAATGCGGAAGATCATCCTCTAATACCTGACGGAAAGTCTGACGGATGGCTAAGATTTCGGGAATGTCCTCTATTTGCCAGTAAACTTCCCAGTAGCGTCCCAAGCGTGTCATGGCAGGCTTTACTCGTCCCATGTTAAAAGGAGACCTCCAAAATTGTAAAAATCGCATGAAGACTTGGTATTGCCTCCAATTTTGCACTGGCAGGCCCTTTATAACTGCAACGTTCGCCCGACCATTGTTCATGGTTGGAGTGTACTGGGAGTATTTAGCCACCGTTCTGTCCAACTCTTTCGTGACCTTTTCATCTAGATGCAGACAAATGGTGATGGTTTGATCGATTCTGCGTGGCATCTCCATGTCTTGACTGGTCGTCGTACCGGTCTTGGCTGTCTCGTGTCCTTGGTAGCTGCCGGCCTTTTCGGCAGCCGGTTTCTGGAGTTCCCCGAGAAAACCTTTATTGCGTGGCAGACTATTTGCGAAAACCTGGACTTGTTCCTCGCCTTTGACGTTAACTTCGGGCACAATCCGTGTGGAAATGGAATTGGGTTTTGTTTCCAATGTAGCGATAGGTTGCGTTGCGGCATTATAGGGCAAAGGTTCTTTAAATGCCGTATAGCCATCACCCTCAAGTTGGTTTAAGAACTTCGTGAACATTTCGAGGTGTGCGTCGGGCTCCTGCCGTATGCCCCCGCTAGGGTCCTCCATCTTCTTCTCAGTTGCCATATCGGGACTCGAATCCTTGACTACTCGGTAGATTTTCATGTTTGTATCAGTTTCCGCAGTCTTCTGAGGATGCGACGCATGAGCAGAATCAAAGTTGTTCAGACTTTGAGCATTGTTTTTGACTCTAGTTGGCTCAGCTCTTATTGACGATTCACCGCTGGACATTGCTTTGCAGGTCTGTGAGAGCTTTCTGGTAATGCCTCGACGTAAGGAAATTGACACACTGTCAGGACGAAAGTGTCTGGCAGGCAGGGTAGATGGCACGACACATCTCGGCATATGAGCTGTGCGTAGCCACATGTTAAACAAGTAATAAGGGAGAAATCCACCCAAGTTCTTCGCCGCAGATTCGAGAATGAGTCCAAAGACTTTATGTGAGCTTAATGGGTAAATCAACGCTTTCACCTGATGATCTGATATTACAAAAGAAAAGATTGACTATACAAATGATATGGTGTGAACATATTGACTGATGTTTGTTGAACATATCGTACACCCTACGATAGATTCACAACACGTTGAACTTCTCATTATTTGGGTCTGTACTGGATTTGATAGTTGATTATTTTTGCAAGGAGCTGTCAGCCACAGATACGTCAGAAGACAACGACCAATGAGATCAATGGCACTGTCTATGGTCAGCCACAAAGCACTTTCGTGCCTTAGGCATATAGGTACCCATTGCACGAGACTGTGGTGTGTACTTTTTCAGACCATTCAATAAAACAGATTCACAATAAAGCATAAAAATTGTCAAAAATATTATTGATTCTTATATCACGCCGCCCGTACCACACTTTCCTTCCTCATTCAAGGACAATGAAATTCTGTTCCCCTTTGTTCAGGTCGTAATTGGAAGTTTTGACTTTCATGTCATATTGATCAACAAAGATCTTACTCCAGCATATGCCTCGATGACACTGGGTGTGATTTGGGTAGCAGGTAGAACGAAACCATAAGTTCCAGTATCTCTCAGTTCAGTGGTGAAAGAGAAATCAGCACCAACGGTTGCATCATGATAATCTACGCTGTTTCCAGTGGCTGCATAAATTGTGGAACAGATAGGACCATATTTGAAGACTGTTCCATAAACTGCTTTCACGGCAGCAACATAACCCGCTGCGAGAGATTGGTGCTGGGCATTGTTCTCTGGTAATGCAGTGCAAGAGTATCCGTACGCTGTGAATATTAAGTTAGAAAATTTGTACAATGTTCTTCGAGGTTGATTCGACTTACGAGACATCATGAGTTGAGAGTACGAGTGGAAATCAATGAAGAGTTTTAAACCTTGGGCTGCCTTGATCTTGTTGGAGTATGCAGCAAGTGCTTTAGTTTCTTGGGCATCAACTGCAGCAAGTCCTATATGATGTTTAGCAAATTTCTGTCAAATAACCTGGGGCCAATTGACAATACATACCCCTATAATCTTCAGCGCAAGGGTCCGTGGAAGCTCCACCAGCGGTTGACCACTTGTACTCCCAATTTCGATTGATATCCCTACCATAACAAGTTGAAGAAGATGGCGGTGTCTGACGATTCTTACGCCACAACCGATTTGTACTTTGTGTGTATAAGAAGCCTAAGGTCGAAATTAGCTATGCCAGAAATGCAACTCCATTCAACTCACCATCAGGATTTACAACTGGGAAGATATAGTAGTCATATTTGTCAACAAAACCTTTGATCTCCGTGCTGCTGGCATAGTTTGAGAGAAGGTTGTACGCCATGTATTCAACAGTCTATAAATGTCAGTGCTGCCGCATTGTCGAAAATTTGACCATTTACTCACCAAAGTTGTGATCCACTCTCTAGCATGCACAGTACCGTGGAAAAGCACAGCTGGCTTAACTCCCTTACCAGAACTACCATAGATATGAATACCAGTAATAGGATTGCCTTGAATGGAAGTTCCAGCAGTCACAATCTCAGCATTTGATGGATGTGCAGTGACAAGATCTTTAAGGAATTGTATGTGGTCCGCATATGCATGGTATGCAGTGAACCACGTAGCATTTGGTGCGAGGGCTAATATATGTTAATTACAACTCCAGAAAATACGAATGAAACTTACCAGCCTCTATGGAATATGTATCAGCGTGCTCCTCTTCCGCGATAGATTCTCCAAGGTTGCTGTGCATGACCTGTTTTGAGAAGTCTTCAGTAATTCTCAAGAAGTTGTCGATCTGCTCGGGTGGTACAACCACATCAGCTGTCCCAAGCTTGGCAGATTTTTTCCATGTTTGAAGATTCAAAGAAGAGACAATGTCATCAATCTTCTCGATGTTGTCTTTTTGCGCTTTGAGACGGAAAACTTTGTAGCCATCATAGTTGACTTTCTCTGCGATAGCGACACCTGCAGCAGCAGCTGCAGTGGCAAGAGTAAATATCTGGGAAAGCTTCATCTTTTCAGAAGTCGATGAGTACAATTAGCTAGGTACTAGGAGAGGGAGAATACTGTTTGATATAGATTTCTGTATGGGCAAATTGCGGTTACCAACGGAAACTTTTCTAGAGGAATTCCTGAACAAGAAGCTCATAACTTCGTTCAATAACATCCAGAAAGTTACACATATTGAAGATACACATTAAACAAATCATAAGATCAGACTGAAGAAATATCTGTAGTGGCCGGCCTCGGTAGATCCAAATAGGAAGCTGCGATACTTTGCCGAGCATGTTATCTCTTGTGCCAAGGGGGCCAAGACGTTAAAATAAGGTTAAATTGACATTGCCTTCCGCATTGTGCGGGGAACCTGCATTTATGTTCGAATTCACCATTTTGTTCTAGAATTCCATTATCGAACATTTGAAGATATCTGTGGCCTCGCATCGGAGCTTGACTTGCCTAAATACAGTTGAAGTTCGGTCAGTGCAGGGGTTTTGAGACGTTCACGAAGGTCGTGTTGAAGTATGTGAGATTTGCCTAAATTGATTACGCTATGAAATTGCGTTATTATTGGCATTCAATACTGATATTTTAGCTTCTAAGCAGACAATGCTTTCTTCAATAGCGCTGATAGCGCTGCATGTAATGCATCCGCCTTCCAAATCAAGCATTTTCTAAGCACTGCTTTTACATATCGGATTGCTCGATTTCCAATATCATTGCAGCCACTTTTGCGACTGAATTGAGGCAACAACTCAACCAGGAAGGTGATAGCATTCATAACTTCAATCTTTGACATAAGATGTCTGGCCCATCTCTTGGACTAACGTAATCGTACCCGGCCCCATGTCCATTCGGTTTTCAATACCACATTCCAACGCAAACAAGCCATGGTAAAGCTAGTCTGTAGCTGTGAGCTGAATGTCTCATCAAGAAAAGCCTACAACGTTAATTATCAAGATAGAAATCACGGCTTGTGGGGCAGTACAATTTTGATTGTACGCGCAGCTCATGCATCGGAGGTAGAATTTTCAAATGGCGGCAAACTGGGCGGCAGTGTTCTGACCGCCGTCGACAACCACAAACTATCATCAATATTTATCAAACAAGAGATTTATGTCTGATATACTGCCTATGAAGAAGTCTACGTCGTCTACGAGGGTTATCACAAAGTCTTTATTTGACCATTCGATGATTAGTCCAATACTGCAATGTCAAGCTTCATGCTCATGTGCTCAAATGCAGAGTAGCTTGAATTAACATGACACCGCGAAGATTCAAATGAAATAAGCCCAGAATTTGTGCAAGATGGATGTTTACCCTGATAGCTAGACCACAAAATAATGAGATTTTCCCCCTATCCAAAGTACGTGGATTGTAATGAAGAGGTGGGAGGACTATTAGGTAATCTTTTAACCCTAAGAATCTAACTACTCATGTCCATCCTTCACCTCACTAGGCCACTCTCTGAATGCCGCCTCCATCGATAACGCTATATGTCTCGAAGCTGTAGCTCTAGGCTTTGGCGTGTTTGGAGGTAATACGAATATATACCTCACCATGAATTTGTCGGAATCGGCCTGTAAGTGAGTAACGATTTTGGGAACCGGCGGGTCGGCCACTTCCAGGCCTAGTAATATGCCATAGTCATATAATGGATGACGGACAGCTTTAAGTGCGTCGCGAGCACCCTGTTTGAAAGCATATCGCCATGATACGCCCGGTTTTCCAGCAGTCCAGATTTTGTCGGTCTGGAAACCATTTTGAAGGATGGAGTGAAGTGTATTGATTGCAGTGCCGTGCCATCGTACCGACGTCTGTCCGTTGTTTCGAATGACAGCTGCGTTAAATCGATCTCGAATCCGTGCTGGTGGATTGAGGACGGCAAATTGCCATATATCGTCTGAAAAGCCAGAAACTTCCAAGAAGTCAGGCGGAGGAAAGTAATTCTGCCCGAAACTCATCTGCATCCACTTAACCAATCGAAAAACTGGCTCAGGATGATTTTGCTGAAGATATGATATCAAAGCTTCAGATGTTAACTTCTTGGATTCGGGAATGCCTCGAAGAAAAGGCTGTAATTCCTGAACATCAGAAGCAGAGCAATCCTCGGATAGTCTGAGAAGCCGACGGTTATGATCAATTTGATGATAAAATGACATGAGAAGCAGATAGAGCCCACGATGATTGACCTCGCAGATTTTGGCCATGGCCTTACCCCATTTTATGACAAGCTCTGATTCTTCCCCATGATCTGACATATCCGAATCTTCTGTCCTAATTTTGTCTGCCAGATCGAAGGGAATAGTGAGGGTTTGGAGACGATTGCGGATTGTACCGGTCTTTTCGTGTTTTATATGAGAAGGATTTGAATCTTCGAAGTGCTTGTTTCTACACATGACTGTTTCTTTGGGACTCCTAGCGGCTGACTCAAGGAAGCGATGAAATGTATGGGATGCATACAGATGAAGACAATGGTAACCAGGATGTGCAGCGGACATTGCGAGGAATGATTATTGAAGAGAGTGCAATGATTTATAACGGAGAACCATGTTGTCTTAGGATATTGGCAGGTAGAAACATCTGACTGAAACCACTCGTACCTAGCCATCTATCCATCCATCCAAAGGGCCGCCTGAGAAATGATATGGCCATTCTAGAATCTTCCCACATTCGATGTTCATCTAAGTTTGAAGTTTCTTGTGAAGGGTTTTGTTGCCTTTGAAGTTCCCGCATAGCAAGTATGCAATGCAAAGGCACTCGAGCGGATCGAGCTTCTAAGAATGAGACTACATACTCTTGATTTGCTGAAATTCAAAACAATAGTCGTCGTTGAAAGAAGAAGAATTTTCCTCATCGATCCAAAACGAACTTTTCAGACAATCAACTGTCTACATGAAAGATACAATCAAGAATAATCCAGATCAATACACTATTCTTTACCGCCAGAAGAAGAATACCCAATACACTGTCACCTCGAGCTATACACAGTCCGAATGCTCCACAATGCTACTCAAGATCGATTCTTTTAGAAAGTATATAGAATCCCAGCCTTGGTGACTCAAGTCTCTAGTTGAGAAGTCAAATCGAAAACTACTCCGAGTCGATTTCTGTGATGTACAAACCATCTAAATGTCTAAAGTTACCCATTTTCTCACACCAGGTTTATCAAACCATATCCTAATGTCTGGTAATTTCCACTCGGTATGTCGACGCGCAAAATCCTCCAGTGCCATTTTCACACTGGGAATCTCGTCCTCATCTATGAAATTCTCATGTATTCTCAAGCTCAACCTTTTTAATCCGGTGAATTGCATGACATCGTCCCAACAAAAATCGTTCGAATCCCAGAAATGTAGCTGCACCCTGAACTCCAGGTTTCGGACCTTTTCTACATCATTTATACCCTCGAAACGACCCCCAATCAACATGAACACACAGTTGGAACCCGCCTGAGTCAAATTCAAGTTGTCTCTTTCAAAATCAACGTATGCTGTTCCTGCTCTGTGGTAAGAGCCAAAAGCTAATTCGTATCTTGTCAATCCGACCTCTCGTGCCTCGCTATTGACATGAAGTATTGACGGGATAGCGCTTGTATCATCACCACCAACGATTAAGCTAGCGCTGTCAATAAACCAACCCCGGAATGAAAATCGCCCCGTAATGCTTTGATAATTTTTGGATTTGATGTGTAGATCCCGAGGAGCGGGCATGCAATGATGCCAAATTTTGAGACGGAGCTCCGTTGGAAGCTCCAGAAAACGAGAGAACGTAGTGAGCTGTGCCGGAGGCGGACTTGACGACTGCGATATGCATTCCATTGTAAATAGCTTTAATAGTTCAGCGGATCACAAGAGAAGAAACTTGAGGCAATCTGGATAACATCGATATCGAGACGCGTCGTTTATGGAACAATCCTTCACCTGGCGCAAGGGCGGCACAACGAAGTTAACGAGGACCAATATCACCAAATCTTCAATTGAAAGGAATTAAATTCTGAGTAAAGCGCATCAATGACACGGAGAAATCAGATAGGTCAGAGAAGTTTATTTATATGCGAAATCGTCAGACGACGCGTGGTAATCTTGGCTAGGCACCCAGCTTTAGGTATAAAATAATGAGCGGTTCGTTCCTTCACCGTTGCCCTCTGATGATACCATTAAAGCGGCAGCACAGTGGGTATTTTACTTTTGAAGGATGTAGTGGGGGAATGCGGGGTCGCATCTGGAAATATACACCTAACATACACCTTCCTCCTAACGCGTTGATCATTGATCTCTATAATTTTGGTAGCTAATCTATCTGGATTCAGTTGTAAAAATATATGGGTATTATGATTTCAGCCGAACTCTCGGTTTCGCATGGCCTAAAGCTAACAACTTACAGAAGAGCGAAAAGCTTTGCAGCCATAATTATATGGACCGCCACTCAGACATTTACTAAATAAATGGATGGGAGACACATCATTATCTCTTGAGCCCGATGTGATGAACAAGACCCCTCAATTTCTTATGAGAGCAGCAGAAGATTCTAACTTTCAACCCCTTCATCAGTTCGCTTACGCGCGATTTGTAAAAAAAAATCTTCACCATTTGACCCACACCACCCAGTTACAGATATTGTACCCACATTGCTAACGCTCTTTCATGAAGCTCTTTGAGAGCAAACGATGAAGCAAAAAGGCTGTTCATCTATAAAGGTAGATGCTGAAAAGTACAAAAGCAATTAGGAGCAAAGCCAAAAAGAAATGACCAGACTGGGGCACGATCCCAGGACCTTGTCCGTATTTAACAGGTGTTAAGTGTTAAGGACACGTGATAACCAACTACACCATCCGGCCGTTTGTGACAATTGTTGAGGGAGAGTTTTAATGTAAAAATATATCAAAACGTTGTAAAAATGGACTCTGTGAACAAGTTATTAGCAAGGGAAAAAGTGGGGTCAAAAGCCGACATGGGTAATGGATTAACTAGCATCATTCTTATAATTGGACGTCACAAACAAAGTGCTACTCAGTGTTGGAAAGATTTGATATTTCAAAAGATCATGAGAAATGATATTACTAGAAATTATAATCTACAATCATACGCGATTGTACAAATATCCATTTCATTCAGTTTAAGCTTCACCAGGCCAGATATCATCCGCAATACTTCTGACCAAAAGTAACTTGTTCTTCATATCTTCCCACCCCAATGAATTACCCTCTTCGTGACTAGCAAATCCACACTGAGGGCTTATGCCCAATCTCTTCAATGCTTCTTCTCTCGTTTGCCCTGCTCCTTTTGCTACAATATCGGCAGCTTCCATGACTCTTGCCTTCATCTTCTCTTTGTCTTCGAGTTCTGGAAACTTCGAGGTGATGACTCCAAGAATAACGTTCTTGTGAGATGGGAGGTAGAGCAATGGCTCAAAGCCTCCGGCCCGGGGTGTATCATATTCAAGGTAGTATGTTGCTACATTCAGGTTCTGAAAGAGCTTGGTAGCAATACGATCATAACCTCCTTCGGAAAAGTGACGTGATCCCATAAAGTTACCCCTACAAATGTGTAGACCAAAATGCATTTTCGAGGTATGTTTCTCGATGCTGTCGTTATAACACTTAATATAGGCATCAAGCAACTCTTCTGCAGTTTTAGTATTAGATTTGTCTTCCTCCCAACCCTTCAACATTTTCTCGGAACAAAAATCTTTCAAATCGTTAGCTCTTGTTTGTATTTGCGTCGCGTCAGAATACTTACATGCAAAATTTGGGTCATCAAACTGCACATTTCTAAGTCCAGCTTCGTACAAGATATCCAACTCTGCACTGACAGCTTTCGAGATATCTGAAAAATATTCCTCATCGTTTGCATATACTTCTTTGGGGAAAGCCTTTCCATCCTTATATCTGAGATGATACCACGGTGGGGCAATCATTGTCAGTTTGATGTCACCCCATCTCTCTTCAGGTACAAGAGTTTTCAAATATTCGAATTGACCAATGAGTGTCGACTTTCCAGTGTGCTTTATTTTGCCGGTGCAGAGGCAAGATTGCCCTGGCTTGTGACCTTTCTCGATAAATCCAGCGATATCAGGAACATATGGACGGAAAATATCCATAGAAGGGTTGCGAATTTCGGTCATACCGTCGAGCTCTTCGAAAAACGTCCCCCAGAATACAGCGCGTCTACCATCCGATTTAAGTAAGCACATGCGCCACAGTTGACGATTTAATGAAATTATGCGAGACAACGAACCGATATTCTCCATCACTGACGGCCCTGAACCCGCACTCCTTTTGTAGCTCTACTACCTGCTTGATAGAATCATTCTCAATCTGTGTAAGTTCTTCCTGGCTTAAATCATTCTTCTCGAAAGCACTGCGTTTGGTGAGAAGCTCTGTTGGGCGTAGAAGAGAACCCAAATGCTCGGCGCGAAAAGGGGGATTATGATGAATGGTCGCCATTTTGATGTATCTTATGATGAAGAAAGAAATATTCAAGAAGCAGAAGAAGCTTCGATACCTAATCTTCAATAGTGGAAAGAACAATACATATACTTCACTTCCCCCGCTCGACTCCGCACCAGCCGCTATCACATCCGCAATACCTACATGAGTGCTACATCGGCAGTTGAGATATATGATGTTGTTGGGAACGAGAGCAGTGACATATGATATATGTACCACATCATAACCTAAGACTTCCCTCGAAAGTTGAGGTTTCTGACAACCAAGGGTCTTGGTGCTTGTGAGGTTGCTGGTGAACGATTTGCGTTGTCCGATAGCCTCAAGCTTTCATTGGACTGCGGAAATACTGCGAAGGCGATAACGGATAAACATTTGCCGATAAAAAGCTAAGCTCGATCTATTATCCTGCGCGTATTCGTGATACGAACTATTAATACACCACCCACACTGACTGCAGTCAGATCAAGGTGACAATGCAATCAATTTACATGAAGCAACGGTTATCTATCTGTTTGTCCTATTGAGGGCGGCGTGAGAAATTGAACCCCGCATGAATCATCCGGAAAAATGTATCAGATGCGATCAAATTAGACGGCGTACCGCCAAAACGACTGATATACATTATGCATCTCGCATATGTGCGTTCTTATCAATGATTCGCCCCGTGAATCAAGTATGATACAGGATTTCTTGTACGTTGATTGTGTTGTATCCCGCAACAAACGGAGGTCAATGAAGGAATTGGGCGACACGCACAATCTTTATGTCAACCCTGCGGAAGCTTTCAGTTGACAGCTATAGTGGGGTCAGTTGGTGCATCTACTGCGTCTCTTACATGGCATGGCCACCGCCAATTCGGCAGCTCAACATCGCGCTTGTGTATGCTCCCTACATCCACTGAGCTTCAGTAGGTTTTCTTTATTCGTTCCCGTGCCATGTCAACAGTAGTGAGCTACCGAACAGCAACCCTATGAGGCCTAGACCCAACATAATGCTTCTCCCAGTGGGCCTGCGGAATCGCGGGTACTAAAGTTTAGTGGGGGTTGAGAGGCTTAGGGTTGGGTTAATCCTGCAAACATTTCGACCATCATCAACCCTTTTATCTGTTTTGCCACACATCTGACTGCATGAGTCGTCGATAATTCACTATCGCAATTATGCGAGATACCAACCACTATCCTAGGAAGCGCGTTTTTCCTACTCAAAATTCGCGCAGCTCCTTATCAATCCTAAATGACTATAAAATTTCTCCTATCAGCACCTTTTCTCAATTGTCTTTGTATGACTTTCATCGCAAAATTTCGAAAATAATCCAGTGAGGATGCAAGTTCAAAGCATCGTTGCAGAAGTCATTGGACTGGCTGCTATCGGAGGTTTTACACTGCCATCGATTGTAACGATCTCACGTGCCCCATACCGACGAAAGGGTACTCCAAGCTGGGGAGATAATAAAGATGGAAGCACAACCACGACCAGTGAGAATAGTTTTAACTCCAAGGCCCCAAAGATATGCTTGTCTACATTTACTATCTTGGGCGTCTTAACATTTGTTTTGAAAACCCTTCAATTTGGTAGTACTACTTATTTCCTTGAGCAATTTGCAACTAATGTTGTGGGATGGGTGAGTGTTTGATCTATATCTCGCAGTAGTGATGCTAATTATGATAGTTCTTGTTGTCGATACAAGTGTTCGCTGTATGCTACACAAAAGATACTATCGTGAGCTACACACAAGGCACATACGTTGCAGCTTCCTGCTTTGCTTTCCTTTGTATGGTGATTGTTGAGGATCAAGAAATTCTGAGAAGCTCATGGTCGACTTCCACTGCGCTATCTATTGCCCAGATGACTACTCTACTTGCTGTTGGGACCGCAAGTATATCGATACCACGACGACCGCAGGTTTTCTATCACGGGAGACTGGTTTTAAATGAATTCAACGTTTCATTCCTCACTCGATTCACATTCTCGTCAATAGAGTATTTGCTCACAAAGGCGAAGCGGCAAAATACTTTAGATATGGAAGAACTCCCAACAATGCACTACGCAAAAAGATCAAAGACTCTCAGCCATGCATGGATGGCTGCTAGTAGCACTGGTCGACTGTGGGTCAGGCTGTTGAAGGCGTACAAATGGTCACTTATTCTACAGATTATTCTCGGCTTAATTCATGCATTTCTTGCCATTGGCCCACAACTAGCAATCTTCAAAATACTAAATGCAATGGAGTCCGGGCAAACTGGAAAGCAGCTAGGATTCTATATACTGGCGTTTGGCCTTGCCACCGTTCTAGCTTCTTGGGTTGAAGGTATGTGTCAATCACCAAAATCTGTCTCTCTCAACATCAATCTAACATTGCATAACAGCCATGCAAGATATCACAAGCACGAGCCTAGTTTCTGTTCCAATGCGAGCTCAACTATCAGCTTTGATATTTGAGAAAACTATGCGGCGCAAAGATGCAAAAGGCAGGCCTGCAATGGCGGAAAATGAGAATGGAGTTTCATCAGATGACATAGACCCTGACAAAACTTCTCAGAAGATTCTCAATTTGATTGGAGTGGACACCGGAAGAATTTGTGATTGTGCCAGGCAAACTTTTGAAATTGTTCAAGCCCCCGGCCGGATTATCATATCTGTAGCGTTTCTGGTTACGTTATTGAGCTGGCAGGGAATTTTACTTGGCTTCTGGTGCGTTACCTACTTTATAATCCTCTCTCAGGGATTTTTGTCCACAATCCCGAAACTAACTTACTAGTTTTATCATCATAACTTTTCCCATTACACGTCGCTACGCAAAGAAGTTTACAGTCTCGCAGGGAATTCTGATGCAGACTAGAGATAAGAAAGCTGCAATTATTGGCGAAGCTCTTCAAGGGTTCCGCCAGATCAAATTCTCCGCTCTTGAGGACCGATGGGAAAGATCCATCATGGCAATGCGAGATATCGAGCTTACAGCAACCTGGGATGTTCTAATGTCTAGAATAATGTTGATTTCATGCTGGATTTTAAATCCACTCATGACTGCGGCCATTGCACTGGGAGTTCACTCATATATATACCAACAACTAACACCCGCACAAGCGTTCACTGCCATTGGTGTATTTCTGCAATTGGATCATTGTATGCAATGTCTCCCCAACATAATAACGCAGATGATCGCTGCCAACGTATCGTTGCAACGTGTTGAGAGTTTTCTTAATTCGCCAGAACTCGGGAACATTCTTTCTAGCCCAATAGAACCACTCGAACCTACCGACTCCGATTTGCCCGTGATAGTTTTTGAAAATGCGAGAATAAGCTGGCCCACCGACACCGAGTATGTAGATAACGAAAGTGATCGGTTTATTCTTCGAGATATCAATATCTCATTTCCAGTTAACAAATTGACAATTATCTGCGGAAAAACCGGTTCCGGAAAGAGCTTGTTATTGAGTTCAATGCTTGGCGAAGCAGAGCTTATCTATGGTAAAATTAGGGTACCGGAAAGGCCACTGGATTGTTATGACCAGCACGCGAATAAAGACAACTGGATTGTTCCGCATTCGATTGCTTTTGTTGCACAGATCCCCTGGATAGAAAATTGTACAGTCAGAGAGAACGTTCTATTTGGCCTTCCGCTAGACTTGGATCGTTATGAACAAGTCATTGAAGCTTGTGCTCTGACCAAAGATCTCCAACTCCTGTCAGATGGGCATGAAACGGAGATTGGGACTGGAGGAATTAATTTAAGTGGTGGCCAGAGAGTAAGTAATACATACCTATGCTCTCCTCGTAGCATCTCGATTTTTCCATTGCCGCCAGACTCAACTTTATGACACAAAACTGACTGATTGGTGGTCTAGTGGCGATTAACTTTGGCAAGAGCCTTGTATTCACGTGCTGGAATTATTTTGCTAGACGATATATTTAGTGCTGTTGATGTTCACGTTGGCCAGTTCATCCTTAATAATGCTCTAGTCGGCAAGCTGAGCGCCGACCGTACTATAATATTAGCAACACACCATTTATCTTTGTGCAAATCGCATGTCAAGTCTATCGTAGAGCTTGAGGATGGTGTTGCCAAGCAATTCTCTAGCGTTCAGGAATTGGAAGAATATCTTGGTGCACCCGTCGAAAGCCTGGATGATACTGACGAGACTCTAGTTGCTATGGAAGATGATTTAAAGGAAGATACCATCGTAGGTACATCAGGCTGCAATTCTCCGACGACGAAAAAGACCGATCCTCTCAAGTTTGTTTTAGACGAATTTCGCAAGGAAGGAAACATTGGATCTTCAGTTTATTCAAAATGGCTCAAGTCTTGTGGTGGATGGACTATCGGAATTATGTTCCTTCTGATTTATACCATGACCACTTTATTTAATCTTGGTAAGATATTTTCTTCACAATGATTTATGAGGACAAACACCAACACTCATCTTTAGGCCGAACATATTGGCTTCGATTCTGGACCAGTACTGATGGTGAGAACGAGCGCAATTTACATGCAAGATTTGATCAACCGCAAATTTTTATGACTTCCTCGACGTTTGATAGAAACGGTACCGTGCTATCATCTGATGTATCAGGAAAACACAGCACAACCTTTTATCTCGGAATCTATTTTGCCCTATGTATCGCCATGAGCATCTTCCGTATCTACGGTTATATTTATGCATACAAGCAATGCATTCGGGGTTCCAAAAAGCTCTTTAAGACAATGTTATTCAAGGTTCTAAGAGCTCCTCTACGTTGGATAGACACTGTCCCATTTGGAAGGGTTATGAATAGATTCACCACTGACTTCAACACTGTCGACTTTGATATTGTTGTGAGTATGCCTATTTTATTTATACTCCCCTTGATCGATTGGTTGATCCATTATATGGCACCTCTCACACATTGGACTGCTCCCATTTTTGACATATTTTTTTTACCTTAGGATACGCTCACGTGGGGAGTCGGTGATGTTTTTAGGTTATTTGGAATAGCAGTTGCAGGGTAAGTAGTGGATTCTCGTTGAATATCCCTCTGCTAATGAAATAAAAAGCATGTTCTTATCACCATATGTAATATTTTTAACAGTTGCTGTGTCTGCATTCTCCGCATATTTAGCGCTCCAGGCCATTACAGCCGCGAGAGCAATTAGACGCTTGGATTCGACTAACAGATCACTCATATTTGAACAATTTCGAACAATTTTGATTGGTATCACTACCATACGAGCTTTCGAAAAGAGAGATGTTTACCTTGAAAAGGTATACCGTAGGATCGACGATGCGAGCTCAACACTTTGGAATACTACTTTATGTCATAATTGGCTCGTTTGGAGGATAGGCGGCATGGCTTCGGCAGCATACACAATGTCAATCGCAGCTATTGTAGCCGCTACTGTGACTGATGCAGGGCTTGCTGGTTTCGTCCTTGCTATATCTCTGGAATTTTCAAGCGCCCTGTTTTGGTCACTTTTCCATGCAGGTTTCCTCGAATTACGAATGAACGCAGCGGAGCGAGTGATCGAATACACAGAGATGCCTACAGAGACGTTAGATGGAGAAGAACCTCCCGCGAGTTGGCCAACAGCAGGGTGTTTGGAAGTGAAAGATTTAGCCGTTGCATACAACCATGATCTCGAGCCTGTCTTGAAAGGATTGAACTTCAGTATTGATCGACAAATGAGGTGAATATCCGAAATCTTTACCTCAACTAAATTTCAAGTCTAATATGTTATTAGGGTCGGGATTGTTGGTCGCACTGGATCCGGGAAATCTACGCTGACATTGGCACTCTTCCGTTTTCTGGAAGCGAGAGAAGGTAGCATTGTTATCGATGGTTACGATATCTCGAAGCTAAAACTACAGTCTTTGCGCCGTAATCTAGCCATCATTCCTCAAGATCCAGTGTTGTTTTCAGGTTAGGGCTCTCCGGATTTTCGAAAAATGAAATGCACTAACAGAATCTTAGGCACACTTCGGAGCAACTTAGATGCAGATAATGAGTACGATGATACAGCGCTCTTCGACGCCCTTCGCCGAGTTCATCTCATCAATGAATCTGACTCCGGCATTACAACTCCATCGTCGAACTCATCTCAAAATCAAAATATCTTCCTCTCCCTAAACAGCTCCATCGCCGAAGGTGGTCTCAATCTATCCCAAGGCCAACGCCAACTCCTCTGTCTCGCGCGTGCTATCATTCGCCGTCCAAAGATTCTCATTCTCGACGAGGCGACGTCTTCTGTAGATGTGCAAACGGATGCGCTTATCCAGCAAAGCATTCGCGAGGAATTTGTAGATAGCACGCTGTTGGTTATTGCACATAGACTTAGTACAGTAGGGGATTTTGATAAAATTCTAGTGATGAATGATGGGCAAGTAGCCGAGATGGGAAGTCCAAAGGAATTAATTGACAAGAAGGGAATGTTTTGGGGTATGGTAAAAGAGAGTGGAGAGGCGGATAAATTGGTTGGTATGAGTAAGGATTCATAAAGGATTCTAGTCAAATGCTCTCGTGCATGTTGACCAGATTGGAATTAATGTATGCAAGAACGTCAAAATTATATTTCCTCACTGTAACAGGTTCTACCCTTTCGTTGTGAAGCATTACTCCGATGTCTTATTGGAAACAAGTACATTTCACGAGTTTTCGAGAAACTTAACATCACGGGAAAATGATGGTTGAACTTGACAGAACCAGATCTTTCTCAGATTCATTTTCGTTTCCATTCAGCACACTGTATTCTCCAGCCTACATCTTTAGAATATTTACCGAAACTCGTCCTCACCTACCCACAACAGAGACCCAAAATCTGGCTCCTCCGTTGTCCCACTGTTCAAAATTCAGGTTACGGGAATAGCACGATGACTAAAAACACTAGTCCGACCAAGAGCTGCTCTCCAAACCGGCTTACTTTCACTAAGAAGCACTTTTTCTCTCAGAGCACTGGCATTGCGACATTGATGCTCATGACCCATACCATCTATCCCATCCACCACTTTGCCCATAGCGTTGGTCGTGGGTTTAGGAACTTCAAGGGTATCATCGGCTGTGCATATAATTCCCTGATAGACAGTACAAAGTTAGCATTAACGATACTTCCATGCACACAAAAGAAACAAGAAAAAAAAGAGAAATAACCCACCTGCGCAATATAATCCAAACAATGCAAAAAATGCAACGGATTTTTCGACCACTCCGCCCCCTGCACCTCATGATCATGATTCATCGGTCCCCCAAATAACATCGTCCTGATCATACCCAAACAATGCAATTGATGAAACATGGTCACTCCATACCCCTTCGTAACCCCCTCTCCTTCATCCACCATGATGAAACCGCCGTTAGGAGTGAGAAGATATTCATCCCAGTCTACATCCTCGGGGTCTCCGAGTGCGGCTTCGAGCGCGGGGATGGGGGTGAAGATCTTGGGGTGGAACTCGCTTGGAGGGGCTTGGGGGGCGCCGCTGATGTGGTCGTGGGCTTCGGGACAGATTTGGTAGACGATGAGGTTTTGGACGGGGGCGAGGAAGGGGAGGAGTTCTTTGTGGGCTAGGAGGAGGAATGTTGATATTATTGCTGTGGATAGGAAGATGGTGTATAAAATGAAGCGGAGAGGTGAGCTAGTGCTGGGCTTGAATTTGTTTTCCATGGTTGCTGTGGATGTGTGAATTTTGTGATGGAATTTCCAAAGCTAGAAGGTGGGAAGGAATAGGGGCTGTGTTTTCTTGACTACAGAAGAAAGGCAATGGGGCTTACATGCTATAATGGTCGAAATACACCTGGATTTGCAATTTACAAGCGAGTACTAGGACGAAATGAAAGACACAGAGTTTTTATACTCGGAGAAACGCAAAATGCTGTTTATTAGCCATGCCTATTAATGGTATGATGAAGATATGAGCCGTATTCTAGTCACTCAGAGCAGGTACTCGAACCTAACTCTAATATTCAGGAAATCCCGAGTGTTACATAAAATGCACGCGGAAAACTAGAGCATACATCGGGAGCTTAATGAGCTTTATTTGGCTCCAGCAATATTTATTCGAAACATTCCTCCAAAGATCGTCAGTCGTACAATGAGATAAATGGACCATCAATTCGGAAATCGTGTTGTTATCTTCGTAGAATATCTAAACTTGCTTTCAATCTTAACAATCCCTCCTTACGATAACTATCCTTGCTCCAACGACTATCTAATCTCTAGCGTATGTTGCACAATTATGTATACACGCACACTTAATTCGCACCAAAACCTAGATAATCGAAGCAACTACCGGTTGTGCAAAGCTAATAAGAAAAGCATGTTGTGTAGCGAGCAAGCGAGGATTTGAAACCAATGAATTTCAACATAACGATAACATCAGAGATCGACCCTTTTATCGACACGTCATGTAGTTCCCTACTGTGTCTTTTGATGAGGTGATTGTTGCAAGTAAGTGATCATGAAGACGCGGGGGTTGCAGAAGTTATAAAGAAAGATAAAGATACTTTGTGCGCTGGCGGAAGCTGTGTTGGGTTCTCTGCAGATGCGGTTAAAATGAAGAATATGTGATATAACATCTATGAGGTAAATAACCATGAAGGAAAATCAAGAATTTCTGGAAGTGCTGCAGTACTGTGATGGATTCGAGCCGGAAGTTCTATCTTGCTAAAATTCCGTGATCAAGTCAATCTCCCATTTACTCTGGTTGTTTAACAAAGTACTCGCATTGAGAAGACGAATACTCACTTCTATTCTCGTCCTCGCTGGGTGTTGAATTTTGAATCTTCAATCTTCGAACCCTTTTCTTCCTTTTTCAACACAGGTCTAATTATCATGTCAGCTTTATACAACCCCGAAGCAACACACTACGAAGGTCCTGAGGACCCAAAACTTCTCAAGTCAGAGAAAGAAGATAATAATGACTTCTCCAAAGCAGACGAAGAAGAATTGTTCCTCGAGCGTCATGACTTTCCGTCTCATCAAAAGCAACATAGCCATAAGCGAAAAATCTACATCGTGGCCGCTATCGCTATTTTCATTGCTCTCGCATCCATCACATTCGGAGCATACTCGACATTGCGTTTCCAGGCCTTGAAGCATAGTCATAACAGCGCGTCTACTCAGCAACCATCACCATCAGAGCCGCACTCCCACGAAAGCCACGGAGGAGGCCACGAATACAAGCATGAGCATTCTCCCGTCTCATCCACTCAATCCATTCATCCCACACGTCCAGACCTCGATTGCGGCGATAGTGAAACCACTGCAAAAGCCGCAGGCTGCACCTTCAACGTCATGGCATTCTCCTACGTTCCAGCCGCATGTAACGGCAGTGAAATCATGAGCTCCTTCGTCGACAAACATGCCAATCTACCTCTGGACGGAGCTGGAATATTCCCCTGGTACCGCTGGTCCAACCGGACCGAGCCTGTCCCGCAAGATGCAAACGAGCTGAGTAAATATCCATTTATTTGGACCACTCATGAATGGCATATTGCGCATTGCTTATACAATTGGGCTCTGGCTACTGATGCGATTTCGAGGGTTCTCGACAACGAGAAAAATGTTTGGATCTTGCAGGATGCGGTTCAAGGGGGTCATATTGCGCATTGTAATGGCTTGGTTTCTGACAGAGTGACGAGTGGTCTGACGCCTTTGAGAGCTTTTAGGGCAATTGGACGTTGTGTGAAATTAGATACTGACGGTATCGCTACTTTGAGCAAGGATCCCTATGGAAGCCATGTGGATTAAGAGGTTTGCGAGTTTGTTTGGCGCAAGGATTTCCAGATTCATGTAAAGAAATAAAGTAGTATTAGTATATAAGTCAGAACATGAGCCTACCTTATAGACTACAAGCAAAGTATACAGATTTTACGTGATATAGAGCCATGCATTTGCGCAGTATTCCGGCTTACTATTTACCAAATGTGAAAAATGGCCCAACTCTGAAGCGCAAACGACCCTCGTGATATTTGAAAGATAGGCGTTATAGATTTCAAGCACTTAATAGTCAAAGACAAACAATTTGATAAGAAGCAGCCATAAGAGAAAAGCTTGATTTTCGCACAAATGCGTTGAGAAACCGCCTTGAGTCACCAAATATGTATGCTTCTAAGTCTCCCAGTCCTTCACTTGATGGCCTAGGAAAACAACTTTCATATGCTACATACCTGCATTTAAATAAACGAAAATGTTTAATGACAAACTCATTTCACCAAAAACAAAATGAAGCTCATGGATGAACACTGGGTCGATATCGCAAACAGCCACTTTAGAGATAAGTTCACCGTCCATAGATAGTTTCATCTGATGTACCTGCTGTACCAAGTCACTCTTCAAACTCCACACTCAACGCAATATCCTTCCATCCTTCTTGCAAAAGCGAATAAGAAAATTCTGCCACTATTCCACGACCTTCGATTTCGATGATTTTCTCCTCTTCCACAAACCCTAGATTCCTCAATGTCGAGCGCATTGGTTCATTATCCCTCATTGTCCCAGCGACAGCTTGTAGGCCAAAATTAAGAGTTAACTGAGTCAAAACACTAGCCGTTAATTTTCCCAATCCCTTGCCCCTCACCTCCTTATTCAGCACCACGCCGATGTTCGCTACTCCTGGCTTAATCACATAAATATCCCCAAACCCCACAACCTTCCCATCAACTTCAACGAGGATCTTGAGGCAATGAAAGTCCGTATTAGACTTGTCGTATTGATCATACATGTTGGCTTTCCATTTCGAGATAGCATCCTCATCCCAGACTTGGTCTTTGCTGTCTTGCAATTTGTTGTTATCGGCGCTTGTCGCAATGGGGAGCCAGACATCAAAGTGAGATGGTGTTGCGCGGAAGAATTTGACCGTTGGGTACGATGGGATGGTAATTGTCCATTTCTTGGTAAAGAAATCTGAGCGGTATTCTGAGGGTGGGGGTGAAGAGGAAGACATTGAAATGGATGCTACATATCGGCTTAATGACTGATCTTCTACCATTGGGTGAAGGTATCAACTCTACAAAAGTCATTATAGATCATTATAGACTTACTTTGTGAAGCTTTTGGGAGATATCTGAGATGTTGATACCGCTGTCCTCAAATGAAATGAATTGAGTGATTATCAAAATCACGATGAATCAGGTTGTAAAGGGGGAAAGGATTAAATCAACAGAGGATGATTTGAAAGTCACCAGAAGCTAAGATAGTTCTGCGTTACCAAAAGCTATAAGTCAACTTCGTGCACCATGTTACAAAGATCAAGTGGAAGCTCAGTTGAAGAGCTCGACGGGGAACACAAAATCGGTATTCCGGTTATCTACTTTGATCTGTTACGGTGAACTTCGTGATTAATGACTTCTAATTCTTCTCACCACCTTCCAGATTGGGCGGCGAAAGACGTTCGTCGCTGCTATTTACGACCACATCAATGACGTGAGCGAGAACATCAGGACATTATGCGCAGTCGGTAGGTATGATGTTTTCTCTGAAGACAGGTCTAAATACTCGTGGTAGATTGTCTTCACACCTCCTTTTGTATCGGATCTTGCTTGACTCCCATTCCAAGTATGTGTGTTCCTTCTCACATCTCACATAAGGTTGGTAGCAATTGAAGTATAAGGAGCAGGACTTTGATCCAGCTCTGTATTTATTCAAGACAATGAGATTTGATTTGATTAGCTAGATAAGATAAGATATAACCTTTTTTCTCACAAAATCGAGCTACCCATTTTAAACCTCCCGAATCACACCTAGTCTATTCCGACTCTGTCACCATCTAATCACTCAAAATGAGTCGAATAGATGTTTGAGAGTAAAATCTTTATCACATCGGTTTCACAATCTCAATGGTCAATTCCTCCGCAGTCTGAAAAGCTTTAATCTCCTAACCCTAAGAATGACTCTTCCCTTACCAATGCATCATAATACTCTATTTTCCAATTCTCCATGCTAATTGGTCAATTCAATATCAATATCAATTAACTTCGATGACTCTTTCCCGCTCAGACGATATTGGAGTCGATGTAACTTATAAGAAAGCTTCGAAAGTGGAGTGAGCGGAGAAACCACAAGGTACATACCCAGGTATTCAATAATCTCAATTAGAATCCGAGAAGAGGTACAAGTCTAGATCACAATGAGTCTGACTATGACATATCACACGAAATATTATCTCAAAAATTTTCATCACCAATTTCGTTCTGGGGAATTCGGTCCAGAAAAAACAGGTATTCCGACCCAACGGGCCGGGTTGGGGTCTAAGCCTTTTGTTATACCGACATGTTAATCTAGTTTCGGAGTTCAGTGCGAGGTGTGGCTGGGATCTGGGTACTCATTCATTGGGTTAATAAGTGGTGAAGCACGGAGTAGTAAGATCTTAGTTCTACGGTGTAGGAAGTATTCTTCCTGCTTACTTATGAATTCTTGAAAAACATCGTTAGATATGGAGCTATGTGATGAGAGGGTTTCTGTATGGGATGGCTGGATAGACAGATCAATTTACAAATACAATGTTGCCTTGTCTAGCTGGCGATCACAATATGACACCACGACCATAACACCACCCACCAACACCGGAATTTCCCACAAAACAGACAAAAGAAGACAAGAGATAGATCAGAAATCAGGCAGCAGATCACTAGCCACAAGAAGCCGCGGAATACCTGCATATCACACACATTTCTTCGCAATCCGTTCGTGTGTCTTTCGTAATGAAACTACTGATACGTAGTTCGGTATGGTTGGTACCTGCACATAGCGATTTCCAGTCGATCAGCTGTCGCGGCACAATGAAGTACATACATATCTATATTTGTTCATTTGTTTGTTGATTTACGAGCTGACGGTATACGTGGATCCGAAACATTACCTGCCAACTTGCGGGCACATCGGGATTTCGAATAGGAACGCTCAAGAATAGGAATTCGATATCCTGATATTTGGGACTTAGGGAATATCAAGCACAGAGCCATATGAATAGAGAACGCTTAGTAACATCACTTGAATAAAGCATATGATCACAAAATGAATGACGCATCTCCATGCCCCATACCCTAAATCCCCTTCTCCCTACCACCCCGTCCCAAACAAAGCTCCCCGAGTACACCCCCCCCCCTCAACTTCACCTCACCGATCCACCACCAAAACCTGAGTCATCTGGCCGCGCTTCCACAAATTTTCCATCGCCGCTGCAGCTAGCAAACGCTTAATTAACCAGAAATCACGGAATACAGCGTCAACAAGTGAAATAAGCGAACTCCGACCCCTTCATCACCCATACCCATTTTCCCATTTCCACTCATTCCACACATCCACACTCACCATCAGCCTTATCCCAAACCCCTTCAAGCATAGCTCCTACCTTTCGAGCATCCAACACATGCAAAGTGTGTACGCGGCCGGCGTTCTCATTGTTCTTAAAAAAAAGTCATACATGAAATTTTTTGATATGCATTGCTTGCATGGGTCGTTGGTTGGCAAGCATACAGAATCCATATACCGTACTTGTTTTCTTTTCTAGACTGGGGTGGGTGAAAATGAGGCAAGCATGGGACGAGAAGGTTTTTGAGTTTTTGTTTTTGATATTTTGCTCAGAATTGCTTAGTTACATGATTGCTTAGCGGGCGGAGTTTGCATGAGATGAGATGGGACGGGGTTAGGATTCTGGATTCTCGGTTTGTTGTGACTGTTTTGCTTTTTCTGGGTTCGGTTTGTTGGAGTGGAGGTACATGGACGGGTGTCATAATTTTTGGAGTCTGGGGTTGTGATGGATTTGAGTTGGATATATATAGAGGGAGAGATGCCTCGATTATGAAGGCTTCCTTATTCTCATCATCATCATCATCATCATCATCATCATCATCAATCTGATACAAGAAAACATCAATACACATAACAGCAACACTACTGCTCCGACATAAAATTCATTTTTCGAAGTAAAAGGATTATCATCACCAACATCTCAAACAAAATCAATAGTACATCTATAAAAATGCCTGCCGGATTCCCTGCCTACCCAGCTTCCCGTATGTTTCCTCTCCTCTCTTCTCTATCCCATAAACCCATCTAACAAACCCCAGGTTTTCCAAACGAAAAACCCCCAACGCTCTTCCACCCCTCCTCTCCCAAATCCCCAAAAGCAACACCCGTCTCCTACTCCACCTCTAGATCCTATACTGCTACATCTTCCTCCTCTTCAAAAGACTCAATAGACACCACTACCACATACACTCCCGCAAACGATACCTCTTCACTCTACAGCACCACTTCCACCATTTCTCTTTTGAAGCATCCACTCAGTACACTCAAAGCAAAGTTTTCGCATAAGGAGCATTCGAAGAGGGAAGCAGCCAAGTCGGACGAAAAAACCTTGATTGATACCTCGACGCCAAGTGAGAAGACACGTACGTTCGACCCCAAAGCCTGATGTGATGGATGTGAATGAAAGGATAGAAGGCTGATTGGATTGGATTTTTAGCGAGACAATCACTCACGGAGACATATATGATCATGGCTATGAAGTAATCATAGCCAGCGTTCAATCTGTCTGTTTGTTTGAATGGTGTCTTTACCGCAGATCCTTGGAATTTGGGGATTCTACGGTAATGCTGTGATATTATATATCTTTCGGCATGGGGTTCGGTGGAGTTTTTTTGAATCATTGGTGACATACTGATAGTGTCTGGATCAAAGCCAGATACCTATGAAACAATCCTATCCTAAATGGGAACGGATGTATTGGGAAACGGCGTTTTGGAAGCTCTAGCTTGGTGTTGGAAATTGACTTCTTGATTTTCATATCTCGTTAGGTTTTTAATAAATAAAATTAAGTTTCTCAAAAACTATCATCAAAATCATCTTTCATCGCAACTATACTTGGACTATTGTCCAGTTCGTCGGTATTGTCAAATCCAGCTCCTGCGGTGTTCAGAAGATCTTCAACGATTCTTTTACTTGCTTCTCGTGCTATAAGCAAGTTAGCTTGCATCGTCAACGGGTCAAAAAAGGGCAACAGCATACCAGGAGTTTGTAACAATCTTGATTGTGGTAAGGAAAATTGAATGGTCTTTGGAGGACTCATTCCAAGCTCCTTGTAGATATCCTCCGCATCTTCATCACTATCGCTTTCCCATGTAATCTCATCTTTCTCTTTCTTCACAGATCTGGCAAAGATATCCTTTGACTTGCCTTTCGCAGGGGTCTGAACGCTTACACCGGGAGTGCGTGGTGCACTTTGTCTATATGGTTGTCTAATCGGCGAGCTGAATATATCAGCGTGTAGTTGAGGTGCTGCAGCTGGCGGCGAAGACAACGGTGAATGGTTATCTCGCCACGAGGGTTTGTTGGCAGGTGTTTTCTTTTCTTTCCGATTTGTGAGTGGCGTAGCTTGGATTCGATAATTCTTCTCCAGCATTTTAAGGTATTGAGGATCTTTTGACTTTTGAGCCGTTGATGGTATGTAAGTTTGAGCATTCGATGGTAAATCATATAAAGTCGGGTCCATTCGATATGAGGTTGGATCAAATGGGGATGAATCTGGTAACATCGACATATCCGGTGCCCTTTGCTTTGCTCCAGGTGTACTTGGTAGTTGTGTGTCATCTTCATCATCCTGTAATGTCGCTCCTTTGAGTTCCCTTCTCAAGTCCTCGTATGGAGATGAGAAGTCTGCAAATTGTGGTTCTTTATCCTTTCTGGGAGGAGGAGCTCGAGGCGTGCTACCACTTATGTCATTATCTTCTAACATTGAATCATCCTGATCATAAGAATGATGTCCATCATCTTCTGTTCGGATAGTTTCATCATCAACGTGTGATGCTGTGTATTGACTCGGTTCTTCGTGGGACTGGGTATATGAGACATCCTCTTCCTCCTCCTGTTGCTCTACTTGTAATAATGAGACATTGGCACTGGCTTCGAAAAATTGTTTCCAGAACTACCCCGCTATTAGTTACCTTTCAGGTATTCTGTAGATGTGCACCAACCTTCGACCCTTCCCATACCGCATTTGAATGGTTGGCATATTGTTCAACGACCGGTAGGATACTTGTAGTAACGATACGGTGTGCTCGACTAAAGTTGTGATCAATTTCTGAGGTTGCGTTAGTAAACAAACAATGTTTTAGGACAGAGGTGGAATCTTGCCTTGGAGAGTCAAAGTGATAGATTGCTCTAGCTTCTCAAGCTCTTCCGTAAGAGAAAGTGGTCTTGCAGACGACACACTAGCTCGAGACATACTTTTTAATGGGATTCTGTATCTCGTTCAGAGACTGGAATTTTTGGGGTTGCTGAGGGGTTGAAGCGACCGGCGCGTCACTGACATGATTTTACCACGCAAAAGCAAAATGATTAAATGGCACAACACGTGATCATGGAGTTCTCAAGATTTGTTTACTTTAACTTTATTATATATTTACTGCCCCAACATTTTATACTTTCAAGATAACATGGAATTCAATGCAAATCAAGTCTACCAGCATCAATGTTACATTACGATCGTTGATGATTCCCTCCTTTTGAGGCTTTGCAAAGTTTGTTTCTTCATCACATTACCTAGTATCCTATACTTACCAATGTGTTAACTCAGTAGTAATTAGCACTATCGATTCTGGTATAGTATACGGAGAACAGACTCCGCACTGTCCAGTATTTCCTTCCAACCTTAAGCTTAAAGGCAGAGAGACTGGGAGATGGATAGATATGGGCGATATGGATGGTACAGATGGATGGTTGGATGACATGGGGAAATTGGCTGTTCCACGTTCAGACTCCCGTCAGTTCCCGCCAGTTCGCACCAATTCTTCCCGCTCATGCAACTGTTTTGCGCTCCAACTTCTGTGCCGTCTTCTTCTCTTCCTTAACCCAAGGTTTCTTATTTCTTATACGCATTTACAATATTGGTGCTTGATTGCACAGATGCAGACACGAATTCTGGCTAAGCCTGTCATCTGATCAACATCAACCCCATCGTAGGCATCAACTGATTCAACTCGAATCAAAAGCACAGACAAGAAACCCTGGGAATTTGGATCATATCCCTTGAGGATTATCACAAATCCACTCCATCCAGAAGCCTTACAGCATCAGCATCAGCCCATCTGGATATCTGCACTATTACTGGTGTGTTCCGCAATTCTCTCCTTTTGTTGACGTTATCTTTTCGCGTCGTTTCTTTTGACACCCCGCTTCCCCCTCCCCCCTTCCTTAGAGTCTCAGATTTCTACAGCCTTTGCCTCCAATTGCTCAATAGGGGCGAGCAAAGCAATCTATTCTTGCGAGCATTTAGGAATATTGAAAGTCGATAAGTGGGCGAATTCATTTTCCTTGTATCAAGAGAAATTCCAGACCTCCAGATCACGATCTCTAACAGCCTAAAACATTTCTTGACAATAATCTTCAACTGCCATGACGACCATTGCCTCAAACTAGCAAAATTCTCCTCAAGAAACTTGGACTAATAGGTAATATTTCATAAGCACAACAAGCATTCTATGGCTTATACTCCGTACACTACTCAGAGCAGAGAGCAGGTGGTGTGCATACAACGATAGGATCACCCTTGCAGGATCATCGACAGCTTTTATGCAGGAACTTTCGGTTTAGGTTCCACATTGCCGAGGCTCCATCTTTACCTACGATGTAACCGCCGTCTTTCAGAGATCAGCACACAAATCATTGGGTAGACAATTTGGATATGTCCATTACCTGCATCGTACGTACTGATATTGACGAATTTTCAAGGATAAGATAGTCGAATTAGGACACTTTACCAGTAGTATAGGGGCTTCATGTACCCCTTAAAAGATCGATAATCACTCTGCACAAGACGATTTACACTATTTTAATTCCACGTCGCACAGCTCTCAACCACTCAAGTACTGATTGTTAATATTCACACAAGTGTGCCGGTGCGGGGCTTTCCCGTTGCAGAATTACCAAGCCAACATAGAACTTACTCGCTTGATGCTTTGCAATTAAAAAAGTCAAATTTCAGAGTTGGAACTCATCCAAACAACTCGAGAGAAAACCAAAAACAAACAAAAAGACTTCATCCATCTCAAACTACCTCCAAAACCTCAAACTGGGGCAATCCGTGCGTCACAAGCCAAGGGACCCTATTCATTTATCTTCGGTTCGAGTTCACAGACGAAAATCAAAGCTAACTTCTAATTTCTAAGTTCTAAGTTCTCGCGCTTTTATAGTTCCAAGATTATTTAACCGGCATCCAGTAAGATTTTGGGAAATTAATTTTAAGCGGTCTAAACCATACCTTGTCTACTATGTTTAGACTGCAGACTACGGAATTGACATGGGAGAAACCCTCTACTCCAAAACTATTCAGCCAGTTTGGTCTCTGAGCGCTATGGGGAACGTGAAGTCTATTTATCCATGTCGCGGCCTTGTCAAGACCTTGTCACCGCGTGGACCTGGGTACTCTGTAAGAGAGAAGTTTTGTTTTTCTTATACAGTACGATGTACTTTCCTTCACTTTATCCAGTCACACTCCTTCACTACATTTTGTGTGCTCTCACATTTTCTTACACTGTTTCATTTCTATCGTCATTCCTTGCATTCCTTCCTTTAAATGCTTTTCTCAGATATATCAAACCCCATTGTGTGTTGAGATTGCTCACATATAGGAGCTCGGTTGGTGTATTGTTAATTGCTTACAACGTCCTCCCCATCTCATCCGAAGAATCTCACTCGATATCAGGTCCACCCCTCTTATGATGCCTGTCCCGATCATAACAATTTGCGATATTCACTGTCACTCACTGAATCAATCGTGATTTGCTGACTCGGCTTTTCACCTTTGGCTTTGTTTACATTGACTAAAAGCTCATTTTTCCACAACCACCACGATACATTACGAACACCACCAACGTACTTGCGAATCGAATTCACTTCAACGGTATCTATTCAAGAGCTTGCAGTACTACTCTTCAATCAAGGAAATCGAGACATTTGCGAGAATTCGAAGCTTGGCTCAATTGAGCTCTCCGAGCCACGACATACGGATCTGGTTTCCAGAATCATATCAATTACATAGGAAGCTTGGATAATCTTTACAATGTCAGTAGTTCTGGGAATGAGTTCTATGGGAGAGAGCATCAGCAATGATGAATCGACATCACCGTCCAACGCGCTCAATCGCCGCGTTCGTCCGCCACCAATAAATACAAGTAACTCAGAGGAAGGCAGAGTTCCTCTGGGTGGTCGAAAAGTTCAACGCAAGGAGTCGAAAGGTGGTCTTCGAGGAATTTTCACCCGCAATAAATCTGAAAAGAATGTTGTATCGTCAGTGTGTGAAGAACACAAGCCAGCTCCATTGGTCACATCACCAACGCCACTTTCACCAAAGCTAATGAGTCCAATAACAAGCCCGGTGGGAGATGGGTTCTTTCGGAAGTTTGGTACGGGCAATGCAGCTGAATCATCGTCTCCAACTACACCAGCAACACCAGGGAGAGCCACTAGGACCCCATCTCGTTTGAATCTTAGAGCCAAATCGATCATGGACGGCAAAACTGCCGCCAAACCTGCATCAAAACCCACCCCAAAAACCTCGGTATTTGATCCGCCGCCATTATTTCAAAGTTATCCTCAATCTGTAAAGCATGCTCGTCTTTCCGCTTTGACTTTATCAGCCGATGCCATTATCCGCATGTCTAATCACAAAAGGAATACCAGCCTACGAGACGAAATAGCACAAACAACCGAAATTGGGCCGGATGGGAAGAATATAACAATCAAACACAAAAGGCAAAGGTCGGGTTCAATATCCAAAGGTGAATGGACTCAAAAGATTTTCGTTTTGGTAACTTCAGGTTATCTTCTACAATATCCCGGCGAAGGAAATTTCGATCGATTGCCAGAAAAGATGATTCAATTGGGCAAGGAGTCTGTAGCTTTTGCGTCAGACGTTATTCCTGGTAAACATTGGGTATTACAAGTATCTCAATCAATGAGTGCAGATGGAGTTCCAACATCAGATTCTAGGTCTTTATTATCAAGACTTGCATTCAGAAGTGCAGATTACCGGAGAAATGCTACTAGTCTTCTGCTTGTCTTGGATAGCGCCGAAGAAATGGATGCTTGGATTGCTGTACTGAGGAAAGAAATTGAAACACTTGGAGGCAAAAAGCAGATTACGGAAATTGGAACTATGAAGACAGAAGAGAACCCACCAGAATTGAAGAGTCAACCAAGTCATCGATATCTTGGCCAAAGAAGAGGCTCGGACCAAATCTCTATTCCATGCTCACCACATCGAGCTTCTAGTGATCGTCGTCCCTCGTGGCAGCAACCAGAAGGGCAAAATATAGAATTGGCTTTACCATGGTCAACTCCCCGTGAACGTCGTCCTTCTTGGCAGCCAGAAGAACAGAATATCGAGGAGATATCCTTACCTGAGCCCCTTCCACGCTGGTCACTACACGAAGCCCAAAGTGAAGCAGCTAACAGACCAATGACAGGATGCGCATCAGTTACAAATAGTTCCAGTTCATATGAACAAAATTCGGAGGGTTTACGGGATAGTTTTAATAGATTATCATATTGCTCATCCGATCAACGAACTTACATTTCGTCTCCAGCAACTTCGCCAACTAGGGATAGTACCTCTACCATGGAAGATTTGCCTCCTTTGTCTCTGGACGCAGTACGAGCAAGGCCGAATGCTGCAGATATCGTTGAACGTAGAAGATCATTACAAACACTTCAAGGGGTACGGGATACTGTATCTCAAGTATCATCTCACCTTCAAAGTCCCCAACAAACCTTGCGACAATCAAGTTACGGTGTAACTTCCCGAACTATGAGAAGCCCGTCGCCTGCAACACCAAATTTTAGCGTACCTGTCTCTTCAACTAAGAGATTTTCAACTAGGACTCCGGCTGCGGAAAGAAGACCATCGCTTCCTGCAATGAATCTAACCATGGAGACTCAGAAGAGAAACAAAAAGGGACCTCCAACGGCACTTTCTGTGGCTAGACCGTTATCTCCTGTTATGGATACAACATCACCGAAACGAGTTCCAATACCTGTTACCTCTGCAGAAAATTCACAGCGGCCTTTTCAACGAACTAGATCATCGACAGTGGATACCAAATTACGCTCTCCAGCACGGTCTCCAATTGGAAAGCGATCAAGCAAAGAATTAAGGTCCGCTCGACGTGTCTCTAGTTTTACGCCATCAAATAATACATTAGACGTTCGCGACCCAGATTTACGACGTCACTCAAGTATGCAGACAGTTCGTCAGACCACACCACCTATCGAATCTAATGGATCATGTGTATTCAAATTTCCCGAACCACTTTCACCAAAGGTTACTCGAGATAAAGATTCGTTACCAACCCTTCAAGAATCTCTATTTCCGGCTCAGTCATTACCAACACTTCCAGAAATACCTATCAAGCAAAGTTTACAGCGTCGTCCAAGAAGTATGCTTGCTTCCTCGGGATATCAGCCACCAATCGCTGAAGAACCATCAAATCCTCCACGTCGCAAGCGACATTCTTCATCTTTCGCTCCTACAACCCTCTCTTCCCCTCTTAATCACAAATCAGGTTATTCCTCTGGTTTGGTTTCGCCGGGAGGTGGATCCAGAAGACCTATCTCAAATAGACGAAGCTTGCCAGCTCTTATGCATGGTGCTCCCCCAGCTCCCCCTCCAGATTGTGCTTTACCTCCTCTGCCTCCTGGAAGTGCTATAAGTACTATCGGAAGAACTAGGGGTACCTCTTTTGTGAATTCGAGAAGGGAAATTGGAGTGAAGGTTTAAACCCTCACTCTTCTAAGGAATTCTCAATCAAAAATGAGATGGACAAAGAATTTTCATTCTTATTACGGCGTTCATGATACCAATTTCCTTATTTCCTACATTATACATTCATTTTTTTTCCTTCCTTCAAACAATTTCTTTTCTTCTTTCATTCTTTCTCCATTGTATTCTATTTCAAACATAATGTTCACCTTCACGAAACAAACACGACGCAGCACGGCAGGCGGTTTTTGCGTCTATTCTTTTCTTGACAACCATTACATGCATTCATGATTTAATATTTAGAAAAGACTTTCACATACGAAACGAAGGCGAGGATTTGGACGCTATGTACTTTTATGTATTTTAGGCTTGGATGGGCAGTTATGGGATTGATATTCCATTTTAATCTTGATGGTTAAAATGGATATACAAAAGTGTTGAACAAAGAGAGTGCTGTGGGGCGAGATAGTTCAATGGGTATGGCGATGAGGGCTGAGAATTGAATTAGTGGGAGAGGCTTAGGGAATTTCGGTCATGTATTATGAATTGAGATGAGATGAAATAGGATATAATAAGATATCAAAATTTACTCAAAACTGGGGGCTTCGCCTTGTGATTCTCGGTGATGGTTATGACATGCATGCTGATTTTATCATCAATCTCATATATATTAGTATAGTATAGTAGCCCTCATAATTGGCCAAAACATGATTATAGTGTTCTTTCGATAATCGATATTCGAGACTCTCTCCTTCTCTCCCTTGAAAATTGCGGAGATTTGAAAACTGCCGAGTTAAGTGGTGGCTGCTGCGGGAGGAAATTACATGGGCTTGTTCGGGATATGTATGTGCCTATGTTGGTTGCACAAACGGGGGTCTTGGCTATGTATGTATGTATGTATGTATGGGATGGGATTTTTGATGTTGGTTTGTGTCTATTAATATGTTCGGGATATTCTTAGAGGCGTACTGTTGGCTGAGGTTTGCGATGGTGCAATGTTAATATAAAATGCCGGGAAAGGGAGAGGGATGCTCAAGCTAGTTTGAGGGTTGATTGGTTGGTTGGTGGGTTTATCCGGAATTGGAATTGTGAGTCCGGTAGCTGTAGATTGGTTGGAAAGGACGGCTGTCTGTCTACGAGGATGTTTGGACTTGGAAATGGATGATTAGTAGGATGTTTGTATGTATGCATGTGTGATTAGTAGGATGTTTGTATGTATGTATGTGTGATTATTTGTGATAGTCTCCGTGCCGGTAGTGATGAGTCGAGTCTTATCTCACGGCCGTCCAATCGTCGATTATGAATTTAAAGCCCAGCAGACGGGAAGTGGAGAAGTTTCGATACTTGGAGATTTCGAGCCATTTGTGTCTTTTTTAGAGGAAATAAAGAGGCTCGTAGAAGGGAGTGAACTAATACCCATTGCCTGACGCGACGACATCTATTCCAACTAAGATCCTTTGCTTGAACCCAAGCGCCTTCATGTCTCCTATTTTCATCATTGTAGATAGATCTCCTGGTGTGTTTGAATTATCTTGCGTGTCTTACTTATCGTTACTGTATCGCGAAATTTAGATTTCTGACGAGCTGGTGATATTGCTAAGTTCTGGGAACGTTTCAACCTGAAAATGCCATGAGCTGCGAATTAATTGGATGCATTGGGGTTTCGCTTTCATTTCTAGAATTTGATCTCAAGTTCGCAATGTCGTTAATCTAGTTTCAACTTTCTCACGTCTTCCAATATGGATACCACTGTTTCCCAACGACATCACCTAAAGGAGTTTGTCGGTTCTTAATCTCAATCTCTTATTATAAAGGGTTCTCTGTAAAGTCGCGGCTCGATAGATCGTTCCTAGTTCAAAGAGTCAAATCTTTTGTTGTATTCTATATGTAGCCTCATTTACTCAACATATCACTTCTAGATAGGTGCCTAGACTCTGTACGGAGTAGTGGAAGCAACCTGCTCTTCGGAATAGCAAGCCAGCCATAGCCCCACTAATAGTGCCCGGCTCGGTTCGGAATACACCCTGTCTCTAGACTCCACCACCAATCACCCGCACTCCTCACTCTTCTCTTCTACATCTCTAGTCATGTGAATATATGTTATTAAAGGGCACCCTCCTCCATCAAATAACCACAATCGGTCGCTTAGCTCAGTTGGTTAGAGCGTGGTGCTAATAGGTCCTGATCAGTTCAAGGATCCTGAAACGCCAAGGTCGCGAGTTCGACCCTCGTAGTGATCAATTAATCTTTTTGTCATCTTTTTGTCATTCTTTTGTCATTCTTTTGCATCAAAAATCATCAAAAATAGTCAAGAAATGATGGAGATATGATGTTTTGAAGTTGTGGTGGTGTGGGTGGCGAAAATTTTGCATGGGGGCAAAGCGAGTGAAGGAAGGGGGCGCTGCTTTTATTGGGAGGGAATTTATAATTTCTTTTGCGAGTATAGGTAATGGATAGATAGATGATTGGGTAAGTTAGAATTGAAAGAAAACTTCGAGCATAGAGATTGTGTGGGATTATGGGATGATGTCAACGGTGCGGAGGACGACTTCAGACGACCCTCAACGTTAGACTTGTTATTTTCTTATGCTATGGCTTGTATAAGTGGCAAGACGACTGCTCTTCGTACGGAAGCACTGGTTTGGATGGGAGAGATAAGATAAGAAGAATACAACTGTTTGGGAGTGAGTGGGTTTGTTCTCACTTCACAAACGGATACAAGAGGAACGTCTGCTGGATAGGTAGGTATATTTGAAGATATTTATTTACTTCGCCCTCTGTTGATCTATGCAAAATCAGAAAGAGCTCAAGAGTATTTTCTACTTTGATAAAGTGCAGTATTTGATGTCTCTTTCTTTGACCGCGAGCTTTTTGAAATCCAACAACACGGGGGGGAGCTTCTGGGGCTATAGTTCGCTTCTACGGGCTAAGAATTGAGATATTAGATGGATTATATTTGATTTCGTCCATTGGGTGCTTTTTGTTATGCTAAACTGACAAGTGTCGGGCTGAAGAGGTCCATGAGCGGTGGTCGTTGAGGAATATTTACAGCACATACGAATCTTGCTGGAGGTCTCAAGTAGGCATTATCAAACCTGATACTGAGATTTCATCATGCTCAAACCTCAAATTCCAATTTCATACTTCACGCTTAAAACAGTAGCTATTAAGGTTCTCGATTTATGTTTAGTAATGCTATGCAACAACTGGCTGGAAACTTTTTTTTTTTTTTTTGAGAAAATCCAAATGTCTCTTCTACATCCTCACAATATCCACAAAATCGATACTGTTTTACGGATGCTCTTCCTTCTGATATATCTCAAATCATTTTCTACGCAGATATTATATTATCGCGGGAAAGAGTCTACGGCTGTGTATACTTTTGAATTGATTAATTATGCCGAAAGAGGCGACTCAAACCTATTAGACATACTAAATTGACAAGATTTGCTGTAAGTTTGGCACAACTTTTTAACCTCTTCCTTTGCCTAAAAAGTCATCACTGATGGCAAATCTTTTGTGGTACAAAATATTTCCCCGCAATTCCGAGACAAATCCATCAAGACAGGTCTCACTATTGTCCATACGGTTACAGTCGGTCATAAATTGTTATCACGACAAGCGTGCTAACGTCTTAATGCTCTTTTATCCTCTTTATGCTACATATCTTACCGATCACAATGTAACCCCCAGACAAGGTGCGCTACATTTTGTTAATCCTAAAGAAAATTCTTTTGCATTCAAAGCTGCGTACTGCGACGTATCAAGAATAGATCATTAGCTGATCAACCTCACGTCCTGACTGTGCACATGAAGTACGTCATGCTACCTAAATTATCAGTCTGGAATCTTGCAGAATCCTACAGACTTTGAAAGATACGAAAGAGCGTCCGCTAAGAACAGTTGCATCGTTTGAGAAAGTCTTGGGTAGTTTAAGAGGGGTGGAATATTGAGACGTTTGGATACGACAGCGAAAATCTGGGCTTTGGAGGAATTGCTCTGCTACATCTAGATAGATGGGGGGCGTCAGTATGGCGACAGCTTATCGTTCATTACGTTGCACACAGCTTCCCAAAGTCGGTACCCCCACTGTATCACTGCATGACTGTAGTCCGTCCCACCGCTGTCAATCACACGATACAGACATTTTCGACTTATGTTTGACAATAAACTAAGGCTCCTACTGTGTCCAGTCTGCGACATGACGCTCTCCACACGCGAAATTGGTCAGGGTCATCTTTTGGCCTAAGCACAACCTGAACAGTTACTTGTGATAGTCTTTGATCTGTCTTTCTGCGATGACTATATCCGTTCTTTCTATGGGCAAATGAATTTGAAAATACGAGAATGAGGCGCAATTGGGCGTCTGTCTATGAGAGTCAAGATTTTAAATGGGTGTTTTCAGCTTCATTTTACCCCGCGGTAATGAAATGTTTACAAATTTGTAGCAAACGCGCATATAGTCCAAGCACAACAATCTGATACTGCGATTGACACCTATCACAGGTCTTAGACGACCCCACTCATTCAAGATGATTCAAATGAAATTTCCAGCTACGCCTCTTTAAATACCCCGCACCCATGTAACATCGCTAAGGGCTGGATATCAAATCACCCCTCTGCCAAGGACCATAATCTAGGTGGATTGATATTATCGATGGAATTTGCCTGTGATTCTGAGCTGAATTCATTGATGTGATATGGCATCATGATTGGGTGATTTTGCACAAAAGTGCATGAAAGTGTTTTCATAACGTACTTGACTATGCCAGAAAACCTTTTGGGCATGCCGTCCTTCTTTTGGTTGCAGCAACATGCGATACATCATGACACTACTGTCAAGCCATTCCAATGAAGAATCTATTGATGTATCACTCAATAGTTTGCATCTTTCACGATGGCAACCATTAGCCATATCACAGCCAGCCACCGAAGCACAGAAAGTGAAGGACCCCGCACTACCATAGCCGTCAAAGGTCAAGGGGGTGAATATTTAAGTCGAGCATATCCAGACCAAGATCCGATTTATATTCCTCACTACTCATCTATTTCTCACCGCAACAATCATTACCCAAATCAAGTTTTTCTAGCAACTCACACATATCATTGTTCAATATGGTTTTCAACGGCGTCGGTACCTACGAGATTGTGCCATACCAGGCTCCAACTCTCAACCTCAATGCTTGGGATGGCTTGCTCACACCTGGAGCGGTTGTCAGAACATAGTAAGTTTATATGAAAACCATCCCGACACATTGCAGATGACGATAACTAATACTATGGAAATTGCAGCGCTCGGGGCGACACACCAAGTGATAATGCCAAGTGGCAGGTAGCACTCGTTGCTGGCTCTGGGGATAGCGCTGAGTATTTGATCATCAATGTTCGCAGCGGTTTCTTCCTCACCGCTACCGGTAAGCGTTATACCGATAATCTTCAGGGATGAATTCACATGCTGATCCGATAATGATAGGCGACAACAAGATCGCCTCCACTCCTCAAATCTCCCCAACTGATCAGTCTGCCCGCTGGACCATCAAGGCCTCAACAACCAATGGCTACCAAGTCTTCACGTGAGTATAATCCCAATCACCCTGAGCAAGTCAATAGTCTAGGTAGCTGACATCGAATTCACAGTATCAACAGCAAGATTTCCAGCCGTGGCCAACTCTCTGTGAAAGACTTTAGTACCCAAAGTGGAGCCGATATTCTCTCCGCAACTTCAAAGAATGGGGATAACCAGAAATGGTATTTTGATGCTAAGTAAATGGCAAGGGGATTATCTGCCAGTAGGTAGCCTGATTTCGAATGGAGGGAATTCAATACACTCATTTTTGGTATCTGTATACAGATCTAGGTAGCAAATGAAAATACAATAGTCTTTTCTTGTGGAATATGAAGATGATTACTTTTCCTGATGATTTGAACATGGAGATGATTCTACGACTATCATTACATTTTCTTCTTGCGCTGTTCAGTAAAAGCGTCAAGCCCATAGCAACTGAAATGATACGTAGAAAGTTGATGCCTGTATAATGAATAATGGGTCGACATATTGTTCAAAGTATAATATAAAAAGCCCGTCTACTGATATACATATGCCCTGGGTTTGATCATTCGAGTTCGAATACTAGTATCATGCCCAAATAGACAAGAAACGAAATCATCATTATTGTTTGCTTGCATATTTAAGACTATCAATATAATAGGGAAAATAAAGAGAGGTTAACTTTGATACTTGAATCATAACCGGATATTGCCTTACGATTTGAAAGGTACTTAATCGTCTTCAACTTCGTCATTTCTATCACCGCCATCATTCCCACCATCATCATTTTCACCTTCATCATCATTCCCACCACTATCATTCACATCATCATCATTCCCACCTTCTTCATTTCCATCTTGGTCATCTCCTCCTTGGTCATCCTCTCCTTGGCCATCCTCTGCTTGATCATCTCCCCCCTGATCTTTTTCAACTTGGTCGTCCCCTTGGTCTTTCGTATCATCTTCTCTCTCGTCTCCCGCTTCAGTATTACCAGTATCATTTCCTTCTTGATCTCTCTCTGGTTCATTTCCGTCTGCGTTATTCTCTTCTTTATCATTCTCGTTTGCTTCATTCCCGTCTTGATTGTTTTCACTTCCATCGTCACCCTGGTTGCCCTCTTCTTGGTTCTCTCGAGTATCTTCACTCTCATTTCCTCCTTCGCTTCCTTCATGATCATATTCATCGTCACCCCCTTAGCCCTGTTCATCAGCTGCCCCTTCATTTTCATTTTCGCTATTCTCTCCTTCATCTTTTTGATCGCTTTAATTCCCTCCTTTCGAATTATTCGCCACATTACTGTCCTCTGTTTGATCTTGTTCATCTGCATCATATGTCTCTGGAATCCATTCTCCTAGATCATCTCCTTCTGAATCGCTATCTTTTGAAGCGTTTCCTTTTGGATCGTTTTCTTTTGGATTACTCCCCTTTGTGTTGTTTTCCCTTTGGCTGTCTCCTCTCGAATTGTTTCTCTCTGGATCATCTCTTTCTGAGTCATTCCCTTGCTCGGTTGTACCCATTGGATCTTCTTTTTCCTTGTTTTGCTCGCCCGAGTCTTCTTCTTGAGTATCATGATCCCCTTTTTCATCTCCTTTGCCGTCATCTTCTTCACCACTTCCCTAGTTGTCTCCATCTACTTAATCGATTTCGCCATTCTTCCCTTCAGTAACTTCTTCTTGACTTTGGTTATCATCCTCCTCTTGATCACTCTCCTGTCCAGTACCTGCTTGTTGGTTATCTTGATCACTTCCCTCCACATCGTTGTTATCTCCTGCATCTACTTCTTGAGTACCACTTTCCTCTTTGTCATCTTGGTCGACTACTTCGTTTCTGAGTCGTTCTCTTCACCATCTCTATCACTTCCATCACCCCCGCTTTCTAACTTGCCTTCTTCTCTTTCGCTTTTATCGCCATCGTCCACCTCTTACTTCTCCTGATTGTCATTAGCATCGGAATCCCCTTCTCTGATTTCTTGATCAGCATCTCCACTCGCCTCGTCTTTTTCATTGTTTCCGCTATCCGAACCATTTTCAACTTTGCTCGCCACCCCTATTCCATCCCTAACATCCCCACCATCATCATTGTCCTCTTCGTTCTGACCGTTCCCACTTTTTGAGTCATCAGCCTTCCCAATTACCCCCATATCTCCGCTATCCGAATTGTTCTGATCTTCATCCTTCATCTTCAGCTTCCTGATTTTTTCCCTCGTTCTCTTCTTCATTATTATCATCATTTTCTCCACCATCGTCCTCGCTTTTAAGATCTTCCTCAGAAGCCTCGTTCTTAGAAATCTCATCTCCCTCCTGACTATCTTTGCTGTTTGCGTCATCTTGATCCACAACGGCATTCGCTCCACTCCCACCCTCATCCTGACTTTTCTCATTGTCCCCATTATCCGAACCCACCTGAGCCTCACTTCCTTCCGCCTCTTCCTCATCCTGACTTTTCCCATTTTCCCCATCAGAGCCTACCTGAACTTCACTTCCTCCCTCCTCTCCCTCCTCTCCCTCCTCATTACTCCTTGTTCCCTCTTCTTCCTGATTATTCTCATCGCCCTCTTCTGCCTCGTTTTCCGGGTCATGCTTGGCCCCATCTTCAGAAGTATTATCTCCATCGATTTCACTGCCCTCCTTCCCATCGTTTTCCTCCTCCCCACCTTCCCTTCCCACGTTTCACCAGTTTCGCTTTTGCTTTCTGGATTATCCAGCTCCTCACTCTTCTCAGGCTCATCGTTGAAATTCTCAAAAGTATCATTGTTGATCAATGTATCAACCTTTTTATCACTTTGACCACTCCCTCCGCCTCTATTACTAGCATCAGGCCCAACTTGAATTGATCTGCCCTGCTTGTCGTCACCCTCCAAAGCCAGCACATGCCTAGATCCTGATTTCCCAGTTTTCATTTTAGCGAGAAATCCTTGGGTGTTCTGTCCAGTTGCAACGAAGGCTGAGTAATATCTGGTATTTTGGCAACAAGTTCTTGTGCAGTTGTGAAAAACTCTGGGTCTAAGATAGCATCTGTGATCAATTGAGACCCCAAAGCAACTAAAGGTCCAATCATCAGAATACGGCTGAGACCCACAGCCACAATACCCATGAGGCACTTGACAATCCAATCTTTGTCGTACCCATTTCCTTGGTAAGTAACACTGATGCCGTATTGGCTAATGATCAACCTGTCAAGTTGAACGAGACCTGCTTGATTCATCTATCGAATGTTGGTTGGTTGTTTTGCAGCCACGGATCTGGAATCAAAAAGGGCGATGAATTGATAAGGGTTTTGAAACTCCTCTTTTCGTAATCGAGCTGGGATTGCAAGCATACTTGCAAGAGATCTGACATCAAACCGGGCCGTGTATTGAGGCAGGAATCTCCACCCTAAGGTATCATCTCGTTGCAAAACTTTGCTACCTACCACTTCAAAGTCATCACCGAAGATTCCTTGTTCTCTCCTTTTCTCGGCGCCAAAGACACCGGGTTCCTTTGTAATTGGCAGCTTTGTTATCGGATTTCTATGCTCCATTCGGTGTGCCAATTTCGTCAACTCCGATTTCAGCGTGTGACCTTCTCTTTCTCTCATTTTCTGGCCAACACTACCTCTATTAAGAGTATCGATCTGTTTGGCGTAGTCCTTTTCGCGGTTAAGAAGATTGTAATTCCCTCTAATAAGTTCTTCCTCGTCGAGCTTGATATATCTGTAGATCTTTAGGGTTGGACTATAAAGATGCATTGCTACCCGAGTGTACGTGCACAGACCAGGGTATCTTTTATGCGCTTCTTGACATAGCGGGATATAGATACATCTCAGTGGATAAGACAAATCTACCCAGAGAAACTGTTCGTCGAGCGTAGGAATGAGGCATGGCCAAAGCCCAACCTCATTCTTTCCGCTCTGATCACTAATTTGAAAGTAAGCATCGGTACCCCCGACAGAATCTTGTCGTTTGGTACCCATGCAAGTGCTGCCGGCCACTACAAAATTGGGGGGTTAGTTATCCTATTGACGACAAATTATGGGGAGAAGTAAGGACTTGAAATCTGTGTTGAAGAGCAAGAATAGTGAAGGTGGAATCGGGGAACAGAATCATGCAGTAGAAGGATAAAAAAGAGTGAAACATTTGCACTCACTAGCGTTCATATATCTGTAACGGACATAAGTCTTTCGTACAGGTTTACTGAGAATCTGCTTTCCTAAGCGGTTGATGTCGCGACAAGGAATATCAGGGGCACCGAAGCCTTCATCGACATAAGAGTTGGAAACTATCTCGAGTAGAATATGACTATAGAACTGTTTGGCATCATCTGGGTCAAAGCCCCAGCATTTTAAAGCTGCTCGAGGGAACCAAGCAATACCTTCAGAGTTTGCTCCTGCCATATTGCTATTTCTTGAGGTAGAATTTGCTAAATTGAAGGGGAATCTGTAGGCAAGAGGCTTAATGCTAAGGAGAGTAATGAGGATAAGGAAGTGAAATGGCCGGAGGTAGCTTGGATTGCGATTGAATTGCTCAGTTGAATTGGGAAGCTGATATGTGCTATGTTCTCTTTGTAGAAACGCAAATAATTAAATAATTAAAACAATTATGGGAAATTTTGAGAAAGCAATAGAGCCCAAATGACTCGTCGATTAGCCAATATCTCTTTGGTAAAGTAGGAGGGCAGGACTACATATATTTCAAGAGTAATTGTTACCAGCCAAAACCTGCTAAGCGCAAATTATTCATTGTATCAAATATCGCCATTCAAACATCTCACGCTTCCCAAAATTGCAACTAACAATTACTTACATGTTCAATTAGATGTGTCAATATCCCACTGGCTTGTAACATGCCTGAATTCTACGACTGTGTTCATATCTTGTACTACTAGCCGAAAGATCTCCCATTTCATTGCCAGGAATGTATCTGCAAATGCAATAAATCTGCTGTGTTCTTCAAACTCAGTCTCAACTTTCACTACAAAGAAAAGATTATCAGCCAGCCATTTCCAGAATTTATGGATATTGAAACCAACCGATAACCAAGTGTGACTCATTGTAAACCGCAGCAGACCAGAAAAGCAACCGTTCTACCAGTAATTCGCTCCTAGCTTGACAACAAATAGTAGAAAAATCTTGTTTTTCTCCACCGTTGTGTTATATAGTGTAGCAAGTAGGGTTTCAAACTCAAATATTGGGTGGAAATGGCCTAAGCTGGCCATGGGAAGTACTCAAACCCAACATAAGTGGTAATACATGTAGAAGTACTTCTCAGCATGCACGTGGAGCTACTTGTCCTTATAAAACAAGTAACGAGGAGGTTGAATTAACAAAACAATGACTGAATAGTCATATAGCAACCAATCAGGGAGATGCACGCTTGATCAGTGAGTGAGTTCAGCAAGCAGATCTGCTTGCGGTGGCTGTTTTTCGACTGCTTTGAACATATCTCATATTGTAAGGTAGCCATACCCCGCACGCTGTGTCTTGGTGGTATGTTTGTACTTTGTTACATACCGAAATACCCCATTGTCTTAACGGGTATAACCATTCAGGCGAAGAAGTGAAGGAGGTTTCGGATCAGATCTCGTCATGATTTGAAGCACAAGAGCCAAGTGCCCGGTCTTTGGGTTACTGTCATGTTAGGACCTGTTTTGACGAGGCAATCCCAATCTTGACACCTGACAATTCAATGCGATGTTCGAATGCTCTCCCGTTCTTGTAAAGGAAGTTATTGAAGTGAGGAAATGTTTGAAATGTTGGTAGCATCTCATCTTTCATGCAAAGAACGTGCTTGGTGGTTCTTCAGGAGGAGCCTCGTACGGATAGTACTGGCTTATTGCGCACTTGATTGAGAGCGTTTAAGTGTTGAGATCAAAATCATATAGTTATAACATTAGAACGATTGTGATTGATCAACTGATTTTGCACAGCTAACATTAGTCAGATCCCTTGGTCATTCATTCCAGACTCCAACCTGGCTATCTGCATGTTTTAAGTGGGACATTAGACATCACCACTAGCCACACACGTGCCACGCGAAGAAATTTCTTACATTTTGCCGACAACGTCATGAATTTCAAAATTCCAATCAACAGCCATCAGCGTTGTCTTTGTCTTTTGTTGCAGTAATATGACTTCCGTGTCGAATTGTCACACACAGCAACTGAATTTGGCATTAGGTTAAATCCCTCGTGCACTTCCAGTCTCTTACAGGACTATATCGACTAGATCAGGATCCATTCTCTTCCTTTAATCCGCACATGTGTAACAAGCACGCCGCCCTTCCGATGACTGAAAGGCGTCGATACTGTTGATAGCGAATCAATTGCCTGTCTCGGCCTCTACGCTAGTTGACCAGGACTCCACTGCGTATCAGACACTCTACTTTGTGGGCCCCAACCCGCAAACCATGGCCCGGTACTTGTAAACGGTCAATTGATCTCTAGGGTTACTTCACTGAATCCACTCTTATCTATCTAGTCAGGGCGGGACAGACCACGCTACTCTGGTTGAAGAAGCTATTATCATATATAGGTCTATATCACTTTTCGAACCTCGGCTCGCTCCGAAGCAAATTTTTTTCTCACCCGACTCAATTTCGGGCTTGCGCTGGAAGTGGAAACATAGCACGGACTGCCCCCTCAATATGGCCAGTTCCGATCTTTGACGATTGCCAAAAAATGGTTCGTCTGAGAAGGAATCGAATCAAAATAATTCCCAGATTGATGGAATCGTCAAGTGACGACCGTCTTGGCAAATGCTTGAAGAGCTTTCCGTCTTTCCGTAGACGCCCCAAAGCTTGTGTTGACGACCCTACATACAATAAGCAAGAGTTGCGAATGAAAATTGTGCTATTCGTATTGCAATTTCCAGGTGATGCGTTTGATCTCAACCACCTTCCTCTTTTATCGAGGTTCTCCAATTTTGATATGTCTTTAGTACAATTTCATATCAAACTATATCTGATAGGATCAATGTGGAGGGTTAACGGTTCCATCGGGTCAGAGATACGTAATGTGGATTGTTGATCTTGACTTTATCCAGTGATGCTGCTTCCTCTGCTTCAATACTTAAGGTTTCTGGTGGGGCGTCTATACGCGTCTCCACCATCCTTTAACGACTTCCATATCAAGGACCTCGGATTACACGGGTAACCATGCTGAAGCCATGTGATGAATCCACCGGAGAAAATTGACAATCCTTCATATATCTCTTTGATTCCCAAAGTGTTTCGACGTGGTACCTTTAGTCAGTCTCCTACAGATTTCAATCATGGCCAACAATTTAGGAAATCTTGCCCTCGATGGCGGCGATCCTCGCATCGACGGCGTAGGCGAGGTGAACGTACCAACGTCTGTTCGTCGCAACTTGCACGATCCTAATGTCCCCTTTGAGGAATACTTGTACTATGCAAAAATTCAGCGGGAACAGGAGAAGAATGGACTTGGTCCAGAGGAACGGGAGCGAATGTACCAGGAGTATCTTGCCGGAGTAGACCATGTTGCCGGAAAGGAAATCGGTAACGAGAAACATGCCCTTCCAGAAATTCAGGATGAGAAGACCGAACCTCAGCCAGTCGACGAATCAAAACCTAGTTCCATTACGAAAGCCTCTCATCCTTCGCTCGTTGGAGCTGGTGAATGGGAAACCGCATCCCGAGCAGCAAGAAACGCTACGTGGGGAGCTGTGTAAGTTATGCTCTTCGGTGAAGCTACGATATATCTGACGGTCAAACAGTGTATACCTTATTACCACCGATATTTTGGGGCCATCAAACGCACCATACGCTGTTTCACAATTCGGATATGTTGGAGGTGTGATGATGTATTTCTTCATGGGCATCATGGCTTTCTTCGCTGGATGGCAAATCTGGCGCATGTTTTTGAAGCTCGACAGTGACAGGTATCCAATGAGGACATTTGGTGACTTAGGATTCAGAATGTAAGGACACCACGTCCATCACAAACTTCACGGGTACACATCTAACTTTAATAGTTTCGGAACTTATTCTCGCCATGGTATCAATCTCCTGCAAAGTATCCAACTTCTATTCAATGTTGGTGTTATTGTCATCTCTAACGGTCAAGCACTGTCGGAAATGTCCAAATACAAGCTCTGCTTTTCCATCTGCATCTTGGTCTGGGCACTCGCTGGTATGATCTTGGGTCAAATCCGTTCTCTGCAGAAGTTTGGATATCTTGCCAATTTCGCCATTTGGTTGAACATTCTTGTCATTTTCATGACCATGGGCGTGGCAGCACACAGTCCTCCAAATTATGACGCCGTGTTAGCATCTTTTGGTATCGCGAAAGCTCCTATCAAGCATACTGTTTGGATTCCTTCCGGCTCAACTTTCGATTCGCAATTGAGCTCTGCTATGCAAATCGTTTATGCTTACGGTGGCGCAATGTTGTACTGTGAATTCATGGCTGAAATGAAACGACCACTCGATTTTATTAAGGCGCAATTCCTCGCCGAGATATTCATCTTCGTTTGCTACCTCGTCTTCGGTCTCGTCGTTTACTCGCAGCAAGGTCAATTCACCTACAACCCAGCCAATCAAGGGCTCTCACCTTACTCGTGGCAAACCGTCACTAATGCAATCAACCTGGTTTCCGGTCTCATCGCTGCTGTTCTATACGGTAACATCGGTATCAAGGTCATCTATCAAAATATTGTTGAGGATCTCTTCGGTGGCCCAGAACTCACCACCAAGAAAGGAAAACTCATTTGGATTGCCATCGTACCTTTGTACTGGGCATTTGCATTTGTTCTCGGATCCGCAGTCCCTCAATTCACCAACATCTCTTCGCTCGTTGCTGCCGTCTGTATCATGCAATTTACATATACCTTCCCCACACTTCTCTACTTTGGTATGACCATCAAAGAAGATGCCATGCATCCAGATGAAAAATTCGACCCTGCTACCGGAACCATAAACAGAGTCGATACCTGGAAAGATATGAGCAGATGGAAGAGAGGTCTTGTTCCAAGATGGTGGTTGAAGGTCTTTTGCTTCTTGTTCTTCTTGGCAAGCGCTGCTACTGCTATTTTGGGTATGTATACCAGTATCAAAAGTATCATTGCCAATTTCAAATTGGGTCATGCAACTAGTTTTGGATGTACTAGTCCGGTCGGGTATGCTTAGATGATGGGGAATTGGGGACCAGGGACTGGGGAATCATGGGTATATCGGATGATGATAATGATGGGGTAATGACGGAGAATGATGACATGAATAATCCACTGAAGTGGAGATATTAAATGAGAATAAATGTATATGTTCCACTCAGTAAGAATGCATTTTAACGTGGTTGTGCCAAGTTTTTTGATGCTTAAACAAATATTTCATCTGTGCTACCGCTGTTAACAAGAGTGACTGGAGATCATTTGACGCCGCATCGAACCCGCCCCTTCATCGAATTGTATACGTGAGTCGAGATTTATGACAGATCGATGTCCACTCTGCTTAACGATTTCTGATTGAAAACATCGTAGTGAACACTCAACGTTTAATTTCAGCCTTTATTGAAGTATTGCATTTCTCTCATCGTATTCCTGATAACTGATTCTCATGTCTCTTCAGGTCCTGATGCTGTCATGATGCCATGGCCTTAGAACTGCTAATGCTACCAATACTTGATGCTCCCAATAATGTCAAAAATGTTATTCCCGTTATGTTCGTCCTGCCTAATATATTTACCAGTTCCATTCTACTAAGTCAAGGTATATATAATTTCAACTGTCAGATATTCAAAGTATTCACAGATCCACTTTCTCTTCTGTGGTATTAATGTTGTCCACGGCATTGGCTTGAGCTTTGAGATCACATTCAACCATTGCCCGGATTAGCTCAGTTGTAATTCCAACACCCTTCCGTATAGACTCGGGATCCGAATCGACGGGTACATGCAGAAATATGGCTTTATTTGGTTGTTGATGCTTGTAACGGTGTGCGAGAGAGGTGTAATATATAAAATCGCAGAGGTAGTTACCCGCATCTTCGGAAATACGCGTATCAAATTCCTACATGAATGTGTTTAGTAAAGGGTTAGGAAGTATGAAGCAGACCAAGGTAATGAATGTTGTTGATGAAATGGGTAGAAAAGTCAATACGAACAGGACAAGCTTCCTTCCATTGACGAAACATTTTGTCGAATGGCAAACTCGTCAAAAGTTCCCCAGGACAGTCATGCCACACCCAGTTATCGCCTTCCTTGATCTTGTTGTATTCATCGTTCAAAACAATCCCATCGACATCTTTCATAAAATATCCATCTCGATGACCCCGTCGCTCACAACTGTAGAAGGATCGACCAGATGCCATTCCAATATGTAGTATATAATCAGGCTTGGTGTCATCAAGAAGTACAGGCACAAGTTCTCGAACAGCCTTGTATCCTACATGGACTGGCGCTCCATAAGTTTCAATCTTAATGCGTGGCGTGGTCTTGTTTAATGGTGGTCGTGCATGCGGATGATGTCCCTCATCTTTCACAGTTGTAGGAACGTAAGATGGTAGACGAGATGCTATCTCCCATGATGGATTTATGGGAAACTGCGCACGAAAAGGCTGTTTGAAATCACAGTCAGCATTTGGGAACTTTGAGGGTTTGGCCAGTTCAACATATTGATTGAACAAGTCCATGATTGGGGGGTAAAGCGGGGTGCGATGTCAGAATAACCCACACCAAAACCTGTAACCAAGACTCGGATTTCCTTTGAATCGGAATGTGTATTCTCATTACCACCACTGATTGATCCCATGATTGCCAAAGCGAATGATATATAATGTTCACAATAACAATAATAACAATAATAATAATAGGTACAGTAATCAATCCTATCCAAGGATCCAAGGATTGAATGATGAATGTGAAAGTGGTCGGTCGGACGGACGCCGATGAGGATGCGGAATGTCCCGCAATTTAGCGTGGATCGGACGCTATATCCCCGGATTTGAAGAACCCCCAAAACTACCTCGGTTGACAGAATAACTTCATTCACCAAAAACGTTCATCTCACGTCTTCTTCATTGTACGCATACCTGGGAAGGTAACTTTGGGATAACATCTGAGTATTTGGAATTGTGAGCAGTTTGCTACATGTCCAACACGTCTAATCCCTCGTGAATCTATGATATTTACCCAGATGCGAGCTTGTTAGCTCTTCAATGGATTTCAACGATCGAGTGGTCTTTGAATAGTGCAACAAAAAGAGAAGACCGATTAGTATTGAGGCTTACAATGCTGTGTTGGTATTACTCAATGGTTTCACTCATGAGAATATTGGTTGTGTTGGCAATGGTTAGATGATGGCGCAGGCGGCGTAGTCTTCCCGAGCAAAAGTTCTGGTATGTTGTGCCGGGGAGACATGGACCCCACTCACTATACACATTTCCACGAGTCACAGACTTCGAAAGATGTTATTTTGGAGATACTTCTTCCAACAGTTGTTCTGAAAAGAAGAGTGTTGTCGGTAGTTAATTGCATGCAAATATGGAGGCGGGGATTCAACCCGGATGCAACCAGAATCCATCGATGTAAGCCCTAGTCAAGCAGAATACCCTAGAGTTTTCCGAAGCCCTGAAGTTTTGACATAATAGACAAGCAACTGTTCGAAGTCTTACTATGTTTCTACTGCATGTTGCAGCATTCTCTAAGAGACACTGCTCTAGAATGCACAGCCTCACGTGAGATTTGATCTCTGTTGAGGTGGTTGGCGGTGTATGATTTGCTGAAAAGGTGTCAGTCGCGCCTCACAGTGTGGCATGGTTACTGGAATTCTATTGGTTCCAATTTCTTCAGCCTCTCATCTGGCCATATTCGATTCTTGAAATAGACTTCCCATACATATTCACTACATTGAAAAAACTTTTTGGTGGTATTATTCATTGCCATTGCTGTTCCCCTAGCCACACAAGCAAGCATCACACAGCAAACAATGAATACGATCACAGCCTTTTATTTGTCTTCCACTGGTAGATACGGTAAATACTCTTAACGAAGCTGTGGGCTGGGTAAGAACCTACTGGAGGTGAATTAATTTTCTGTGCTGTGCTACATTGGATTCGAGGTATATATACTTTGAGCTGACCACCTTAATTTTAATTTCCATCATCAACATCAAACATTCCAATACAACTCCTCAACTTCAAAGATTGCAGTTTAATACCACTCCTATTCTCTCTTCTTTTATCACATCACCTGAATAACTTTACTACACAAAGAGTACCCACCATCACAATGTTTTTCAAAGCTTCCACAATCGCTTTCGTCGCCGCCATCGGCTTTGCATCTGCTGCACCTACACCTACCAGTGACTCTTCATCCGCGGCAACATCAACTGTCGCTTCCAGTGACTGTACAATCGTATGGCCAGGAGTTCTAGAGTACATCTGGGAAAACACTCCTCAGCATGTTGCTTACAACACCATATCCCAGGACTCTTCAGATCTAGACCAAGGTTATTTTGGAATGGGTGCAACTTGGAATGGAACAGCATGGACCTCGCGCCAATACACTTATGCATCATTTGACCTTCCAGCTGATGCACAAAACTGTGAACTCTGGTCTTCATTCCCTTCGAGCAGAGATGACTATGAGGTCATTACTGGTCCATTGGATCCACAAGTCGAAGTTTTTGGCCCATCCATCCCCATCGACTCCAGTGACCTTACATACTGGGATGTCTTTCCTGTCAACGGCGAGCCCACTGTGGAAGTATTTACACCTAACACCTTAAATCCTGGTCATGAGACTCTCATCGGCACCTTTGACTGCTCTTCGCAGGCTCAGTTCTTGATGGGTATTGCCAACTTATCCGACCCAGGCGACTTCAGCTATGATATCTATCAGTTTCGTGTCAACAACACCGTTTCTAGAAATTACGGCTTGTACGTAGCATACGGCTCTGATACTTGCCAGTTACAATTTCCATAGAAGACATGGCATTTGGCATGTGATCAGCGGTGGAGAAGTGTAGAGACGGGAGGGGGTTTTAATGTTTCGTTTTAGTCTTTATGGGTTTATGGCTTTGAGCATGGTGGATCTGGACTGGTAATTTCACATTTCTTTTGTTGGATGCATATTCATAGCGCAAGTTGGTTTTAGTCACCCTTTATTGTATCTTTGGTTTTGAGCATAGCGAGGGCAGCGTTGGTGGGATATGGAAGGTATACATTCATTACGATCATGATGGGATAGAAGATTGCATGGTTATGGCATATGAATAGATGATAGGCGTGGAGCTTCTTCTACATGATATCTAATAATAATAAAATAGAAGATTCGTATCACAAGAAATTTACTCTTACAATGCCCTCTGTTGAACTGTGAAGGAACTTTTAATTTGCAGAATATTGATTTCGAGAATTTTCTTTCTTTAATAAAATGACATCGTTTGTAAGCGTATTATGTCTGAAATCTTTTCAAGTGAATTTGATATTAAACCCAATAGATTAGTAGAATAGTAAACGATTGGAAAAAGTCTCTACTTAATACCCAACAATAATCTTTGAATTAACATCAATCAATATATTTGAAAGAATTGATATTTTCATCATTTTCTATTCAATTATGCACATCTCAATATTTTGGAATGTGTGAGTTGCATTCAAATATAGTGAAATACACCTCAATGTGTATTTGCTTCAATGGTATTCTTACGTGTTGAAGATATAGAAAAACGATCTGAACGAGCCCCAATCATCTAAAGGCATTCGTACTATTCATCGAATGGCGGGAAAACACTGATATCGAGAGCCAGAAATCAAACAGCACCCTAGGGCAAATTTTGCATTCACCTTCAACGAAGCAATTTTTAAAAATTGGTCTGCCGCCTCACCCCTCAATAGCTCACTCGAATTTCATTCCAACTTTATATAAAATTCTTTTGTTTCTACAACGGAAGAGACATTTGCGGTTGAGGTTGATATTCATCTTCAAGACTCTGCCACTGGGTCTTAGAGCGAAAGACTTTACAAGAAATACCGAGTGCCAGCCAACACAACTCCTTAATCGTCAAACAAATACAGATTTTCATCACGAAGCAAATCTACGTGGGCTCTCGACTTACTCAGCCTGCCTGGAATACTTCCATCCATCAATTGTTACTTGAAACAAACCATAGACAACCATGGCGGGACGACTAGAGTAAGCTCTCTTCCCCAATATCTCAGAATACCCATGGATATGAACATTAACTGATGATATTTCTAGTGAGCTTGGAGATGAGCTTGTCCATATCTTTGTTGGACCCGAAAGAAAGAAGTTCTCGGTCCACAAGAATCTCATTCGCAGATCTGGAGATTTCTTCAAGGCAGCTTTCCAAGACAACGGATTCAAAGAAGGGGCGGAAAATAAGATGGATCTACCTGAAGATAAGCCATATATTTTTCAGAAATTTGTTACCTGGATGTATACTGCACAAGTTGGAAGCCATCAAGACCAAACTGAAGAGGCCGGAGATGATTGCAATCTTGCTATCATTGAGCTTTACATCTTCGCCGACAAGTATCAGAGTGTGCAGCTAATGGACTTTGCCATGGATTCGCTTCAGAATTCTCTCAAAAACAACTGCAGTGGCCTTTCGTTCCGAGAAGTTGAGATGGTCTTTGAATTTACGAAATCCAGGTTTAATCAACCGCTACGACGCTTTGCTATATCGATTATGGCTTGTACTGTTCTTGACGGCACACTTTGTTCTTCACTTCAGGAAATGGAAAGGATATTCAAAGAGATTGACGGTGCGCTGATAGAAACTCTCAAGTGTATACCTTTGCTCCTATTAACACATTCGGGACCTAAATATCGTACGGACGATTCTACATGCGACGAGGGATTTGGTATTTGCAAGTTTCACCAACACAAACTTGATGCCATCTGTAACTCGCCACCGAATAAACCCGTGGGATTAGTCTAATTTACTCTTACGACGTCCTCGCCTCGTCTATCAACTCTCGAGAATAGCAATAGTGGTGGAAGTTCAAACTCAGCTTGTGCTCATTGGAGGGGGTGAGAATGGAAAGTTTGCATCCATGGTTGGCAACGGGAGTGTACTATGCTTTGAGCACAAGATTGAATCTTAGGGTCGATAGGCTTGATAGAGCAAATCTCAAGTGAACAGAAAATATGAGCACATTTTCTACGCATTATATGGCTATTCCTACAGGAGACAATTCCCATTGAACCATTTTCTTTCTATTCCAGACACCCGGTTTGTATAATACCCCCCAACCACAATGACTTAATTACTAGAATCAACATGCAAATTGAATTATCAACACTGGCAGCAATGTGAGGATGAAGTAATTTGAGCATGATCAGACATAACTGTTACTACCGCAATGAAGGTGACTGGAGGAAACGAATAATTCTTCGCTACATGATTTGACATTATATCACCAAATTCACTTCCTAAAGATATATACGGTACATGATGGTACGACAGAGCACCAATACCAAACTAACAAAAGCTTCGCATTCGCAGGCAAACATTTTTTGACACGATTAACATTGCGACGCAATAATTCTCGATCCGTGGTTCTCCTAACAAAATTTGTACAAAATCATCAAGATTAGCAAGCAGAAACGCTGCGATTAAGACAAAGAGATGCCCAAATAGCATATTCCATGATGGCACATTCAACTGCTAAGTAAGAAATAATCTTGTGTACTATATGGATCAAAGCTAACTCAGAAATTCATAATCGCCTTGGCAACGAATTGGTCCAGATCATTGTTGGTCCCGAGCTCAAAGAGTTCTTTGCGCATAAAACTCTCATCAGATCAACCTGCGACTTCTTTGATAAAGCCTTTAATGGAAGGTTCAAGGAAGGTATTGAAAACAAGATGCTTCTTCCCGAGGATGATCCGGAAGTTTTCGAAATCTTCGTCAACTGGATGTATTCCGAGCATCTCAGAGGGGGATCCAAAGAGCCCATGCTGATCATTAATATCTGGATTTTTGCCCAAAAGTGTCAAGCTATAACCTTGAAAAACTGCGCCATGAATGCTCTACAAGATGCGCTTGGCGATGAAATAATAAGTCGATTTCTATTTTCTCGTTCTGAAATTGTGCACATATACGAGAATACAACGTGGGGGATGAGTTCCGAGTATTTGCGGTCGCGATGTTGGCGTGGGAGATTCCGTTTGGAGATCCAGAAGATGTTGCTAACTTGGAGAGTATATTCAACGACGTTAATGGCTCATTTGAAGACGTTTTAGAATTCACACAAGATCTTGGAGGGAAGCCTGTTGCTGATCCAAGAGTTCGCGGCGGTCGTTGTGATAACTGTGCGTTTTACGAGCATAACTATAACGATGAGTATGTTTGAGTCGCGGCATTGAATTCTCATCAATATAGAAACAAATACTAGTGCAACTTAAATGTACAGAAGACTTTCGACTTCTAGACCTCAGCGTCTTGCATTTTTCCCACCTAGCCGAGGATCCGAATGTAGATCCTAGTATTGGTGGATACAATTATTTGAGGTAGGACAATGAAAGCCAGCTTCATCTTTTCAGGGATTGGGTTGCTTTGGTATCTTTGAAATTTGATTCAAAGATGGTCAAAATTGGTGCGACTTTCAAATCATAGGAAGGATTACACAGAAACTAGTTATCACAATTAAGAGCTGTTAATAATTTACTCGCAATATGAAAGTTAAGATATTCAAAGTGCTTACCAAGTTGTAGAGAGATAGCATTCTAAATCTTGACGTCTAAGTCATTACTATCGAAATGAATTTGCGCTTGCTTAACCATACTTTTATTTTCACAATTCAGAAAATCTAGCGTTCTAGCACCCGAAGAATTATGAATTTTCCGGATAGATCAAACTCCCAAGGTAAATTTGTCAATGGTATTACAAATTGAAATCGCTGGGATACCAATTTTTTTTTGTTTGAGACAGGCTCGAATGTATTAACACACGTGTATCAACACTGCCAACTGACAGAACTTTAGAAAATGCTTTACAAATCAACGAACAATCTTCGGGCATTGTTGCAGGTACTCGGCCCTTGGGCACATCACGATTCTACTAAAATAAAAACATGGATTATGCCTCTACCTACCAGTAAACGAGCCCCATGGGATGTTATCTTGGCACCGCAATATGAATTCGTCAAATGTCTCGCTTATCGAGAGGCTGAGAGAAAGGGGTTCAGATTATTATTCGACTATCAGCCTTCATACTCGGGCCAGCAAATAAAAAAACCCCAAGCCCCACTACACCGACAGCATATTGTTTGCTGTTTGCTTATTCCCCTCCAAAAATAGCTCACATCAGCCTCATCCCCCAAGCCTTTATGAGGTTCCCCAAAATCTCACTCCCTTACAGCTGCCAAGCAATTACCCCGCGACGCTCACTGGTGGCCCAATCCAACTTTAGTTACACAGCTACACACATCAATCATTCAATTTGTCACAAAAATTGTCTTTACAAAGAAATCAGAAACATTTCCTCTCACCAGTTTGCTAAATTCATCATGTCAAGATGACAATCATGACAATCATATGATGTTTTCAGCTTGGTGAAGAATTCGTATTGCGTCAGCCTTGTGCAGATCAGCACTTGTAGCAAGCCTCTTCGTATCCGCTCACAAAGTCATGAGAGCATCATCTGATTTCCCTCAGCCGTTGGTGGCAGTGGTACTAGGTTACTTCTTGATTGTTGAGTATATAATGATGCTGCTGGATCGATGGAGATGTTGTCTTCTCTCCATCATCATCACCATCATCACCATCATTACTAGAGGCTAAGAACTTCACAAAGAATCATAACGCTTGATCTTCACTTGAAATTAATCTTTAAATCAATATGCTTTCCAAGACTATTCTTTCCCTTCTCATCGGAGCGACAAGCTTCGTACAAGCTTCTCCCGTTCCAGAAGTCTTGAACGAAAAACGCACTTGCGGAACACAACTCTTCCCAAATCAAATCGTTCAACTTTCCAAGGCAAATCCAAACACTGCCTATCCAAACACATGGAACACGGATAGATCTGTCAAGATTAGTCAGGACGCTGACGCCAATGGTATGTATATCTTTCTCAAATATCATCATGAATCCAAATTAACACATTCTCCAGGTAACCCCTCCAATCAATTCTGGGAACTTATCTCCTTCCCCGCTCTCCCAGCCGGATCCTACGGCTGTTCCCTTACTCTCACTTTCCCATCAGACTACGCACCATCTATCACCGGCATCTCTCCAGCTCTGGACGTCTACACCGTCTCGACACCTCTTCCCAGCGGTCCAACATTCAACAACATCAGTCCCAAGATCAATTCTGGTATTTTCGGCTCTGTCACTCCTGCGAGTGGACAGAGTATTGTGATTAATGCCCAAGCTTGCAATGGGGGTAGTGGACAGGGATTGGCTTTTGTGTTCAGATACGCGGATTGGGTTCGTGGACAGGGAAGTGTGAGCTGGACTGAGTATGTGAATGCTTTGAATGGAGCTGGTGCTCGAGGTGTGTATTTAAATTATAATTGTTAAATGTTAGTGGGGTTTATGACTTTGGATTATGATTGTTGTTTTGGGAAGTGGTGGAATTGGGATGGATAGTTATGGGTCATGGAGTTGAATGGGCAGGAAGGATAGTTATCACATGTTTGGCGCTTCAGCGTCGTTCCAGTTATTTCAGTGAATTTGATTCTTCCTATAGAATTTATGAATACCACGAGAAAAGTACTGAGTGCCCGCGCGATAGTGCAGCGTTCCATGACCACCACCGACTTTCATCTCTGACTCGCGCTCTCATTTAAACGCATGATGGAAATTAGACCCAATGCGCGGGGTACTGCCGATTGTTCGAAAGAAATCAAGTTGTGTTGACGAGTATTGGCTTACTCGAAGTCTAGAAAAACGTGGAACGATAAGTGAGCAAGCGGTTTCTGAGGAAGAAAAGTGACAGAAAGGCACACAGGAAGACACACTGACTAAGCGCAAGCTGGAAAATAGTTGAACTATTCGAGCTTTATTTGGCAGTCCTCGCGATCTTCATTGGTATCGTGGACGTGGAATTCACAAGGAAATTTTTCACGACTTCTAGGGTCGTTGTCGCTGTATACATTGAACCAGGTCTCATAATCGAGATACGCGACAATAGCCGTTGGGACAGTCCGAAGAAAGTATGTAACAGCTGTGCTACCCTCACTGTTGTTTTGAAAATGAAGTTGAGCAACACAGAGTTTCATTAAAAGATTACCTGCCATGTACACGCCCTCTGTGGCCCCAAAGACACATTTCAATTCATCCAAGTCCGTGAATTTGTCATTGCGACGATAGTGATTCTGAAGGAAATCCATGCAATAATTTTGGAGTCTTGGAAACTCAATCCCGTCGGCAAGGATCCATAGTTTTAGGACTGTTTTGATTTTCGGCACCTTAAAGAAATGTCCTGGGGTATAGAGCCATTGGACCAGATAATCGAATGTATCAGACTCTTCATCCGGGATAATAGCCTGATCATCCTTCAGACGTTCGAATAAGCCTGTACCAGCCAATAACTCCTCATGAATCTCGTAGCAACCCCCGATAACTTCGACTCGGATCTTTTCTCTGGATATTGCTAGTCTGGATCTCATGGGTTAACACTTCTTGAAACAACCGAGGACTCACCCGCTACGCTGGGTGGAATTCATTTTCTCGTTGTCTCGGAGCTGCTGCTTCAAAACATCACTAATTATCGCGAAACAATCGATCCTTTTGACGTTGCACAAAAAAGAAAAACACGTTTGAAAAGTTTACGATCGCGTAATGAACATAATGCAATCGAGGCTACCGTGTATGGAGTGAATATCAGCCTTCTTCAAAAGTGATTTGAAATGAACATGTTAGTAGTAGGTGCACTACTTGATAGCACACTATTAGGATTGAATTTGGTAATATTTCCTGACTGGTTGACCGAAGTGTTTTGGATTCGGGGACAATGGCTCATTGCAGCTTAAATAATGAAAATGTAAATTTTATATTGATCAATCTATCAGTTCGCGCATCCACTGGTGGGTGTTAACACAAACTATAGTTTGTAAAGAGGGAGATGGAATTGAGAAGACTAGGTTTCACGAGCTATACGGTTCAGTTCTAGAAAGAGGAGTAGGAGAATGGGTAAAAGGGAGAATACAAAGTTGGATACACATGAAGCACTGGTGTTCTCACGTATTCGGTGCATGGAACCTGATGAATAGATTTTGGAATCCTGATGATGTCTTTCATTGCTTTTGTATATACCAGATGAATGAACGTCTTTCCCTAGCAGTATGAATGGACCAAACTAGCTGCTTGAAGTTGGTCATCGAAGTTGTAGCGAATCCCAAGACTTCTGACGGGATCTCGAGACTATCAAAAGACTCTAAGGTTGGGTCAGCAAAGAGAGTCGAGAGAAGCAACACGAGAGAAACGTACCAAAGATATTCACCGACGCAATTGAAGCGCAGATTCTACTGAACATTTGGTTTGGACTCGCAGATCTTGTCATTGTCATTGTTGCTGTGAATGTGGAATCGGCAAAGATGATTCTTGTCTTGGCATGTGGGATCGCAGACACGGACCAAGGGCGACTGGGACTGCTTGAAGAAAATCACGAACTATTGTGAAACAGTCCTCAGTGCTTTCCTGGCGAAGCATAGCAGCACAGAAACTCTCTAAAGCAATATGCTCACCACCATCCTTGGGCGTCTCAAAAAACGTATCTTGAATCCGACTTCTTCATCGAATTATATTGGTCATCCTGAATCCAATCCATAGCGTACTTCTGAAGCTCTGGGCAGGAAATTTTAGCAGCAAAGAACCACAACTTTAGAATCACCCGGGCGCCACCAGCTGGATGTTTGAAGAGATCTCGGTTATAGAGCCACTGAACAAACGACTCAAACACTTCAGATCCTACATCTATGTTCATGACACTTCTATGTTCGTAGTTGAAGGATTCCGTATTTCTGCGCAAAGGCTCTTCGTGGATGTGGTATTTAGAGTTGCCGACATTGATCTGGATCTTGCCTCTAATCAAAATGTCAACTTAGGCTGAAATATCACAAATTTGTTGAGGTACTCGTTGACTCACCCAAGGGGCCGATTAAGATCCATGTTTGAGCTGAGTTTGGGTAAGATTTGTTGTGAAATCGGGATCAAATGGGAAGCCAGACCACACTCCTTTGTGATTGTAAAGTTTGAGAATGGTTTGCGAAAAGAGTTTGACGAGGCGCGAAGTATGGATAACAATGTGGGCTAGCGGAAATTGATAAAGTGAATATCTCAATGATTCTTATCGAAAGAGAGTTGGACAAGAATTGGGAGCATACATAGGCAAGTCTCCTAATGTTGCCTTACTCGATGCAAGTTTCGCAAAGAGAAGATGATAGCGAAGAAGTTACAGATGGCGTGCATCGTCCGATTTCCAAAGCGTTCGCTCCTCAATGTACGAAACGGAATTTCCCAATTCTCTAGAAACGCTTGTGATTTGAAGAGGGGTTCGAATTCAGCGCTCTTTAATGAAGACATATATCTGTCAAAACACATTCAGGAGGCGCGAGCATACATAGCACATGTATCGTGATCGAAAAGCGGTTATGTTAAAGGCTTGAAAGCCACTTATCCTGAAATCTACCCAACTCGCCAGTTCTTACATACCAGAATCGACTGCACCCTGCTTTGGTAACCTGCAAAGATTGACGCCAAACGTTATCACCACCCACCCTAATATCCCCTATAATTTTATGACCACCAAATCCAAACTATAGCCCCCAAGCCAACTGGTACTAATACCTTTAGCAGATCGGCTAGTCATGTATCGCGCTTTAAATCGTGTATGACAACATCCCCCTCCTCTCCGGCATCCTGTGCTGTGCCGGTACCAACTTTCGGTGGATATTGGACCCCGTCCTTCTCAAACTTTGGTATGCAGGTACATTCTTGATCGGCAGGGATCGAAGAGAAGACGGAAGGTAAGTGTTGACCGCAGCCGAACCAGGTTTCCTTCTCTGCCGCACCGCCGATATTAGTATGATGTAGAATAAGAGGAGGGCGGGGTGAGAAACATACGACAGGTCGGGCAGCTTGCTTGTCTACACATTGTAAGATTACTTTGTTTGTTGCGGACTGAAGTGGCAGGTACTGATCTGTTTTTTATAGATTGAAATCTTTTTCCATAACGTTGCGAGTTCTTTATTCTTATATACCTAGTGGTTCATTAAACTTTGGCTCGGGCTTCATTTTGTGGGGTAGAAGAAATGATGTTCTTTGGGGTCGGCGACGTTCACGTTGCAAGGGTCGTTGGGTGTTTTAGCGTTGCTTAAAACTTTTTAGGGTCGCCGAATGAGCCTGAGGAATTGCTGACTGTACGTCAATTCTTATCTTGACATCCATCTGATACCATCTGCACAAGTGACACCACGACACCTGTGGCTTGACTAAGAATAAACGTTTCCAAGACACATTGTCGTCCTCGAAAGCTATCTTTTCTTGATCTGAGAGGAGACTATTGATGCCATGGCGCTATTGAAGTCCTTGACAGTTGAAGGGTTCCACTTACCAATTGAATGCCCCGACCAACTGAACGATCTTTAGTTCACCGCTCTTCGCCTTTGAGAGAAAATTTATACAAGATCATCACTGAAATAAGCTCAGTGGTTTACTTGATCAAAGCACTCAATTGGTAGATGAACCATTCTGTGTTTACTAGGCTGGCGTGGAAACAAGACTTCAGATCTATTACTTCAAAGAATGACTATCACAGATATACGGGTGGTTCAATATCGCTCATCAAACTACAAGTATTTGGTATAGTACAAGTAGCATTGTGAGACACAAATTCAATTTGCAAAACCCAACTTCTTATCGAAAAGGTATTGTTACATCTATCGTTGCTGTTCTCGAGCGAGAACAGGATATGTGTTAGTTCACATTGAATATAACAGCCCTCCAATTAATAGCTGTACTTGTAATTATTGTCTAATAGTCAGATTAGAAGCACAATTTGTAGTTCATATGTGCTCCGTTCTCTCAAATCATTCGCGAATCAACAATATAGTTGATTACAACAAAAAGGAATGTGCTTGCATTCGGGTGTGAGACTTTCTTGTCCCGTTTTGGAAATCTGTATGAATCATGGTGGTTGATCGATAATATGATGTTGAAGACATGTACATATACCTGGACATCCTCTGTATCTTCTTTCTGTCATAATTGGAAGCATTATCATCCAACATGGCCTCAACAACACAAATCATGACAAGTGCGAAGCACGACTACCAAGTCTCGTATAAAATTGAGACACTCCCTTCCGATGCAGAACTCAAACGTGCTAACAGGCTCATTCCTCACATTCTCGAGGAAAAGGCACGTGAAAATCCTCAAAGCATCATAGCAATGGTGGCCAAGTCATCTGACATATCCGAGGGATTCGATCAGGTCAATGCTGGACAGTTCTTGCGTGGTGTGGACTTCCTAGCTCATTGGATCGACTCTTATAAGTCTGAAACTTCATCGACGGAGACTTTCGCGTTTATTGGATCTCAGGACTTTCGCTATCCGATCATTGAAATTGCTTGTATGAAAACTGGAAACCCTCTACTTTTACCAAGTACTCGAAATGCATTAGCAAACACAGTTTCATTACTCAAGGCTACCAAAAGCACGAAACTTTTCTACACATCTCAATACTCGGATTTTGCTGCACGAATTTTAGATGTACTTACAACTTTGGAAAAGCACGAAATACCGACGCTACAGGAGATAATAACCACAAAAAGTGAGCCGTACCCCTACACGAAGAATTGGGATACCCATAAAGATGAGCTTGCATTGATTGCTCATACATCGGGTTCCACAAGTGCACCAAAGCCAAAGAATTGCAGCCATAGGTTCCTCAGTAGTTTCCTCCACAGCAGTGTATTGTTACCTGATGTACCTGGACGAGTAGTTGCAGGCTACAAGTGTATAGAAAAAGACAAACTACTTTTGAGTGGGTGTGGCTTTGCTCATGCATCTGGAATTGCCATTGCATTCTCAACGATCATCTTAGGTTCAATCTTGGTTCGCGGCCCACCGAGGGAACCGTCTAGTGGGAAAATACTTCATGATATCATGAAGGCTCTCCCAATTCATGGAATAATAGAGGTTCCAAGCGTTACAGAGCAATTATTCTTGAATCACAGCGAGGGCCTCGAAGACGAAATCGCTGCTTTGAAGCATGTTTCCTGGGTTGGAGGTAAACATATTTCCTATAGTCCGCTCTTGGGTGCGTTATTAATTAAAAAATAGGTCCACTATCACAGAAAACAGGCGACTTCATTACCCGCAACACCGACGCAGTACTGTGGCAAATTTTCGGGTCGACTGAAACCGCCCAATTGCCACTTCTTGTACCACCCAAATCACATTGGCAGTATCTCGAGTTCCACCCCCAATTCTTACCAGAATTAGAGCCAGTGAATGATGACTCTACGCTTTGCGAACTGATCTTAAACAAATACGATGATCCAGCTCTTGCTTGGGCTCAACCTGTCTTTCAGATGGAACGTGATCAGACTCAGTGGAGGACCAGGGATATTCTGCGTCGTTACGAAGGTTCGCTCCCCAATGGAATTGGTCCACTTTGGAAATTTGAAAACCGAATCGATGATCTTATCATCCTTTCTTATGCAGCCAAAGTCAACCCTGTGCACATTGAGACTCTACTACAGTCACACCCGTTATTGAATGGCTGTCTTGTCTTCGGAACGGGCAGAGCCCGTTGTGGGATCTTATTGGAACCGAAGGAGGATTCAACATTGACGGAGGAAGATTTGATATCAAAGGTATGGCCGGGAGTGCAAAAAGTTAATGATACGGTACCAACACATGCTCGAGTTGAGCGACATTTGGTTCTCGTGGCGAAGAAGGATAAGAGATTTGAGAGAGCTGCTAAGGGAACCCTCGTTAGATCTATTTGTACAAATATGTATAAAGCTGAGATTGACAGTGTATACGCAGCGTTTGAGGCAAGGAACTACGGATATAGTAAAGCTGATCTCAAGTTGCGAATTTAGATCACTTTCGTTCCCTTTCTTTTCTTCAAATAGCTTTGGGAAATCGGAACGCATGTTTAATTATTGATATCATATAACACATACCAACAGTACCTATGCATGGCATTTTTTGAGTCAGATTTACCAATGGGAATCACAATAGTTTGTTTAGTTTTAATCTCAGAGTTAACGCTTTTTCTTTTCATTTTTATTCTCGGTCTATTTAAAAGGCGGCAAATAAAACGGAAAATAAAAAACGGAGTAAATATTGCTTCTAACAAATCATCACATCCACCTACCTTTCTTGTCTCCTCCCCACCCTCTCAAACTCCTCCCCTCCTCACAATACCACACACCCCAAGGATGGACTCTCGTCCCCATCCCGTCCATCTCCTTCCGTTCGTCGTCTCATAAATCTAGTCACTCGAATCCATCGAATTTTTCTACAAACAGCGCAAGAATTCTGCTTCTCAACAATAGAAAGCCAGTAGAATGAACAACGTGTTGGGCCAGGGGTGTTGTCGGATGGATTGATAGGAGCCCGAAGACAGGGTTGCATATGAGTGGAAGAATGCTTGCAGGAAATGTGGATGGTGTGTTGGTCGTGGCACATTTTGGATTTTGGGCTTGGGTTTTTACTGGGTCGATCTGGGAAGAAGGCTGAAGTGTTATGTGACCATGATACTGGGTATGTTTGATGAGTTTTGAATTTCTTGGGGATTTGAGACTTGAGTTAATATGAAGATCGATGTGTGGGTAATTATATTTGAGATAGGGGGTTATTCTGGGTCTGTTTTGTGCTTGTTTAGAAATTATTACGTTCTCATGTCAGTATGAATTCTTGGATTTTTACGTGCTTGTCATAGAAACAAGATTGGAATTATGGGAGAACAAGTCCAAAACAATGTGATCTTGTTTGAGAATTCTTTGGTCATCCCGCATTTCCTGATCTTCTATTACTTTGGTCAATCTCAGTGTGGCTACTTCGTGACTAGATAGCAAGATTATATTTATCACATCAAATTTCATCGCGGGTCGCTTTTTCATGTTCAAAGTATTCTCGGAAAAATTAATTTTTATAGGGGATTTTTAAGACTGCTACATGGTAGATGATTCTCAGCATCTACCAACGTATCTATCTATTCTTCGCTTACAAACCCCTCAAACGTGCGCTCGCCTCATTCCGTTCTCATCTCAACTTTAAAATGAAACAAAGAAAGTAAAGAAATGATTACAAACAAAGCCTAATCAATTTGGTGGAATAGTAGAAGTGTAACGCTGGCACTTACCTGGCTGGCGACGGAATGTGGCGCGAAAGACAGGACAATCTTGGAGTGCGCAGTTGTGTAGGTGTTAATAGTGGCAGGTACTGGCGTTGAAATGACAGCAGCCGCATTCGTTGAATTTGGTGCATATTTCTGTACACATGATGGCCTTTGTAACTTTGCGTTGGGGTTTTTTGTTGGCTCTTGGGTGTTCATTCTGCGTTTCGTGTTTGCAGCTAAATTGAGAGTCAAGAGGCTGTGGAATAGATAATAAGCATTTAAGAGGAGGCGAATTTCTATACTAGTTGTGTGGGATTGTTCTGGACGAATTCTAGATCTGTTCATGTATACTGAGCTAGTATTGCGTGTAATACTCTGGAATGATGAATAACGACAACTAAATATCCATTGTGCTAAAGAAATGGGCAAAGTTTGAAATTGCACTTTCGGACGGGTGTCACTGGAAATTCAATTGCGCATTGCTTTTTCGAACTTTCCAATGACAGGAGGCATACAAGTATCAACACTGGTTGTTCTCTTGGGATATTATGTTGAGGAAGAATATCTTCATATCAGAGTCCTCAGGGTTTAAGCAGAAACTTATGTGTTTACATGTCTTTCTCTGAGAATATATATGTAGTGTGATACCCATCATGAGAAACCAAAAACGATCCCATTTCTTCACAATCATTTCATCCATAAAAGTTTCAAATGCCCGTGCTCAGAGTTGTTTAATGCATCTATCAAAAACATCCGGCAATCAATTCTGTTTCAATTCAAAATCCCAAAATTTGACATCTAAACTCTCTCCGTTAGTAGCCTCAGCTTTAGCAGGTCTGCAAGCCATCGCTCCAACTCCAATATTCCAATCTTCTTCATCGGCGAAAAACCACGCCACCTCTCTAAGCGGTATTCTCTCTTCGCCCTTGATCCAATAAACCCAAAGACCCTTTCCATTCTCATCCCCCTCTCTCCTCACTTCGACAGTAACCTCCACGTCTTCACTTGGATCAAGACCCGTCGGGTAGATACTCCAGTCCGCAAAGTTATCGCATCCAACAGTGCTCACAAATGGTTTGCCATTATAAAATTCAACTCCAGTCTTCAGCCAGCGATCTTTGGAACCGGCTTTGGTGAGATGGAGAAGAAGACCACCTTGGTCGTAGCGATATTTGCAAGGGAGCGAAAATGTGATCTTGGAAGAAAGGAATGAGGTGAGAGGTACTACTGAAGCCATGTTGGTGGGTGCATTGAAGGCATCGGTGGTGGGAGGCTTGCGCCAGATATCGGTGGATGGAGAGGCAGTTATGGTGAAGGGTTCTTTGGTGGGAGACATATTGTTTTGTATGGGTTGTGCTTCGCGAGTGCGTAGTAATTTTGATCTTGAATAGCACCACAGGTCGGGAGAATTAAACTTCGGTTGCTTTAGATAATAGAAATTCTTTCCATCTCCATCCATTTATAGTAGTCATGATGTAGGACAGGAAGGAACAGATCACGCGTTTGGCTACCCCACTTTTGCGGGCCGCATATACGATGTAAGCCGAAATTCGCAAATCGTACCAGAATAGTTTCTTGGTGTTTAGTAATCATATTTCATACCTAGGTACTTAACTAGCTAGGTATTTGATGACACGATTTTAGCTCTCATCTAGAGGCATATGAAAAGACTTCATCGTGAATCGATTAAACACCGGAGAAACCACGGCAACTTCTCATTCTTTTACCTCTCACTTGGAGTCAATCCTAGGCAGCCGAGGCAGCCAATATGCAAGCACCGGTGAAATTCCGTACATGTGCTTAGGTTGGTAATCTTGCTGAGCTGTTTGATACATCATCAGAAATAGTCCAGGGGCACTTCGCTTATTCATGAAGGTCTTTCGATCTAGTCACAATTCAATCTCCTGACAGTTCTTCATTGAATCTCACAGCACATTCTGGTCAAGGTGGTTCGTTTTTCCCAAAAATAGTTGTATTGAAATCATGACTAGTGATGCGGTTCGGTACTTTCTCCTGATAAGCACGCATTCAAACGGGGACTAGTTCACACTTCCACTCATCTCTTTTCCTGAGAGCTCATCATCCCTCACATAATCACACACTTGCGTGTCTTATCAACCTTTTCTGTGTATCTTATTACCATATTCTGCCTCTTTTCTTCTCTCACATACTCTTCTGCTTGTTCTAATCTCTTAAGAGTAAGAATTGTACCTTCTCTGATTGCGGCTGCTTCACTGAGTCTTTTTGACTTTGCTTTCTGAAGAGATTCTCTCTTGATGTAGATTCCTTCTTCCTTCAAACAACGAATGCATTTCCTACCCAAATGTTTTATTTCTTCCTTGCGGAACTGACATGTTTGAGGGTGGGCATTAGGTTCGCAAAGATGATTAATATAGGACATGTGTGGACAAGTATGGGCGTGGCAGATTGAGAGACACATCTTTGTAGGTTGAGCTTTTTGTTAGGGTAAGTGTTCCTGTGAGTATGTAAGCTGATCTAATATTTCTGATAGTTAGTGAAGAAAAGTTCAAAGTTCGAACAAAGGGGACTCGATTTCAGTAATACATTTTGACGGGATTGTTTGTCTGTTGTTCTCGGTTCCGTCACCTTCTGTTGCGGAAAACGATGATATTCTTTACCCTTTCCCAGTTTTTGTATGGAGATGCAGGTGAAATCGAATCCGTGAAATATTTGAAGCAATAGGTCTTGGCCCAACTGCCTCCGCTCTTGACTAAGTTGGTCCAATTAATTCCACGTATATGAAATCGAACTATATCATATTGAATTCTTCTTTCCATTGCAATTGATCAATTATATTTTGTTACTCGAGATTATTTTACTTCAATAGGATATATTGGCCGCACGGAAGATGGAAGCAGTTTCGCGCCGTCTCTGGTCTTCAACGTTATTAAAGTGATAATCGCAAGGTTTCGGCATACCCCGAGGAAGTTGTAAATTCTATGATTGACTAAATTCGAATCGTACAATAGAGATTATTTTTTGATTTTGGGTTGTGAATTCGAGTCTCATAGTCCATTCTCACCTTATACAAGGTACCTTTGTTGTTTACCTCGAGTTAGGAAATTTCTCTTTGTCGAATGAGATACAACTTTAACAATTAGTACTCATTCTTCATCCACAAATAAACAATTCGCATTTCCCCATCTCAAAATAATCAACTTCTTTGTGATCTCCCTAAATAAAGACATTCCTTTTCATTCTCACCATCATCCAACACAAGGACATTGAATCTTTTCTAAATAACTTGACAAAGACATTCATTGGCCATTGTACAAAGTCAACATAAGCAAGAAATTTCTGGGGATATAAATACTTCTTAATGCTCTGCGAAAAGTCTCCAATAGAAAGCACAATTGCTCAAAAAAACCGCAACCATGAACGCTGAAGCTCAATATTTTCAATATCTTGCACAATCTGCTGGAACAGATAGCCGAGTACGAAGATACCCAGCGGAGTCCGCGATAGTTAATAACGAGGAATATCCACGGGTATCCTCCCATATCTCTTCCGAACGAAGAAGACAAACATCAGAATTTACCGACTGGGACTTTCTTTCTGAATGGGAGAGATCAACGCAACCAAAAAAGGGCATTCTTGGATTCCGAAACGAAACTTCTGAAAACCTTGCCAGCAACCAACGGAAACCCATCTCGGAATGTGGTACACATCCACATAAATCAACACAAGAAATAGATCCACAACACAAGAAGTCGAGAATGAACAATAGAATGTTTCAGAAATACGTTATCCCGGCTTCTATACTCATCGGGGCTCTTATATTTTCCATCCTCAGCCACCCTTTCTTGTCGGTAGCTGAAAACTTCGTTAAGAACGTATTGGAAGCTTTTCTCGTACTTTTCGTTTTTCATCCTGATCAACTATGCGCTTTGATTGAAATACTTTTTGGGCATTTCAGACGTTTAGAGAATTTTCCTCAATTTTAATAATATAAATACATTCAAAATACATGAGTACATTCATTTTTGTGCCGAGTGTTAGTGCGAAATGATTCATAAATTAATTTTGACATGAATAAGTGTTACTTCTGAGAGGAAAGTAACATGGATTACTTGAGACTTTGAGGATTTGGATGATTACTGAAATGCCAATAATTGTACAAAGTGAGCTGAGGCGTATTTCTGGTTCATTTAAGAAGTATCTAACCGAAACATCTCAGAATACCCCAATGTATAAATCCAGGCTCCTGGAAACACAATACAACATAAAGACTAAGATTCCCTAACATCTACACAAACAACAAACAACTTGTATAGACTAACATGAGGATTATTTCAATCTCTAAATACCTAGCTTATCCTTCTTGGACCATACCATCAGTGAGCAACTCCGCAACCAGAAAAACGCTACCAACAAGCTCAAAGACACAAGTTCAAGTTACTCAATGCTATCTTCCCGTGAAAGAATCTACAAAAACAAAATTTGTGATCTCTCACACAGAATCATTGTGAAAACTGCAAAGATCCAGAGAAGACTCGAGACGCAGATGACGACGTACAAATTGCGCAAGAAAATGATAGAAACACACGAAACACGTCGGGAAGGTTTAATCAAGTCATTGTGATATTTGCTTAGACGCAAGGTGCGTTGTTTTCTAAAGTACTTCTATAAAGTCTATATCATGTTCCTGTTTCGTCAATCGCTTGAAGCTAATTAGTATGGATGATCTCAGCAATCAGGATGTCCATACCATGCGTGAAAGACATCACATATCATATGAAACCCTACGAAATGTCCTGTAGAATCCTATTTCAATTCCTATCAACTAGATACTGAGAAATGAATTGAAGCGCTAAGTACTATTGATTCGACATTCTTGCAAGAAATCTCGAGGGATAATCGTTCTTCATATCTTATGTTGAGGTAGATTATGTGATATAGGAGGGGATATAATTGTAAGCGAAATGACCAAGGAAAGATGCTGTGAACGAGAATTCTTTTTGAAGCAGTCATCATATTAGTCTAAAAACTGGCATCAGATTGGCAATCAACTCTAGGAAGTACCCATGAGGATTTCATAGCTGGAACTACCAGAAAGTACTTCAGGCGAACAAATCAGTAACAATATCCGAAACAACAATAATTTATGGCTATAAGCTCTTACATTCTCCTTTTCCTCTCAATGTTTCATTCCCACAGCATAGAGAAATCCACCCACTCACACCCATTCCCCAGCATCTCACTAGACAAACCCCCAAGTAGAATGAGAGAATTAGTCCAAACCCATCCACCCCAAACCATGGACTCCAACCCCCCAAACCATGGACTCCAACCCCCCAACCCCGCCTCCACCCTCACCTCCCTATACCCGCACCCCCATCGCCCACCTCCCCTTCCGTAACCCAAACCCTCGCCACCAGCGCCGAACTCACCGAGCTCTTCCTGCGCACGCAAATGCGGGACTTCCACAACCCCATCTCCTCCCACACACTCCAACTCACTCAGCAAACCGAGCGAATCGCGCTTCTGGAAATGAATGAGGTCGACAATAAATAGCGCTGTTAGAAAAGATTTAGGGGATGTAATAATAGTAATACAAATAGTGTTTATTTCGTGTTATCATTTATGATATCATACTCTATTGATGAAAAGTCTAATAAAAATCCTTCTCTAATAGCTTGGTATAAAATAAAATAAAAACAATAAGAATCGATTAATGAATAAAGTGTAGAATTTGAGTCATGCTAAATAGAAGACAAAGAAGCCTGTAGAAAGCTTGAGAATTAAGAAAAGAACTTTCGAAAAATCCGTTTTCCATTTCTCGTCTTAGTATAAATAGGAACTTAATTGATAAGGTTATAGTCGAGTGAAAGATTCTGTGGGTTAATCAACGTATTCTTATTGTAAATAACAGATGACTGAGGTAGATACGATAGTATTTGGTGATATAGAGGATTGTTCGAAGATAGCGGTGTAAGTGTTGTGGCTGTAGATGGTGATGGCGGTATATTCTGATGCGAGATTGAAGGTAAATGAAACGAAGGATTGATTGTTAATAAATTATTGTAGGACTTTGGCAAGGAGTAGTATAGATTATTGACACAATATGGAACCGCTTGTTGATACTTCCTCTAATCAAGCAATCAAAGATCGTGGTTTGTGGTCTGTGCGCAGCCAAAGCTTCCCCTCCACCTTTTCATTCCGGCTTTCACTTCTTCTTCTCTTGCGCTCTCCGACGAAATTGGTGTGCTGTCCAATTAACTTCCATCCTGAGTAACGAGAAACCCACCATGCCGAGAGAAAATCAGTCTTAAGCCATGATAGAAGAAAAGTCCTGCTTGTTCTTAAGATCGGCACCCCACAACGATCAGTCCCACAACCCACATAAATATGCTCCACTATCCCGTTGCTGAGCGGCTCGGTTGGTCTTACCCTGAACGCGGTGGTGCCTATCGCTGAAGAACCCTCCGATATTCAGTCCATACAATGTAAAAATTTGATAACTTCATAACAAGTGAGCATACAAGAATAATACCCAAAACTAGCGTTATAATTGGAGCCAACGATCAGATTGTCACCTACTATCCACTCCTCATTATCTGATAGGTGTAGAGCTTCTGTAGAGGAAGATTTGATTGTCACTAATTCAACGGTTTGCCCAAAGGACTGTATAGCTGTAATTGGTTCAACCGGACAGCTTCCGGGACTGCCACATGTCGCGAATAGTTTGAGGGTGACTGATACCCCCGCCCTAAAGAAAAGCAGAAGTTACGAGCTTCCTCGCCTTGACTACACCTACTCTTCCTTTGCTATCAAGTAATCATCGTTATATAAATCTCTTGTATTCTCCTTCACACTCAGCATCATATTTCTTGAGCATTTTGTTCAACAGTTATCCACCTCGAGGTCAAAGTCAATATGTCTGGTACATCAAGCCTCCTTGCTAGGTAAGTTTGTATGAACTCATAAGAAGCTATTCTCTGTTGATACTTATAGGATGCTTGACTCTGGCCGCTACTCTGATCTTACTATCAAATGTGGTAATAAAGTGTTTAAAGTCCATCGAAATGTAGTGTGTCTACAATCAAGGCCTCTCGCCGCTCATGTGGATGGTGCATTTTTGGTTGGTACATTTATTTCCTTGAGCTAGCTCTGCTTACTCTGATTTAGGAGGCTTTGACCGGCGAAATCAATCTGCCAGACGACCATCCAGCAATTTTCGAAAGAATTATCAAGTTCCTCTACACGGGAGATTTCGATGCTACACCTTCCACTGACGAAACCGTCAAAGAAGCGTCAAGTGAACATGTCAAGGAGCCTCTAATTGAAGCATTCGATGAGAATTCACCTGTGCTCGTCAAGGAAACCGTTTATGAAGCAGTTGATGAACCCCTGGAAATCTTGACAATTTGCACACGCGTTTTCACCATGGCGGAAAAATATGATATTCCAGAATTGAAGGTACTCGCTAAAACAAAGTTCGAAGAAGCCGTATCTACTGAATGGAATACTGCTTCACTCTCAGCTAGCCTATGGCTTATGTACGATGAACTTCCGGAGTCCGATCGCCTGCTCAAAGATATTGCTATTCAAGCTGCTGCTAGTCATGTTAACGAACTGGTTGACAGAGGGGAATTCGCAGCATTGTGTAAGGAGAATGGGGATATCGCATTTGATGTTCTCAAGGCTTCTCTACATGTGTCAACGCATTCTGGAAAAACATGTCCATATTGTGATATGGAGTATGAAAACCGCGTTTTAAAACGAAAAAAAGAAAAATATTATTGTAATAATTGCAACAACTACTTTCGATAATTAGAATTGAATAATTGAATACAATTGTAAATACAGCGATGTCGAAGAATATACTGTGTTTGATTATAAGAATGTTTATTCGCCCATCAAATTTGTCGATTACAAATAGTTCTTTCGTCATTAATGCTCCCATCATATTTCTATTGAGATAAATCTGGCAGAATAACCATTAACCGCCTCCATTCTCAGAAGTGGGGATATCTCGTCAGCAACAGGTATGGTTTGAGGTTCAATGGAATCTCGCCGATCAAGCCTGGGGTATCAGGTTTTCTCTTTTGTTATGGATACAAAAGTCATGTAAACAAATTCCCATTCAATCTCACTATTTCGAGCTCAGCTATAGATTCCCATGTTCTGAGTATCTTCAACTCGAGTATGCAACACTCAAGTTCCTTGCTATCTTATCTATAACACCTCGGTTTCACTTTCTATATAATCATGTAGTTCCTATTGATCCTATCGAGACGATTGATTCTTAATCTTCGGAGAGAAGCTTGTTATAGCAAGTGTTACAATGAAGGTTGTTCCATTGGTTGTGGTATATAGCCATAAGCTTCTCTATCTTCTCTTTGTTGTGGTGATTGTATTTAAAAGGGGTGGAGAAATAGAGGCGATATAACGTCAGTTCTCCTTTAGGATCGTAGACCTTGATAAGTACGAAATTGAAGGGTGGTGCTTGGGTCTGATCGCTGTCTCTTTGAGGAACAGCAGAGTCTTCGTAGCTGTTGCTGGACTCAGAAGCCATGCTTCAGTGTAGATCAGTATAGAAGTTTAGGGCTGTACGAAGCTGTTTACGCTAGTGATTGCCCAGCGATAAGTCATGTCAGAATACAATTACTCGGAACGCAGCACAGCCAACGATGCTAGCTTGATTGCGACTTTGGATACAGGGTCTGTACCGGATTTTGTTCGCGATTTTCCTTGGAAAAAAAAAAGAGCACGGTGCTTTCGGCCTTTCGTTCCGAAGATTAATTCGTTCTGTTTAATAATAAAAGTTAAGCTTAAGGCTTTGCCTCGTATGGCTCACATCGCCTGTTTCAGTCTGCTGCGGTACGTTTCTTGGGCCTCCTACCCCTCACACCCAAAGAAAATGTTACCAAGTGATATTGGGTATCAACGCATGAGACTCATCTAATATACTTCGTTGGGAATGATATATAAAGTCTTTCATGACTTGTCTACCAATATTGTCTTCAAATTCTTTCATGGTACACAATACCATGTCTGCTACTCGAATACAATAGAAAATCAATAACCTTCGTTTAAGGCTCTTTCTATTGCCGATCCAACAATTTGACAGTTACGACCTTCGCAAGCCTCAACATGGACCCCGTGCCGTCGGTCCAGCCTGGCAATGCGACTTACCTGAATCCCGCATCATGCGCAAACACTAAACAATATTCTGATGGTAAGGAGTCGCAATGCCAAGTTACAGCCAGCCTGGTCTGCCGCTTCTGCAAATTGGTTCAGGTATGTTGCTTACATGTCATTTCGCATTTGCTAGGTCTCAGAATACCGCAGAAATTACCACAACATGTGTGAATAAGTCTGACGTATTCAAGCATTGCTCTTAAGAGTGTCAGATCACGAACTGGCCCATCACAAGGAGATTTGCAAGTCTGATCTTATCAAGAGCGAATACGTTCCGAGCTGGATCAAGCAAGGCCGTCTTCCCAGCTGGGTTTCCGATAGCGGTCTCTCATCGAATTTTGGTATCAATCAATATCTTTGGGGAAACATGCTGGTTGTGAATATACTGAACATGGATGAGGGCGGAGTATCTGCGATATTCATCGCGATATGACCTTACTTTTCGCTGCATCAGGAGATATCCGAAACCTCGTTAAATTTACCATAGAAGGTCTTCCACATGGATATGATGGTCGATGCACGCTTGTCATCAACGATATCAATTTCATGGTTGTCGCACGCAAAGTTGTCTTACTATTCGTCGCTCTAAACCTTGAGCCTGAAGAAGCGGTCCCGATAATGATATGCTTGTGGTATTCAGCGCTAGTACCACACACCATGATAGACACTCTTTGTCACATTGCACTAGGAAGCATTGTTGAAGTTTGCGAGAAGATTCAGGATAAGCCATCAATTTCCCTTCAAGCAAAGACATTTTCTTTCGGAAAGAGATCCTTGCGATTAGTACTGAAGAAGCACCAAAGGGACGAGCTGAAGGACTATTTCAATGTTCCATGTGATTTGACACAGAAGAATGCACAGGCAATTTGGCATTTCGTCATGTTAGCTCCGGACAGGATCGATTATCTGCATCGTGCATTATGCAATCAGCCTTCTCCGATCCGAGTCGCAACGATATCATTTCGCGAAGACGGCATTCTTTTGCCGCATGGCGCATCGAGACAGAGGTTCAGAGGCTTAATGCGCCCAATCCGTGAGCAGCTCCACATTATCCCTTCACGTTCGTGGCCCAGCCGACTTTATAAGCACATTCTTTCATAAGGATCGAGTCTGGCCTATCAAAGATGACGAGAGTCCATTTGAAGTCTGGGACTACCATGAGTACATCAGATTCACACCAAAAGCTATCAATGATGTCATAGGTAGCCTCTTCTTCTTTCTAAGAGATACACTCTTGCGTTTCTGTAAGAGTATCAAGGATATTGATATTCATTTCCGACTCTCCAACGTTGATGTTCGAAGGCTTTCGGATCATCTCAGCATGGAAGAATCTCAGTTCGACCGCATCGAGGTACGCACAAGTTTTCTCTTGACCTTAATAGTAAACATATGATGACAGTTGATACAAAAATAGGTCTCGAACATCTGCCATCGCGGATACATCGGACCTGAAAAAATCCTTTCCACATTCAGCCCGCTCCTTAATTCAAAAACCACCAACCCAACAGCGATACTGCTAATACTCTTCTTGAACGCCGTCAGCGAGGTATGTCACAACAATGACCCGAAGAGCGATCAGCGTATCAATGAGTCTCGGGTATTAATGCAGAAATTTATACCGGTGACATCGATAACACTTACGACTATGATGGCCGGTGGTGCGAATACAATGAGCAGCCGGGACATGATTTGAATCTCTTCATGCTATACAATGTTCGGCGATTTTGAAAAGGCATTTGGCACTTTCTTGCAGGAAGCCCAAATACACAAGCTGACGAAGAAGTATGGGGTGAAGATCAGGAAGAAGCATGCTATTATCGAGCCTTGGCCGTTGAGGATCACAGAAAAGACAACGAAGGAAGAGTTTGAGATAAGATGTGCTACTGTACATACAGGGTGTGAGCAATATGTGGAAGTTGAGAGGGTACAAAGGATATAACTACAGGTCGTAGTATGCCGCTCGCACTTCTCCTATTGAATACTCTAATTTTGAAGACTTCGGCTGAGCTGCAGGCTAGCACTTATGTTCGTGCCTGGACCAACTACGCCAGGCGTTAAAGTCATTACTAATAAGCTAGATATGGCGCGCCCAGCCACTGTTGGTCTTTTTGCTTCAGATTTTATAAAATTAAAATTATGACGTAAATATCGTGAGGCTGTTTTGCACTAACCAAAACCATTACTTGCTTGAATCCGAGGTACAGAGTCGCGTGACGATCATGCATGAATTTGCGCGCCACAGCAGTCACAACACTAACGACGATTTCCTGCATAAGTACAAGACCTTCAAACTTAAATAAAACTTCTCTATGAATATTAAAGATAGTATAAGTTCTGTGGTGCAGCTATGATAGAGGAAGCCTATTACGCTGTGAAAGGAGACTCTTTGCAAATCAGGCGTGAATGCGATGATGCGACCGTGATTTTTTGGTAAGAAGGGATCAGGGCTGTCTGGAAGTAGTCATGAAATATAACTGATAAGAAAACAAAGGAGATATTAAGGTGTGCACAGATTTTGGGATGCTTGAAGTCAAAGCGCCCATCATTTTTTCCAGCATATAGGGCTTTCCGTTACGCAGGAATGGACATTATAAGAACACCTTTCCCACCCCCTGCATGTGACGTAGGCAGAATCCCATCACCTCCCGATACTCGGCGTCAGAAACCGCTGGCCTAATGGCTAGGGCTTTATGTATTATTATAAACATGGTGAGCGTCAATCTCTGGCAAAGCAACCAATACATCGGTCAAATAGTTCAGAGTTCAAGCGGCTATATAACTTTATACTACAGAGAGAAACACAGAGAATAAAAGATACATCGACCAAAAAGATATCCAGGCTATAGAGATGCGTTTGAGGAAGCGAGAGAGGTGGAGGTTCTTACAAACTATATCACATGGTGATAAGATAGCCTACCTGGACGTGCTAGGGCAGTCTGGGCAAATACATTTTGGACGCTTCCCCAGCATTAAGATTTCAAATCCGAAAACTTCGAATTCATATTGATAACGAATGTATGATGGAATCCTATACTAAAGGTTTAAATATGTCTTCTCATACCAGCAGAAATACCTCCCTAAGACTGCCGAATATTTACTTAATCGGGCCGCAGTGCACCGGGAAGACCACTATTCTCGAAACCCTCCGAGCCTATTATGCGATTGACGCCAACCGCGAGTTTGAGAGCCGATGTGCCGAGCGCCCTGTTATTATCGAAGAGGTTGTAAGGAGAGTCATGCGTCGCGAATGCTTCAATATTCAAGATCTGAAGAATGTTGAGAGGGGATTTGAGTTGCAGCAATGTGTTCTACTAGAACAATACAATGCCGAAAAGATATTTCAAGGTGACTGGTGTATATCAGACCGGTCTGGACTTGATGCTCTTGTGTATGCAAAAGCGTATATAGGAGTTTCTGCGGCGAAGAAGCTAGAGGATACAGAGGAGTGGAACAGGTTGCAGAAAAGAATGCAGGATGCCCTGGTAGTATTTTGTGAAGCTGGGGACGCGAGTTGGCTCAGCGAGGATGAAGTGAGAATGAAGTACAGCAGCATTGCGGAATGGGAACGGTTAAACAATGAGTTCCATGCCATGCTTATAGAGCACCACATTGAATACATCACTTTGCCGAAGCACGTAACGGACTTGCAGGATCGGGTAGCTTTAATCAAAAACGCATTAGGCATGAAGAGCCAAAACGAAGTGGATCTATGATCGTTCAGATTGTAACCATAGCCATTGTTTATGGCATGAACATGCCAAACAATTCTCTCCATTTGTACACCGGGAGTTACACTGATTACCCGACTCCCTTACATTACTCAATAAATATCAATTTCATTACTCCGTTGAGCATTACTTCCAAGTCTACATCTAGAATAATTGATTGTCTGAGACCAACAACGTCCATTGTGGAAAGATTATTTCAAGAACCGAATCAACGATCACTCAATAGTATTAACGCACTCGAATAATCACTTCACCCTCTGGTGATTTTACGAATATTGATATCCAAATAGCCACCTAATTATATCTCCTAAATCAAAAACTGCACTTGAGTATTGTACCTTAATCTTAGAGCGTCATGCTACTCTGAACTCAATACTCCCTTTCCATCACATACGTATAAGTTATATTTCACATAGGACACCAAAGGAATCGATCAATATATCAACCAAATCTCATTACAACTCTATCTACTTGAGTTTCTCTACTACCCCTCACACCCACTTTCCATTCGATTTTATCATTGTAACTAGATTTCGAAAACTAACGCTTGTTTCCCCACTCGTTTCAATCTAGAATACTATCAGCATTTTCTCGCCGCTCAAAAGATTCTGAACACACAACAAGCAATATCCCGAGATCTCGATAATAATCCACTATAGCCGGGTTCAACCGTTCAAACTCTTCGTACCGGCGATGAAAGATTTCCTCGTTATCGTCAAGTCTTCCTTCCAGCTTTCTGGTCAGATATCGGTGCAGGGCAATTTCCTTTCCGCAGCAAAAATAAAGGACAAGATCTGGTTTGCGTAACTACAAAACGATGAGAAGGATAGAAATATATCAAACTATTGATCACTTGCCTGCTCTTCGCTAGCAATTCCCTGGTCAAGTCTTCGTGGGAACCCATCTATAATGATAGCAGGACAAGATTCTAGCTTGCTTGCTATAGCACGTTTCAAGATATCGATTATAGTCATTGTAGGCACTAGTTCACCCTCTTGTATATAGTCTTTGATAGCAAGACTTTGTTCATTTTGCAAATCTCGTAGCAGATCACCAACTGAGATATGGTGACAGCGATAGTATTGTGCCAAGAGCTTACACAATGTTCCCTTTCCCGATCCTGGGCATCCTAAAATATGTTAATTTGATTCATACAAGTGTTTGTAGCACGAGCTTACCGATAACGTATATCAGAAAAGTGTCACTGCGTGGTAGAACATTTACTCTGTTATATTGTTCATCCATTCTGATCGTGCCATATAAGATCTGGAAATAATAAGTTGACTTGAAGTACCCCTTGGAAACCTGGAAGTATATATCTTAAATGAGAAATGTAATTGAAAGTTCGGCCATTGATATCCGTCAAATCTACTGTCGAGCCAATAAGAAAAGAATAGAAATGTAGTCCCGTGAATGGAAACTCCTGGAAGCAAAGAGTTACATCTTATTCGATCAACAATCCAAAGTAGTAAGGAAATCATATAAGATATGCAAGCTTTAATAATAGATATCAAATCCGGAAAAGCTTTCTTTTGCCACATGAAGGGCGAGGAAAACTTTATAACACCAGTGGAGATTTAGCGAGGTACAGCAATACTTACGTGCATCCAAAATGGAACTTGTCTTCATAAAAAGGTTCAAGATGGAAAATGATGCTTTCATTCAGTTAAAACTTATCTGTTTTCCATAACTCTGTCAAAAGCTCCATCAACTCAGAGATACAATATAACACGGACTCAGCTCCTCAAAATAAGATTATGGCATATATTCTTATGGCAGCTTTTATGGTAATCCTATTTACTGCCATTTTACTTCGAAGGGGGAATTCAAAGTCTGTATCGACAGTTCCGATTTCGGTAAATTATCACTTGACCCGAAAATGTAACTATGAGTGCGGTTTCTGCTTTCATACCGCAAAGACATCATATATCCTCCCATTAGAAGAGGCTAAGAGGGGTCTTTCACTTCTCAAACAGGCTGGAATGAAGAAACTGAACTTTGCTGGCGGAGAGCCTATGATATATCCAAGATTTGTAGGAGAGTTGGCGAGGTACTGCAAGACGGAATTGGGGCTTGAATCGATTTCGATTGTGACAAATGGAAGCCTGGTAAAGCCGCAATTTCTCGAAACCTTTGGACGATTTATTGATATTATCGCGGTTTCTTGCGACTCCTTCGATGAAGCCACGAATGTGAAGATTGGCCGTGGTAGAGGATATCATCTGCAGAAGTTTAGAAAACTCCGCATCAGCTGCCAAGAACATGACATCAAATTTAAAGTCAATACCGTGGTCAACAAATACAACTTTAAAGAGGACATGCGCGCTGCCATCGAAGAAATAGCACCTTTTCGCTGGAAATGCTTCCAGGTCCTGGTGGTCAAGGGGGAAAATGACTCAGATACTACCCTTCGTTCCGCGACCCAGTTTGTCATCTCAGACGATCAGTTTCAGCAGTTCTGTAACAAGCACTCAACCATTCAAGGCTTTGTGGCAGAACCAAACAATGTGATGAAAGACTCCTACCTCATTTTGGATGAGTATATGAGATTCCTTGATAAGGGGAACGATCCATCGGCATCGATACTTGAGGTTGGAGTTGAGAAGGCTCTTCAGAGAGTCTTCTGGGACGAGGAAAACTTTGTACGTCGGGGAGGTATCTATGATTGGACCAAGGCTACACATGAGGATAGTAATAAGCTACTGGATTGGTGAACACGAATGTTACGTTTGATCGAAGGCTCAATGTCGTCTTGTTTGTCTCTCTTGGGATAGACGGGACATCGTTATCTTTACTTATTAGTTTGTGTTTCAATGCAACAGCTCATATCCTACAAATGATTCATATTTATAGGGATTTTGTTAACGTATTATGTCGATATTGTTTGCTATCGAATGTCTCGCGGATACAATCAGAAAACCTAATGCAAAGTATAGTATTGACTTTTTCTTCATTCTCCGTTTGTAATTCCTGCCATAGTAATCCATAAAGTAATCCCATCTGCCAGATCCAAATACAATATTGATTTTCATTATTCAATTTCTTAAGAATCATCCTTTAGCCGTTAGTATCATTTCACCTTTCAGATGCTTAACACATACTTCAGAAGGAAAGCCGAATAATTCAAAGTAAGCTGTCATCTTTCCTTTAGGAATATCGCGATTCGCAAAAAACCATGAATACTTCTGCATGAAAATATCAATGTCCAAGAGCGCTGCTGCGGTTTGGTGCGTTTGAACTTCTACCTCGCCAACCCAATGGCCAAAATCCGTGAAGTCTAACATGATGAAAAATCGATCGTCTGCAAGAAAAGTCTCCCTTGTCGTACGATACCGACATATGCTCTTTAAGCCGAAGTTGGTATCTGGACCTGCATTATATCCTAAATGCGTGTAGGTGCTAATCAACCTCTTGATTTCATGAACTTTATCGGTTTCATAAAAGGAAGATCGAAGATAGTTGCCATCTTGACGGTGTTTGGCCTCCCAGGATTTATCGCGTTTTCGTATCCATATGCCACTCTTCGACAACTTGTTTGCAGAATCGAAATATTCGTCCTGAAAGCTCTCGGTGCGCTGATGAGCCAGACAGCGAAACGGCGGTTGGCCATGGTTCATTCGGAAGCGTGTCAGCAAGGCTGGGTTAAAGACGAACTTCCGCTCAATTTCATATACTGGCATCGTAGATTTGGCGAATAGGCAGTTAGGTTTTGGCTTCATATGGCGAAACGGCTACGCTCGGCGATTAAAAGTGTTGCCACGATGTTCGGAGTTAGTTGAACGCAAAATTTTAATACGAAAATCGAAGCAGCTCAAAAACTTTCCATATAACAATCTCGCTTAGGGCTGTCGTTTTAACTTCCCTGGCGGAGCTTTTCTCCCTTCAAAATCATGACCGCGAACCCATATTATATTTATTCATTAATTATAGGAAACCTCAAAATTACATCAAAATGTAACAACCTAGATGGGAGATTTGACATTCCCAAAAGTCAATACTGAAGATATAATTTTTTTTTAGCAACGGTATTGTGTCATGCTTAACACGTGAGCTCGTACTGACCATTCAAGACGTGGCAGGTTCACGAACATTAACATGGTCATGTGACCAGATTCATAGCTTCCTCCGAGAGTCTGTCACTACCCCCAAAGACTTGAATCAAAGGAAGAAGTATCAATAAATATTGTATAGTATGCGGTCACATACAATGAATGAGGGGTAATTCCCCGACCTAGGGGTGTCCAGACCTAGAGGTTTCGAGTATTTTGATGGAGCCGTGAGTTGATCACTTCAGTCTCTATAATATACTTAAGATGTAGTGAAACGTGAGTTGAATGATATCATCATTTGTATTGCGTATATAAATTATAGCCTGTTCATTCTACACCTCTTGCAAACTTGGATTTGGCATTGTCTACATTCGAAGATAAAAGCCGGCAGTGTATGGTAGCACTCCTCGCAGCGATGTTCTCCCTGAACGTACTGCCAGCTCGTATGAACGCAATTGTGTCGATATCTCAGGTTCTGCGCTGCTGCTGCAACCTGAGCGCCTACTTGTGAGGGATTAGACCCCACAGGCCGACGTGCTACAACTTGATTCGCGCGGCTTAGCAAGCGCTCTTCGTCCCATTGTGCACAAGCACATGTCTTCCAGAGTTGTGCACAGATGTAGCAGAATTGTGCTCCGCAGTGGCAACTAGATAAATTAGTAACATTTGGGAATTCAGTGGGCAGAGAGATTATACGAACGTGATATGATTACATCCAATATCAAGCTCTACCAGTCGATGGCAAAAGTAGCAGCGCTGCCAACCATTCTCATTCGCAGTATGTAGCAATTGCTGAAGTGCTGTATCAGCGGGGCAGTCTCCCCTATGAGCAGTGGCTTTGCATAGTGTGCATGTTATAGTGCTGCAATCCAGACAAGTGGCCTGCTCATTTATGATACTTTCTGGCTGTATAAAGACCGAGCAAAGAGGATTAGAGCAATATGTTCGATTTGGCGTGTCGAATTCAATCTTCTTCTGCTCATACAGTAATATGAGCTTGTCGGTCAGGAAAATACGCACGGTCTCAGACGTGATGGGTTGACGACAGCACCGGGGAGGAAACAGGGAGTCATCAACCATAGATGTACGAAACAGATCTTGCAAACAGTCTCTGCAGTATTCATGATTGCAAGGAACTCGAGCTATATCGGAGCATCGAATCAGCTCTTGACAGGCTGTACAACGGCGATCTAAGGCTTTCTCTCTCTCTCTCATAGCTGCCCAACTAGATGATTCTGGCTCGTACTCGAAGTCTGCTTCTGTTATGGTAGACTCAGAATTGACAGGTGCTTGTATATAGAGAGTTGAAAGCTTTGCAAGTGATTCTTCGTCTACTTCGGAAGTAGATGTTCTTGGCATAACAAAGTTCGGATCTACAACATTACCAAGTCTGCACGCCATCTGTCGATCGCTCGCCGCGGTTTGTTCTTGAGATAATGATGTTGTGAGAATCTCACCGTCGGTCTGACAGGCTCGAACGACGCTTCTCGCCATCTTCCTGTCGGAAAGTATGACAGCATTGCGCTCCAATTCCTCACGATACAGATTGAATGAAAGCTGCAAGTCTGAGGGTTCACCATCCCGACCTTTGCCCTTTCTCTCGTATGTTTCGGAGAGTCGTTGGCTATCTTGGATCTGAAGTTGAATTATCAAGGCCGCACTAGCTTCGTCCATATAATCGAATACGTTAGCCATAGTATTAGAGATCGACTTTGATTATTCCTATGGAGATCATAAAACTATTTAGCATGAAATTTATAAAGGTAGCTACCACGAGATCGCATCCTCCATACACGTTAAAAAGATAGAAGAAGTTGAGGTGCTGTTCTTCCGATAGTATTGTTAGGCTTTCGCTCTCAGAATAGAAATAACAACTAATTGAGGAGAAATAGCAGTGACAAGATATGCCGAAATGCCAAAAACAAACCATCAGTCACACAAAGGTTAAAGCTCTGTTATGGCTTTGTTATGCCTAAGGCAAGAATTATAACTACACTCAACCTGTGAATCACATGCACTTCTCGACCAAATAGCTTAAGTGCTGCTTGTATGGAAATACTTCGTAATGAGAGACTATCTCTGAAACCATTTAATACGTAAATTGAGAGTCGAGGGTAGAAAGTATCTACTTGAGTATTCCCGGTAGAACCCGGGAAGGTTAATCAAACCATAGGTTGCCCATGAGGTTGGCAAGAGCCCAATATGTAACTTGCACTTGCGATATAAACTCTACTAGACTTATTAGAACTCAAAATAATGGTATAATTATATAATTCACTAGTATCTAGAAGTATATAGGCCACAGTAGATTGAAAATTATGAGATCAAATTTACGAGTCCATAAGATATCTTCCTATTCTTGAGAATTTGTGACGGTTCAACCTGCTCAAGAGCGTAAATTATCGACGGATCTAACATATTGTGAAAGAGGGCAGTAACGGCCTGGGAGATAGCGTTGCTGATTCCGCGAAGATATTCACCCTGCAAGTCATCGAGGCAAAGAAGAAATGAGTTGAATTTAAGATCGGAGATAGATAAGATCCTACACGTGTTAGCCAGGCAAGATAGGTGGAATTCTGTATAATTACAGCTCATCTGTGATGACAAGGGTTGGCTCTCCGGCTAGTTCCTCTATTGGTAGTTGAAGCAAGGCCAATATTCCATAGCCAAACTTTCTCACCATCAAATCGAAACGTCCACCCAGTCTTCTCAAGTTTCCAACAAATCGTTTTTTCTCTTTATACCCTTCGCTGCTCGGTTCCAAGGTCGGGTATAATTCTTTTAAGATCAATTCCGATATCCGAGAGTTCTCAAGGTTATTGGGATTTCCCGTTTGGTGGCGAGGCTGGGTGGTGAGGCTTTGCACGGTATCAACAACAAACCCATCAATTGTTTTTCGACTCCCTTTATTGCTATCAACGAAGAGCTGATAGATATGACATCTCTTTCGAAGGACATGATAAGCAATGTTAGGAGTTATACATTCAATAACCTTTACTCTTTCTGCAAGAGAAAGATTGTACCCTTCTCGTGGCATTTTGCCTGCAATTGTCCTTCGTTGCACCTTGAAAACTTCTTGCAAAGCGACAAGAGACTCTGGGCTTCCGATTGCAAAATAGAGAGTCTTGAGAGTGACAAGTTCACGAGCACCTAATGACATATTTGGAATCTTGCTAAACGCCAAATCAAATTCTGTCTCGGAGAAAGGCAGTCCGGAGCTCTGGCACTTTTGTTTCTCCGAAGTAATGTATAAATGTAGCCTGCTAGATTTTGCTGATTCCCGGGTGGTACTAGCAGGTAGCTTCCTTTTTTTTCGCGCGCAGGTGAGATTTCGAGTAAAATGTGGGCTCTCAAGATTCGCGATGTCCATCGTGTTGGGCGTATTCGATGACTCTCTCAGTGAATGTTCAAGCGACTCTCCAATACAACTCATAACGGCTTCGTCAATTCCCTCATGAAATTGCGTAAAGGGAGATAGACTGCTCTGCTCATATATTCTTGTGTCTTGACAAGGCGTAGCCAGTGACCTGCCGGGTGTCATCGTTGAAGGCTGGCTTGATGGACTTCGAGAGATTGAGAATATATTTTGACTGGAGTCGTCGATTTCTATGGCATTTAAAGAAAAACCTTGATTAACACTAGTCTCTTTATCAAATAAGTCGATATTGCTTAGCCCTGACATCGAGGACTGTCTAAGTTCGGCGTTTAACGTCCGGTTGTCATTGGAATCTTTTGTATTGGAAATGCCTAACCTAGTCTGCATCGAAACATTTGTAGCCATAATGACCTTAGCTATAATCCTCATGTAAAGTGCTATGAAAACATGAACTAACCGACATTCATCGCAGAATTTGGCACAACGTCGTCGTCAATCAACATCTCCATAGAAATGAATTCCTCAAAGGGAATGATCTTACAATTCGTACTGCTCCTGATTCTTTGTAAATAATTAATGAGTGCTGCTTATTCATGACCTAGAGTAAGAGATAACTCACAAGAGAAATTCTACCACTGAATTTATGAACGAAATTTGTTGATCACAATCCTCCCAGACTGCTCCGACTATGGCACAAATTGCTAGATGCAGCGTATTCGGGCTTGCTACTCCTCGTTGGCGAGGGTTGAGTCTCATTATTTTATCGATTCCAAAAGCCTTAGCTTTCTCTGCGTGATTTCGTTTGATCATACCGAACTTCAAAGCTTCAATTTCACCTCCCTATTGTTAGAACAAAATTGCTAGCAAATACTTATAAGATGTACCTTGTCCTTCCTCTTCTCCAAGGGCCTCTTTCATTTTTAAAACTGACTGAATGAGGCTTTCGCCTACTTTGGCAAGCTTACGATTACCGTCGTACTGTTGCCGTTCTTCCTCGTTCCCTTCTTTGCTGCCTTCTGCACCAGGTGCTGTCAATGCCCTGTATATTAAAAGACGATTTGCGAACTTATAGCTAACAATGCTTTCCAATTGTGAGATATAATCTAAGTCTGCCATTATTGCAAAATTTAACGAGGCTTTAAAAAGTTGTCGTTACAAATAATACATAGTTGAAGCTGAGAGTGAATATACTAGATCGTAGTGTTATATCAGTGTGAGTGAGTAATCAAAGGCTATTCTACTTTAGGTGCTAACAATTGAGGGACGTGGTATTCCCCGCATTCGTCTTAGTATACTGTTTAAAGATTTCCAAGTGGGGCTTGTAAGGCGCAAATGACGTGCATACTAGCACCCATTCTAGCTAAGTTAACTTACCCTTGCACATGAACTAACGCTAATCTTAATGTCATCCTCTTGCTGCCTCGACTCTCCCCTATGAATCGTCCTCGACGACTCCCTACTCACACACTTCTTCTCTAGACCGATTCTTCTCCAATCTGTTCTTCTCTAACGATATTTCTGTAAGCTTAATTCCCCGTCAGATTGGAAAGTAGCAACTAAATGACAGATATATCAATACTAGTATTAATATCAATGATCTATATTATAGGAGTTTACGAAGATTATATAAAGAATGAATAAAGAGTAAAAGAATAAATAACTCCTTAAAATATAACTTTAAAGGCTAAGCAGAATAGATCTCTATTTTTCTTAGTTAATTATTCTATAAGGGTTACAGCAAAAAAGCAAGCGAGCGAAATTAATATATACTCACCTTAGGGCTTATTCGAATCTATTTTTTAGGTGATATAGATCTATATTTGTTATCAATATAGATATAAATAAGTATTTATCGAATACTAATATTGTTTATAGAATCATTTTATATTTTGTTATTAATAAAAGTAGTTTATGTTAAAAGGAATAGAAGTTACCGGTACTAATCACGTGCTGTGATTAGTAATACAGTTACCTAAATAGGCTAGATTAGACGAACCATAGACAGGTATATTGGTTCCCTTGAAAGGGAGCAAAAGGGGATCAAGATGTCTATACGTATAGTAATATAGTTAATATAGAGACCTCTTCCACTCAATCTTTTAATAGGTTATAAGTCTGATTAGTATAACCTCTGGACATAATTAATATGATTATTATTATAATCCAATTTGCAGAATTGAAGAATGTACAGCACTACTTTATGATTAGTATGTGATACTATAATTACTATTATTATTAACTTATAGAGTTGAAAGAATATATAATACTATTTATAAACAAAACATATATAATATAATAAAAAGGCATACAATACTAATTATACTTATATTTACAATCTATACGGATTTATTTATATAGAAAAAGGGAAAGAAAAACCTTACAAATTCTCTATATAGATATCAAAATAAATAAAATCAAAGAGCAAACAAAAAGTATTCCGAATCTTATCTAAAAAACCTATAATCAATAATTTCAATAAATGAAAATATAATTAAAAGAAAAGAATTAGTTTTATACAATTGAGTTTATATTACAAGAGTATATTAAGGTTAGAGGAATTAGAATAGAAATCGATAATACCAAAGTTTTTCTGATTCTTGAAGAAAGTAAAGTTATAAACATTAAGTTCAATCTAGATAAAAAGATTAAATATTTGAAAAATAAAGTTAATATATTATTATATATATATAGATCATTTAGTGATAATAATGAAACACTTGTTGATAAATATGATATAATACGAATATTATGGAACTATCTGAAATCAAAATATTTAAGAATTAGTAATATTATAGTTAACTTATATTTAACAATAATTCAAATATTTATTTTTAAGTTTATTAGCTATCCAAAAATAATTATTATTAAAGTCTAGAATAAATTAAAAGAATATTAATATAAGCTTAATACTGTCAACCCTATATTCAAGGATTTATACAAAAATAAAGCTCTATTTTTAATTCTAACTAAAAGTCTTTTAAGCAAATATCAAACAATAATTAATACTATAAGCATTCAAAGTATATTAACAATAAAAATTAAAATCAAGTATCTTATAATTAAGGAGTTCAATATTCAGAAAATAGAATAAAGTTATATTATTAGTAGAAAATATATAATCCCAAAACAATAAAGAGAATATAAAGAATTAAGTTTATTTATAAAGTAAAATCAAAATAATGAAGCTAAAACCTATGCTTATTATCTTTATAAGTAAAAAGAGTATTTTCTATATAATTATAAAGATCTTATATTTGTATAAGCTTTAATTCACAATTATTATAAAGCTAAGCAATAAAAAGCAATATTCAAAAAGACAATTAAAGTATTATTTATTAAGAAAAAAAGCAATCACATTTATTTTATAGATGACAAAAGTCTTTTAATTAATCTCAATTTATTAGAAAGCAAAGATAAGTTCAATAATAAAGAATATCATATTTCTAAAGAACTTATTTATAAAACCACCCCTTCTCACTGATATATAGATATTGGTATTTCCTTATATATATTTAATCAACTTTCTCTTTTTAAAGATATTAAGAAAATAAAGAAAAAGATAATAAAAGTTGGTAGAGAAATTATATATTATGATTAAATAGATATTACTGTAATGGAATTAGAAAACAAAAGTATAGTTTTACTTTCAAAAATATTATATATATTAGGATTAGAAGTTAATCTCCTCTTTAACAAAAAGATTTATAAAGCTAAACTTAAGAGTAAATTTAATTCAAATTATATATACTTTCGAAAAAATGAAATAAATATTATTAAAGCAAAAATAGATAAAGGAATTTATATAATTTTGGATATTACAAAAAAATATAAAGATATTGTTCTTTAAAGTATAGAGATTATTAATAATATAGAATTGAATAAGATTATAATAAAAACCTTTTCAAATAAATCTAAGAATCTAAAAAACTATTTATTATGATATAGATAATTCAATTACCTTAGTTTAGAAAAGATACAAAATCTTTATAAAGTTATTATATTAAAAAAGCTAATCAAAATCCTATTCAAAATTCTTATATATAAAGTTTGTATATTTATTAAAATAAAGAATCTAATCCCAAAACAATTTAGTCTTTATAAAACGAAAAGATTAGAATTTATTTATTTCAATATTGCTAGTCTATTTCTAAAGTCTTTATAAGGAAATCACTATTTCTTATTGATTATAAATAGCTAAATAAAAGTGAATTGGATTTTGATTCTAAAAATGAAAAATAAAGCTATATCAAGATTAAAGAAATAAAAAACTGAATTAGAATTGGATATAAACAATAAGATATTAATTGCTTGAATTGATAATATATTAGAGCTGATTTAAGCTATTAAGGAATAGAATTTTAGAATTTAATTGAAATTGATTATTATAGTATTATTTTATTAGAATAAAGTTGTTAAAAGAAATATTGGTATTATTAAAGCTAATATAAGAGCTATACTAAAAGAGATTGAATTACTACTAGAATTCTAGAATAAAACTATTGAATATAATATATATTATAGGAATAGAACAAATATTAGATTAATTATTGATAATAATATTATTAGTTTTATTAAAGTGTTTATAGGATTAACTCCGGATATTAGTTATTATAGAATATAGGGAAATAAGTATTATATATATATTAATCTAAAGATAATCCTAAAGAATTAATAATATAACAAATTATGAGATATAATCTAAATAAGCATTTTTATAGAATATTTATATATAATTAATAAATATATTAGAATATATTTGTTAAAGTTAGACTATATTATATAAGTAAGCCAAATGATTATAAATAAATCTAAAAAGAGGGGAGATTTAAATCTGAGAATAAGAAACTCTATATTAGAATCTTAAAGTATAAAGAATATTATTTCTGATAAAAAACTAAAAAGTAGATCTTATAAAATATAAGAAATATAAGAATCCCTATTTGAGTTACTATAAGATACTATTATCTTTGAATATTCGAAAGTTATAATCCCTAATATATCCAAAGTTAATAATATTCAATAATTCAACAAAAATAGTAAAAAGAATATTATTGAAATTAATCCTTTTACAAAATCAATTCTATCTCTAAGAATAAAAGAAATAAAGATATTAAATATAATACTTATAATTAATAAATCTTTAATTAAAGCTCTAATTATATATATGAATATAGATCCCTTCAAAAGATATTTTTTTCGAAAATGTAAATAAAACAATAATAAATTAGATAAGTATATTCAAAAACTAATAAAAGTAATAATAATAATATTTTTAGTAAATCTAAATGAAAATATTATTAAATATATTATAATCTTTATATTCCTTATATTAAGAATTAATTTAAATGTTAAAACGAAATTGTTTAAAAATCTTTAATTGATTTTGAAAAGTTTAATAAATAAGGATATAGTTTTCTTTATAGAATAAATTCTAGGTATTCTTATTTCTATTATATATAATCAGATAATCTCAAACTCTGAATATAGGGAAAAATGAAAACAAGCTATCAAAAAGGAAATCAGCTTATTAATTACAAATAATACTTGGGAAGAATATATTTTGCTGAAAGAAGGAAATCTTGTTTTAACTAAATGAGTATTTATAATAAAAACAAAGAATAATAAGATTAAAAGATTTAAAGTATAATTAATAATAAAAGATTTTAGTCAAATTCTTAGAAAAGATTATAATAAAATATTTGCTTTTATAGTATAACTTTGTTGGAAATCACATGTATAACACATATATAGTATGTATATACTATTATAAAACTCCTTCTTTAGACTTCCCGGATATATAGATTATATATATATATTCAATATATTATTTCTTATATATAACTTGTTATCTACTTTTAATAGATTATAAGTATTATATTATTATAAGCTTTATTTTATATCTCTATATTCCCTGAATCTCGAATTCTTATTCCCTTATAATTATTCCTATTCTTGATATTATAATAAACAAGATTATTATCAATATAGTTCAAACAAAATAGGGAATATTAATCACTTTTAATAATTATAATTAGATAGACTTCTATAAAACTATTTGAATTACTATAATAATAGTATTTGTGTTATCTCTATATATAGAGAAAAGTATAAGATTA